GTTATGTTATGTTTGTTACACTTAAACATTTAGACTACGTATTGCTATCTGAAACTCTCTCTAAAACGGCTACAGAGTTTTATTGATCGCGTTGATGATAAGGTATTATGTATTTCAGTGTGTGTGTGGGGGTATCTATAATGTTATCAGTTACGTGTAATGGTATAGTGAAAAATACAGAATGAATCAATAAAATATCCTGATATTATGACTGAGGAAAAAGAGAAAGGGGATTTTTCAAGAAATATTTGGAAACAAAATGAAATTAATTTTAAACTTGGTGTCATTTTCTTTTCTTTTTTTTTAATCAATATTTTTCTTCGAAATGATAGAAGTTTACAGCAGTTTAGTATTTTTATCAAAAAAAATATCATTTGTTATTTTTCAATGCAAGACTGTGGCTTATTTAAGCAACCATGAACAGAGATGGAATTGTATTGAATGGTTTAGACATCGGGATCGAGATGCCTTTCATATCTCGATACGGATACGGATACGTATACGGATACGGATACGTCAGATAGAACATTCTCTATTATTGACCAAAAAAAAATTAAATATTTTCCCCAGATATTCCTACCTCTTTAAGAAGCAGGTACGGTCTCTTATTTGAACAAACTACACTCATCTTTACCGTAAGAATTTTTTTTGGCAAATTTAGTTTACATTGACAAAGAGATTCTTTCCAAAATCGGAAATATAAAACTTTACAACCGGACAGACATACGCCGGGCAAAAATTGATCAAAAAGCTAACTTGGGCTAATAAAAATAACTCATGATAAAAAAATAATCCATTCTTATATTCATTGGTTCGAGGATTCGGGACTCTTTGTATCCAAAGGTGGAGGTGAATTTCTAATACTCATGGTGGGGACAGGCTTTTCTGGGTAACGCTTGAGGATCCCCGCTTCCTCTGTGCTCTCTTTAATCGTATCCAACTTAAAATTCATTTGAATAGAATTTCTTAGGTCTATAATGCTTTGATGTTTCATTACATGTTTTCCGGAAAGAATCTTGACCGCGGTTGATACTGTTGATAACGTGTTCCATTTAGACGATTTGGTAATATTGACATTCTTTGTCTTCTTCTTTTCCTCTTTTACTGCATCAGCTATTGGTTTCTCAAACTTCTTGATCGGGATTTTTCTGTCCAATTCTTTATTTATGATCTTTGTTGCAGCTACTATATGAGAAATTGTTGACACACGGTGTGTTAACATTCCAAAAAACTGAATAAGAAGCAGAGTTCCAAAGACAAGAGTGAAAGCGATGGAGATTGGTTCGATCACACCTTGTGTTTCACCAACACTGCATGGTAGAGGGATTGAAAGTGTTTTCTGATAGGCATTTACTTGAGTGAGAACATAAACAATTGTTACAAAGATGGCATTTGTTATAAAATAAAAGAAAAACACCTTGTTTCTCAGTTCAATTAGTTCAGCTTGCATTTTTGACTTTTCCTCATCATTTATCTTCAAAGGTTTTAGATATTTTTTGATAAATTTTCTCCAAAAGTCCTGTTCATCCTCTTGAATGGGATTGCATTTTCTGAATATACCACGTTTTTTGATTTCCTTCGGTCCTGAAGAAAAAATACATTTTTATCTTCTGTATCTTCTACATTTTATCATGACAAAAACACAATGTTCATAAGTTGGATATATGTACCTGACTTTTCCGTTACTTTCGCGCTTTCCTTGGCGTCTTCATTCTTCATGGTCTCGGATCCTTGGATTTTTGAGTTTTTCCCGTTTTCCTCGGCTACTTGCTCTTCCTCCTTAGATTTCTTTTGACTTTTACCACTTTCTTTAGTGTCAGTTTCCTTATTTAGCTGCTTCTCTTTTCCTCTAATTTCCTTTCTTCTTCAGATACACCAGGTCCGACATCCTCAATTTCGTTAAAACATAAAATACATCTGTATGGAATGAAGAATTACATATATATATATATATAAATAAATCAAAACTGTAATATAATATTTCCAGTGATTTGAATACAAAACCAAAAGAAAGCCCTTTATTCACTTGAAATTATTATCTTTGCATAAATACCTGCACCAGTCCCCAAAAGAGCACGATTGGCCTAGAACTCGCTTCTTTATCTTTTGAGTAGAGGAGTCATCCTTTTTTGCTGTTTTACTTTCACGAGTTCCCCAATTAACATTATGTAGATTGCCAACAGAGTAAAAAATCAAAAGCATAGACATCGATGGTACAGCCAGAAAATAAAGCAGTCCGTGCAGAATGCAGGTAAATTCCTAACATAAAAAGGGCAACATACTAGTATTTAGTTAAACATGCAAAGTGAATGAGAAACATTTAGCACTAAAATCAAAATGTAAAAAAACACTATTGAAATAACTCTCGGGTTCTTTCTGACATGTACGATCTGTCTTGTAAATACTGTATACAGGGTTATTTTCGCCCCGTGTTATTTTCGCCCTTTCACACTGTAAAACAAATTTGCCCCGTTTTAAATTCGCCCATTCGTGAGTTTTGTTTCAGAAATTATACTGAATATTTTGAATTCGCCCCGTTTTAAATTCGCCCTATTGAGGGTAGGACGAAAGGGGCGAAAATAAAACGGGGGCGAAAAATTCCCTGTATATAGTATTGATGTACTATGCATTTGACTGTGTTATAATTAGCTTATAAATACCTTTGGGTGTAAGATTGCAGCAATAACAAAGACTCCAGCCACAAAGCAAAAGAAGACAGTTGTAACTGAGCAGAATTGTGCCTCGACACCTTCCTTTAGCAAACCTATCAGAACAACCAACATGACCAAGCTGTAAAGTGTCGACAATATTGCCGCAAACAAAAGCTGTAATATAAATTAATAAGAATTCAAAATAATTATATAACTCGTGAAAGTATAATGTTATGTGGAAAGATTGATGTCGAGAGAGACCTGTTTACCTGCGTTTCCTCTTTGGCGACGTAAATTGAGATTATGAAGATGGCTACAGGAACCCCATTTAATAATAATGCAAGCCATGGTTCAATTTGTGGAAAAGCTGTTATGATGGCACCAAGTATCAACAGAAAAATTGTTCCTGGTGTCAGTATTGAGGAAATAAATAAACAAATGTGGTAAAAAATGTACGGTCTTGATATATTCTGATTCGTTTTCCTGACATTGTTTCCATCCAATAAAAGATCCAAAATGTTTGCCATTGTCGATGGAGCCCAACGTCTTCTCTGGTTATAAAATTCGTAAAATCCTTCCGGGGCAAAGGTCAAAGCATCTGAGGCAGCACAATATTCTACCCTGTACTTTTGTTTCAACAGTAAGGTACATAACCATCTATCTTCACCTGGAACAGAAAGACTTCGTGCAAAATATATAATATATATGCAACCAACTGTAATTTTACACTACTGTAAAGCTAAAAAAATTTCTATGACTCATAAAAACAAAACGTACCTTGGTCGTACTGCACATGATGAGCAGCTTCAGTTGGCACTTTAGTGTAAGTTTTCATAACATTATTTGCAAGTAAAGCTGAACCACGGAACAAACTGAAGCATCCAGGAGAACATAATACACAGCCAAACACATGCTCCGTAGCCTTCTGGAGCCAGTGGCTTACAGCATACTCAAACGTTTGATACCAAACCATAGGGCCTATATAAAAATTATCAAATCATTATTGCGATTATTAAGGAAATTACATTCAGCGTGCAAACTGTTCAGCCCACCCGAATCATTCAGACAGCTTAAGGTATTGCTGTTTTGTCTGATGTCGGCTCCGTCGTGCGTCGGTCGTTATAAAAAATTGGAACATTTTCTGCTTCTTCTGTTAAATAACTGAACTGATGAACCAGCGCCAAGCATAATATTTAAAAGCATTTGTCTTCCTGATGGCCAGCTATGAGTTTTAAAAAAAATGCGATTTGTAGAATCTGTCTACTCCTTTTGCAATTGGCGTCTTTTTAACTATAAGATATTCCATTTATCTCATTGTGCGAATAATACTATTAATGATTCTTCCTTCTCAATTTATAGAACAATTTCAAAGAGTCAAAAAGGATTCAAAAGTATTTATTAAATATTGATTTCTTCTAAATGGGATAAGTCTAAATATGAAAGTAATTGATGAAATATTTTGGAGTCGGGTGTTTTTTAATGTTTGTTAAAATTGTACTTTTTAAAAAAGCATATAAGTTACCTAAAATTCTAATAACTTTCTTTCGTAGATACATACATTAGATGAATGAAAAGGAACAAGAAAAGGAATTGTTAACTTTTTTGTACACATTTTTTGTTAATCAGTGACAGTTTCTCCAATTGTTTAAATATGTAAATGAAAACTTATGGTTGAAAAGGTGAATCTTGGGCTCCCAAACTTGAAACGATTGACTGAACTTTATACATTGTTAAGACAATAAATAAGTATATTATTCAAAAATGAAAGTCCGATTTCAGCAACAAGTTTAGCAGACATATTGCATCTGGGGGGCCAGAAGGGCCTGTCCCACCCTCTTTTTCTCTAACATTACTTTTCATTATTGGAAATGTTCAATGAGAGGCAGATTCCCATCCTTTTTTGGTACATAGAGTGTATTAATTAAGGGTCAAGTATGTGAAAGAACTGAAAAAGCTTGGAATTTATACCTTGTTCTACGAGTTTTGACCATTTTTTTTTTTGGCTTTTCAAATTTGTTCAGCCTTTTACTCTGGCTAGCACTGCCACTAGTACTTTCATAAACGATGCTACCTACGTCCCGGTTTGGTAATCTATAACGTGTTATATCTCACCGGAACCTATGGGATGAATACGGCCACAAGCAGCCCCAACCAATGGATTCTTTTTCATGCGATCAAGCAGAAGTGATACTGCCTCCGGTTTAAAATCAACATCCCCATCCAATGCTAGTATAAATGTATTGTTAGTAAAGCTCTTCATTATTTCCTCTAAGTCTCCACCACTGTTTTCCAGTTTCTCCTTTTCATTTTCTTTAGTCTCATTCATTTTAAATGATAGAAGATAGAAAAGGTACATCACCTTCAATTCAAAACAAAAATGAAATAAAAAATAATAATAAGTAGGTTACATGGCATATTTTGCAATTTACGATGAATTGTTCACAATATGAACTAGAAATAAGGTGGCTGAAGATAGAGAACAGTAATTGATTTAAAACTTTCAAATATTAAAAAACTTCCAGGAGAGCATAAAATATGGATCCCTGGCAAATCCAGAAGTCGGACCAGGTGTCAATAAAGGGTAATAACCCTTGTCAATCAGTAACATCCGTCGTCGACCCTGTTTATTTGTTTGTTGATTAGCTTTCCTCTTAAGAATTTTTCAGTCAATTAGAGACGCCATCTCTTGTCAGTGGAGGACTGCAATTTTTTTTCTATACTCAGCACGCAGCCCATTTAGCAGTGATGGATGCTTATCGTCAGAACACATACTGCAAAAGTTGACCTTGGTATCGAACCCGCGATGTAAGGATCAGCTCTTTACTCCTCGATTTTAAGGCAGATGTTCTGACAACTGCGTCACGACGAGGGCCCATACATTAATTATTTCCACTGAATAATCATAAGTAAGATTTGGTATGAAACAAAGGTTAAGGTACGACCCATGACGGTTTTTTATGTGTAATGTGCCATACATTTTAGTTGTTGGTTGATGATTACAGTCTATGGTTATTCTAGTTTGTCGGACATTTTAGATACTAGTTGGCCATCAGAATCTATAGTTAGTAAAACTCGTTTAAAGTCAGTATTTTGTAAATTCTATTGTTGTTATATATACCCTATTAGCAAATATAACCAATAGCCGGTGTAAAGACGAATAATGACCCCCATCGAATAATGACCGGGGGTCATTTTTCGACAGCGAAAAATGACCCCCGGTCAATATTCTACGGCGAAAAATGACCCCCGGTCATTATTCAACGTCGAAAAATGACCCTTTTGCCCGTAGAAAAAGGGTCACCACCCTAAAAATTTGCAGAACCCACGTGAAGAAAAATGACCCCGTAGAAAAATGACTCCCTGTGGATTAAAGCTAAAAAATTTTAGGGGGCAAAAAAAAAAAAAAATAGATAAAGAAGCCTGTTGGCCAAAATGCTCACCTAAGCTAATTGGGAAATAAATTGATGATATGTTGATCTCATAACATTATACAATTAAAGCTATATTTTAAGGTCAATGCGATGATTCAGAATCTAAAGGAGTAAAAGATTTATCGAGGCTTAAGGGTTAGGTAAACATTTGTTTTTCGATGGTGGAAATCATCGTACTGACAGAAAAAAATCAGCAGTATTATATATTATTATATCCTCCGCTTGAAACAAAGGTTAAGGTACGACCCATGACGGTTTTTTATGTGTAATGTGCCATACATTTTAGTTGTTGGTTGATGATTACAGTCTATGGTTATTCTAGTTTGTCGGACATTTTAGATACTAGTTGGCCATCAGAATCTATAGTTAGTAAAACTCGTTTAAAGTCAGTATTTTGTAAATTCTATTGTTGTTATATATACCCTATTAGCAAATATAACCAATAGCCGGTGTAAAGACGAATAATGACCCCCATCGAATAATGACCGGGGGTCATTTTTCGACAGCGAAAAATGACCCCCGGTCAATATTCTACGGCGAAAAATGACCCCCGGTCATTATTCAACGTCGAAAAATGACCCTTTTGCCCGTAGAAAAAGGGTCACCACCCTAAAAATTTGCAGAACCCACGTGAAGAAAAATGACCCCGTAGAAAAATGACTCCCTGTGGATTAAAGCTAAAAAATTTTAGGGGGCAAAAAAAAAAAAATAGATAAAGAAGCCTGTTGGCCAAAATGCTCACCTAAGCTAATTGGGAAATAAATTGATGATATGTTGATCTCATAACATTATACAATTAAAGCTATATTTTAAGGTCAATGCGATGATTCAGAATCTAAAGGAGTAAAAGATTTATCGAGGCTTAAGGGTTAGGTAAACATTTGTTTTTCGATGGTGGAAATCATCGTACTGACAGAAAAAAATCAGCAGTATTATATATTATTATATCCTCCGCTTGAAAAGCGGGAGGGTATATAGTGATCGGGATGTCCGTCCGTCCGTCTGTTACGCTTTGGGGTATCTATCTCTTATCCGCAACTCCTCTTATATATAAAAATATGTGTTTGTGAAACACTGATGCCCCAATATGGCAACATAGCGAAGATTAAACTTTTCTTAAATGCAATTTCAATATGTTGGTACCCAAAGTAGGGTCTTAAATTCTCACAAGAAATACAGTTGAGAAATATCAAAGCCCTAGCATCACCTGTTCAAAAATTATGGCCAAGGATAAGTTTTTGAAAGGTAGGTCAAACTCAAAGGTCAAAGGGTCAAAGTTGATGGTTTCTTAAGAAAGGTTTAATGTAGCAAGTATTACCTGTGTGAAGTATGAAAACCCTAGCCTTTACCGTTCAAAAGTTATGGCCAAGGTTAAAGTTTTCTTTCTTAAGTACGGAAATCTCCAAGGTCAAAGTTTTTAGTATCCAATGAAAGGCCATGCCAAACAAAATACATATGTGAAGTATGAGAGCACTAGTATCTACCGTGTAAAAGTTATGGCCAAAGTAAAAATTTGGTATTTTTGTGCAAAATGGGACAAATTCCAAGGTAAAGGTCAAAAGGTCAAATTTGGTGGTACCCAAAGTAAGGTCTTGCCACAAGGAATACACATGTGAAATATGAAAGTCATAGCTCCACTAAATGAAAAGTTATGGTCAAGGTTTAAGTTTTTGCAGACAAACAGACTGCCAGATAGAAAGACAGACATACAGACGGACACGATAAAACTATATACCCTGGTACCCCCGTATCTTCCATTACGGGGACAAAAAGAAATGGTGTTCAATTAACTTTTCATATTATGATACAGTATATAATATAATATAATAATATAATATAATAAATTTCTATAGCGCCCTATATGATAAAAATATCAACCTAAGGCGCTTTACATAGAATGTACATAAAACATTAAATATATTATTATCACTTTAAAAAATAAAATTATTCTTATATTGAGAATGTCTTGTTTTGGTAAAAAAGATTTAAAAAAAAATACAGTTACGATGAATTAAAAATCTAATGGTTAAGAAAAACAAATAAAAATCACTAGATAGATAAATCTAAAAAGTTAATCAAAAGCTAATTTATAAAAATGGGTTTTCAGAATTAAAGAAGACGTTACAAAAATGAAAATGTTTGTTCTGATTTTAATATTAAATTCTCTGAAAAATATACTCAGAACTGAGTTAAAGGGTGGAGTAAAACAAGAATTAAGAAATGTAATGAATACTGTGTGCTTAATCAAAAGGTTTTGTCTACATTTATAGTTTTTGCATTAGAATGTGTATTTTACACTAGCCCATAGCTTTACAGAGCATATTTTTAGGTGTTATACCCACCCCACCCCCTTACTTATTTAAGAGGAATGTTGATTATCTACAAAAGCAACAAAACAAAAAACTACCCTACCTTTATTTTTCTATAAGGAGGGACTAAAAATAAGCTTAAAATAATCTACTATTCTACTAATTTTCAACTGTTACTTTGCCACAATACTTTCAAGTATGCCCCCACCAATATTTAAAGTAAGCTTTAATCATGGCGAATTAATTATGATATGATAGTACTTAATTGAAGGCTTAACTTCATTTCAATATTTTATCTAGAGCCTCTTTCAGTATTATTGAAAGGTATAGAGTTTTATTTATATTTTTGCTTTTCATTTATTTTTTTTTTGTTTTGTTTTGATTTAACGTAATGTTCTTTTTTTTTTGGGGGGGGGGGGGGGGGTAGTAAAAATTTCCTCCTCTTTCATTGTCAAATAGGATTTGCCAAACTTAACAAGCTAAGAGTTGAAATGAAGGAAAAATTAATTTTTCCTATTAAAGAGTACTAGTGTTTGAACCTGATTGTTGCATGGTTTGATTTCTAAAAACAAGTGAAAAATCATTCTTTAAGCAAACATTATAAGGAGGAATATTAAAAAGAAATTTTATTTACTTGGCAATTAAAGATAAGAATCTCTTTCCAAACAAAATTTTAGCATTGTAAGACTACGTGGATCTCTTAATTATTTCATACGACTTTTTGTATTTTTCTGGTTACAGAAAATGTAAAAATTATTTTCGCTGTAAAAAAGATATCAAAGTGGGTATATTGTGAAAAAAAATATTATAAACTTTATTTCTTAATAAAGTTTATGAATACATTTAAAATTATGGATCAAATCTATTCGAACAAATGCAGGAATTACTCGAAGGAAGAACAATTATAATATACAGCATATTTTTCCCTTTCACCTGTTATAAATTTTATATCACTTTAAAGGGAGTCATTTTTCAATGGGGGTCATTTTTTTATAGGACTAACATATAAAATAATGACCCCTAGGACTCTTTTTCAACAAAAAATGATTTTTTTTCTACGGGTGGGGGTCGTTTTTTTGTCGTTGAAAAATGACCCCCCGTTTATTATTCGATGGGGATCATTATTCGTCTTTACACCGGTCGTATTTTACCTGATTTGTTTCATACTTATCGTAAAACCTTTCTGTGTGTATTAAATTTGACTAGGGAAAGTCACCTGATTCCACCTCTCCAATAGCCATGGCTCCGTGTTTTATGCCCTTTTCACAGAATGTACTTTTTTATGTTTTTTGAGCCCCATCACTGCTCGTTATCGTCATTACCTTTTCCCTATGAATTTCTTTCTCTACTTTTGTGTGCATGTGTGTGAGGGAGGATGTGTGTGTTTTTGTACCTGGCTCCAACGTTTACGATTCCTTATTTTAGTTTTGTCTTTAAGGTGCACCACAAGTTTCTGCGATGTTAGTAGCTCCCACTCGAATCTAGCGCCATAAGGCGTCTCATATCGCTTTACTTCGTCTAACTCGAATCCACCGTATATTGATCTGAAATTTAATAATAAATGTAAGTGGCTAATACGCTGTCGTCCTCATTTTTGGTTGTAGCGTTCTAAACGTTGTCATTGAAGAGATTTTGTGTCAATTTATATCAATAAACTTACTTTGCTGTTTTTGGTATTACACTTTCAAGTGTCTTGACATAATCATTAACTTCTATGCCTTTCAGTTGTTTAGTACCAGTTTTGTTCATCCGGGGTTTGAAAGCGTCATCGAAGAAGATGTGTACTAGAGAAAATTTTAAACGGATGAATGTCGTATATGATTTGATATATTTCATTGAATTTTACTGCTGATGATTTTTTTCTCTTAACATATAAATGTAATATTTTACCTTCAAATTGATAAACGTCTTCGTTAATATACGACTTTTTCTTCGCTTTTAGAGTTTTTTCGTGCTCTTTTTGAATAAATTGTTCATAATCAACCCTGCAAATATGTAGAAATTTTACATGTGTAGAACTACTCTAATTTAACACAAAATTTGATTTTTTTTCTGTTACCTTGACCAAAAAACTCACTTAAAGATTGATTTCAGTAGCTGCGTCATTTCAGTTTCAGTCTCGTGCCACATGGTTGCACAAAAATACACAAATGGCCTATAGTATTTTTCACTGTCGATAGAGCCTGTAGATTTTTCTGCTTCCTGTAAACAGTATCTTTATCAAAATCTTATCTGGAAAAAAAAGACAATTTTTGTACCAGCCTTAAATAATGAGGACTAACCTCGCTTTTTTCCTCCCCTCTCTGTTCCGTTGTGTCTTTACACCTCGTTAAAAGTAAAGAAGTATTTAGAAATATTCCACAGTACGGCGGTTTCCGGAATAATCTACAAAATTGCAAACATTAATATATACATAAGATCATGCTACCGTTTTGTAATATAATATAACAATATAAATGAAAGTTATTAAGACCCTAGACATAAACATTGTATTTTGTAGTCTTACCTGTCGCACTTAACTAGCTTGGATCCATTGTTTGTCCAAACGTATAAAGTAAGCAGAATGCATGCAACAAATCCAAAACACCCAGACACAATCAACTGCCATATGTCTTTAATGAATGTCCCTCTTAACTCCCATAAAGGTTGCACAATGTTACAGTCCTGGGTAGTCCAGAACAAGGGATGCTTCATAACTGGTATAATCAAAAGAGGGGTACCCAGCCAACTTAACACGAGAGGAGAAGAAAAACAAACGTACTGAAGATTGACTCTACATGCAAATCGTGCACTTTTAAATCCAACAAAGCCGAGAACAACACATATTATTATAAGAGCATCCAAATCATGTCTTCCACAACCATAAGGGAAATACGACCTGGATTCAAGAATAACTTTACCCGTCAAGGTTTTTACTTTGGAAGTCCCAAATAGAGAAATGGCTTTAGCTGTGTCGTAGGCAGTCGAATCATCGGTCGACATTATTGAAAAAATGATATATGGAAACGAAATAGACAAAACCACTTTCCATAGAGCTGTGAAAAGCGATACCAGTTCTCTTTTAGACCGGATATATTCCATGAGAAAAGTTTTGAGCCTTGATTTTATACTTTTTAGCTGATTTGTATCTTTTTCGAGAGTTATTGTGGAACTAAACATTAGAAAATTTTCCCAATAGGTTATGGAAACCAGTACCAATGAAATTATTAAAAGACAAAAAATTAACGCAAAATTTTCCTCTCCTGAATTTTTATAAATATACCACCCTGCAAAACCCAATGAAATGAGAAAAAAGACAAATCCAACTTTTTGTGTAATATTGAAGACAACGTCATAAAACTTGGTGTCATCTTCATTTTTACTTACTGGCAACTCTTTTTCTTTTTCATTACCAGATACATTTCTACTTTCTTGCACATCTTTTTCAATATCAGGCTCATTTCTACTTTCTTTCGAGTCTTTTTCTTTTTCTGGCACATCTTTTTCAATATCAGACTCATTTTTACTTTCTTTCGAGTCCTTTCCTTTTTCACTACTAGAAGAATTTTTTATCCTCGGACAATTCTTTTTTATATCAGAATCGTTTTTACTTTCTTGCAACTTTTTTTCAATATCAATATCTTTTTTCCTTTCTGTCGATTCTGTTTTTTCAATACAAGAACTATTGGCCACTTTTTGTGTCATGGTTTTTATATCCATTCCAGAGAATTTGAGGTCACAAAACAAACTAAAAACTACTGGAAAAAAAATGATGAGGCAAGACAAAATAGAAGCAGTGATTGGGTCAAACGCGGGAAGCACAAGAAAAACCAGAAGACAAAGACCCGTTGTATGAAGTGTCTCCACCACTAGACTCTGAAAGATATTAAGGGATAATAAAAGAAAATTATTAATTTATCTTACAATTGTGATTTTTCTTTCTGTTTTGTAGCAACTCGGACAACTTAACTAACGATTAGTTGTGAAAAATGTGTATGATTTAAAACGGAACAAAACCTACCAATATTAACCTTTTGAAGTCACATTTTTGAGTTTCCTTAAAACAGAGTCTCCACAGTGAAAGAATAATTGTGTAAATGTCTGGAACCACCATAACAATAACGAGACCCCAAATCCACATCACATTCACCGACGGTGTTTCTTCCAACAACTGACATAAATGACGACTTACTGGAACGCATTCCCAAGTTGTTGGAAAATCCTCTCTTTGAAGAAATGAAGAAGCACAGTCAGTGTTATTGGAGTTTTGAGTGCAGTTATATTTAAGGTAAGTTCTCTCTTCAACAAGACGAAGAAGACCGCCCATTTTATCTATAGTTGTGGTTGAGTTAGCTTGTGGTGGATTCAGCTTCCAGATCATTAAATGGATAATAATTCTTGTTAATCCTGTTGATACCAGAACGATGAAAAACAGGGTGATACTGAATAAAATAACACCTATCTTTGTAAAAATGTTCCAACACGTGTCTGAATCATCAGAACTTATTGGCGGTGTTTCATCTACTAAATCCCAGTATTCATTCCTACAACAGTATTTTATAAACAAAATCCATCACAAAATTAAAATATTTAATGTACATAATGATGGAAAAACTCATTGACATTTTTAAAGAAAAAATTTAACTTTTGGATAATTCCTTCAATTATAACCAAACACTTATAAACCTTAATGATCTTTTTATGGTAGATGTATAGTTATTCTGAATGGTAAGCCTTTTCGATAATCTACATACTGTTCGTTTTCAGGCTGTTTCTTCGTTTCTCCGGATTTCTTTATCTTCTTTTCACTTTCAGATTTGTGAGGAACTTTACCATTACTGCTAGAACTGTAAGATATTATATCTGTTACACATGTGCTATGAAACAATTAAAAACTGAATAAATGAAATATTTATGGTTCAGAACCACCAAATAGTGCTAAGGTTCACTTATTTTATACCAAAAAATGCATTAAAACATCGTAAGCTTTGTCAGCAATTTTGAATTGTAAAGACAAGGTCGTATCTTCGATGGGTTTTAAGGCGGAAGTTTAAATCCAAAATTCCTTATAAATTGACCTTCTTTTAAAGTTCTTACAACCAATCACGTCTCTTTGGTTTCATTGGCACATTACAAAGTAATCTACATGCTAATCTGACAATTCGTACACTGCAATTATCTGTCTATTTTGCATATATATGATTCCTCCTTAAATACTAATTTCTTTGGTCGACTTTGTTTCAGGATAGAAGATATATGTACGTAATCGAATATCAAGATTATGTTCAAAGATCTTTACTGCAACGCCAGTTTAAACAATGAAGTAAATATAAAAGGCTATTATAAAAATATATTAATTCAAACGACCAGAAACCCTCGAAAACTAGTAATTATTTGGATAGGTATTATCCACATAATTGTTTAGAATGGTATATACTTATACGTTCTTGACTTTTTAAAAATACAATATATTATGCGAATTATTTGCATCCCTTCAACGCACCCCCTTTTAAAAGAACGATTTATCCATGCTTTTTTCTTAAGTTACAATTTTAGCTTCTACATACGTAGTCTAAACACAACCCTTTCCCAATCCCAATTACAACTGAACATACAAAAAATCGTGGTGTCTGAAAAACAAAGTTTGGAACACTGAAGTAATCAAACAATATCTGCATATTATGTTTGAGGTATTGAAAAAGGTATGATATGCTCAAAGATTTTCAAAGCATGATAGTAAAATTAATCTTTTCGAATCTTTTCATTACATTTACATGGACTAGGAGGAGTACATATATCTAGTAAATATATCTGACATTAAAAGTTCTACATTCATTACATATCGGTATATAAATTATATATACATGTATATTATCGAGAAATTTCGTTTTATAATGTTAATTAGTTATAATTTGTTGCAAAAAAAAAATCATTGAGTTTTATTACTAACTCAAAATACCTACCTCTGACTTTCTTGTACAACTTGACCTGGTATCGTTGTTTCCTCGCCATTTTCTGACTTTTTGCCTTTGCTCTCCACAATTGATTAGATTATAATATTTACACCAAAGCCCCGCGGTTCTATAGACTCTGCGCTGCACTTGTTTACAGCATAGTTGTTAGAGCGACGAAATAATGTATGCTGGGATTTTAAACATGCGTATTCTTTAAGTTAAATTTAAATATTTGACAAGTATTGAAACTGTTCTGTAATATGATCTTTTGAACACTTTTTAAAAAATAATTGAGTAAAGTAGATCCCCCATTGTTTATGCATTTCAATAGATATTTGGAACCATTTGGGTAGAAAATTTACAAGAGAACTAAATAAAATTGCTTCAATGCACTCATGCTTATTCTTTATGCAAAAATAAATTAAACTTCTGGAACAGTTTGTTTTATTTTCGAGTCCATATCAACTTGAAGATCGCAAGTAATTACTAGTTTAATATTGAAAATCGAAATGTGAAAGACCTATTATACAAAGAAAAAAAGGCCCACAGGCCATAAAGGTCACCTTTGTATCAATGCAACAACTTAAAAAACAATTAATTTTTGGTTCGTGTGTGAAATCAATGATCATGAAATTTGAAAGATCACAATTGCTCATCATAAATATACACTTAACATACTTACTTTGATAACTTAATACCTAGAGGCAGATTGAGCAGAGAAACGAAGGAGAAATGCATTTCCACTTTATAAACAATAGTGCCCCGCCCCATATTATCCCCTGACCATTGCACATTATAAACCTTTGCAAAGAGCAGATTTCAAATCATAAATCAACATCAGTATATAACCATTAGAGCCCCCAACCTTAATAGACCCTAGGGTCATGAAATTCACATCTCTGTAGGAGCACCCTTGCTAATCATAACTACGATGTAATTAGATCATAAAGTAATGTGATCATCTGCATTATACCCAGGAGCAGAGGAGAAGATTTTCAATGAAACATATGGAGATAACGAACAGTATACAAAATCAAAAGTCCCTAAAACAATACAAAATAAGAATTAATGCATTTTCACTACATAACAATAAACCCCGCCTTAACACATGTGCTCCTATCCAAGGGGTCATAAAATTCACAATTTTAGAAAATCGACACCCCTCCTCATCATAACTATGTACATAGCAAAAACAATGTACAACAAAAGGAGAAGTAATTAAGGTATGTCACTCGTGAAAATTGTTATATCAAAGAATTTTTTGAGAAGTATATTTTGAATAAGTACTCAAATAGTAAGACTCAAAACCGCAGAGGAAATAGGGGATCAGTGTGCACATAGCTTAGCGACGGTACAATTAAGATTACCATTTTGCACTTAAATTTTTATTCTTTTATTAATTACTTTAACCTTTGTCATATTTTATCAGATGTAACAATGGCAATGAATATAATCTTACTTTACATGAAATAGTTTGAATAATATTTATCATTGAATAAATATTGCAAATTAATGTGACCTTCTTGCACTATTTGGGATATTAAAAATCTAAATTTGAAATAAAATATTTTCTTGTATCAAACTTTTCACGACTTAAGTGCTGATCAGTCACAAGGTATTTCGTAATTAAAAATAATGAAAGAAAAAGTTGGGGTCAGTGATGTAAATTTTTAAATAATGGTCAAAATATGCGATTTTCGGGCAAAAAATGGTGTAATTTTTATCTTGACTTCCTTAACATATTTTTTTTCTTGGCAAAGTTTGTTGAGGGAAGGTGAAAAATTTATGCTAAAAATATAAATTGAGACCCGCATATTTAATATTTCTAGCATATCATAACGAAAAACTTTCTCCGAGTAAAAGTTGTGAGGCTAAAGATACAAGATATTAAATTCTAAAAATATGCAGATTTGCAGATTTTTTTTTGCTAAATATCCTTCCACCACAAGAAATAGTCCTATAAATCATACTTCTTTGTGATTTTTAGAGCAGTTTTTTCATTGAATATTGAAAATTTTACATTTATTGTTTGAATAAAATGTTTTGAAATTTTTGAATTAAAATAATTTTCAAGTTATAGGTTCTGGCAAAATTTCTCTAAAATGCTGACGAGTGACATACCTTAAAAATGACTGAAAAGAAAAAAAATTGTCCCCGACATGATTCAAACCGGGGCCTCTGGATCATAGGGCGAACGGTATAACTGCTATGCTATCGACGCTGTTGAAATTTAAGGGAAATATAATACCTTTAATATATATTATAGTATTTTAAATAAAATTTGTTTGGTACAAGTATTTTTCAGTGTTTGTATTTATTGATCAATCATCGATTATATAAATAGTTATAATTATAAATTATTTTTTAAGTTATATCATATTTCACATGGCTGCAATTCAGCTAACCTGGACAAAGACAAGTAAGCTTTTACATGTACAAGAATAATTTTCAACCACTTGCGAAACAATCAATGTGTCACATTTTTGAGTTTGTTTGTGAAAGGACTGAATAAATTTCATCCAAATGGTGCTGGCCTCTTTTCCTTTCAAAGATGGATGCCTCTTGCATAGGTAAGGTGAGATCCAGCAATTAATTTTAAGCCTTGGGTCAGGGAAGATTCAAATAATGTTGTCTGGGGAAAGATATTCAAAAGGTGTGCTCAAAGAAAGGCGATCGAGATTTATATAAATTGCTTTGGATAAAAGGGTTTTAAGATACAGTGGATACTACAGTAAAATATGCCTGGCTATGGAGATATTCAAATTACGTACTTACTTTCAAGTTAGGAAATTAATTAATGTGCTCTGGGAAAGAAAAGACTTATATAGTAATGTCTTATGGTCAAAGGAGGTTCAAATAAAGAGAAGAGATTCCATGATAGATTATGAGAAAAGAAGATTCAAATACATTCTTGAGAATTCGTGACTTCAAGAATATACCCTGGTTCATATGAGGTTTCCTGGAAAAGAGGAGATTCGATGAAGAGGAAACTCAAATAACGTCGTCATTTGTGATCGCTATGCCTGGGAAAGGAGACATTCGAAAGGTGTCCTCTTGGGAGGGAAAGTCTACATTTATCTTTACATGTATATTCAGTTGTACTCTTTAATGTCAGAGTATCTTGACACCAGGGAAAACACTTTTTTTCTGATGAAGCAAATTTTATCGAGTACATGTACAAAACTGCACATTATATACTACTGTAAACCAACTTTTATTCGCGTGCGAGAAATTTTCGCGAATTTCGCGAGAACCTCGTCAACGCGAATATTTCTCGCCGCGAACCGGTCATTATAGTCTGTATGTCTATAAACAGGAGAACCTAAATAGGCGTGATCGCGAAAATTAATCGTCGCGAACTAGTTTACTCCTGCTAAATCGCGAAATAAAGTCGTCGCGAATAAAAGTTGGTTTACAGTATGTAAAACATATTTGTGCAATACTAGTATAAATCGCTTTAATAACTGCTAAAACGTACAATGGCTTAAGTTTTCAATAAAGAGGACATTATTCACTAAAGATTATTATATAAAATACTGAGAGGACAGTTTATTTTATTGGAGATTTTCATTAAAAGTATAGTAGCATTCAAAAATATTGATTATATCAGATGTATAACAATTTTAAATTTTATGAGTGAAACAAAATACTGAATATGTTTGCGCATTTTTGGAGACAACCCCTAAATATTTTTCAATCAATGGATTCTAGACCCCCACTAAAATGCGTCATATTATTCAATCATTTTCTGCATGGGGGATACCATGTCAAAATATTTTTTGATAGTATGTGCATCTGATATTTTTTTAAAACTTCAAATTCTAGATTAAATTTGACATCAAATTTGTAATTTACTGTCACGTAATAAAATTCTCAAAGTGAGATGAAATTTAAATGTCATAATATAGGCCATTCGTTTTAACACGTTCAAATTATAAATGCTATTCTTTAGCTCCTTTTTCCTCTTTTTCTATTGAGATTGGTCTGCACACAGTAATTGTAATAAATATAAAAAATCAAAAATTGTTGAATTATGAATTTTTCAATGAATTATAAAGAGTTGACATGCAACGGGAACAAAAGTGCTTTAATGTCATAGACTGAGTTTTAATTACCAAAGTAAAACAAAACATATATAAACAACCAATCTGCATTCCTTTTTAAACCATCAATGGAAAAACAAAAAACTACAAATACTTATGTATACGTGCGTTTTCCTACTGCTACATATATTAGAAAACTAATTATTTTTAAAAATTTCCAACTAAAATATTCCATCCCTTAATTCATTCATGGGAGGATCCAGGATTCCTTGTATCCAGGGGCGGAGATGTAACCTCTAGGAAATTCTGCATGCCCCTAACACTCAGTTTCTTAACATGTTTATCTGGAAAGCGATTGAGAATCTCCTCCTCCTCACTGTCCTCGCCAATCGTTTCTAACTTGCTTTCGATGTTCTTTCTAAGGTCAACAATGGTTCGTTGTTCCAATGCAATTTGTCCGGAAAGAATTTGAAGCCCGACTCCTGCTTTAAGTATTTTCCATTTGGACGATTTTTGAGTACTGATATCTTCCTTTTCCTTCTTTTCCTCTCTTTCTTCAGCAGCTACTAGTTTCTTTAATTTCTTGATCGGAATTTTCGTGTCCAATTTTTTATCAAAGATTTTTGTTCTAGCTACTATATGAGAAATTGTTGACACACGGTGTGTTAACATTCCAAAAAATTGCATTAAAAGGAGAATACCAAAGACAAGCGTAAAAGCGATAGAGATGGGTTCGATCACGCCTTGAGTTTCACCAACACTGCATGGTAGAGGGATTGAAAGTGTGTTCTGATAAGCATTTACTTGAGTGAGAACATAAACAATTGTAACAAAGATGGCATTTGTTATAAAATAAAAGAAAAACACCTTGTTTCTCAGATCAATTAGTTCAGCTTGTATTTTAGCCTTTTCCTCTTTATTCTCGTTCAGAGGTTTGAGGTATTTTTTGATAAATTTTCTCCAAAAATCCTCTTCATCATTTTCAATGGCAATGCATTCTTTGTAAATACCACGTTTTTGGTTTCCCTTTTGTCCTGAAGAGGAAAAAATATATTTTATCTGTGTCTTCCTAATTTCAAAATTAAAAATAAATGATTCAAATCAAGGATATACCTGTGTTTTTCTTTTCCGTTGCTTTTGCTTTATCTTTGGACCCCTCATTCTTTGTGGTCTCTGATCCCTGGACCTTCGATTTGCTTTCGTTTCCTTCAGCTAAGTGTTCCTTCTTCTTGGATTTGCTTGAACTTTTTTCATCCTGTTTATCATCAGACTCCTTATCTGCCTGGTTCTCTTCATCCGATTCCCCTTCGTCTTCTGATACAGCACGTCTCGTATCCTCAATTTCATTAAAGCATAAAATACATCTGTAATGAATAGCATTCATATTTAACGATTTCCTAAACTTATATTTTAAATTTTTAGATGATATTTGAGCAATAACAAAACTTTTTCCATGATTTAGATTTAAAACCGGTAAAAAGGGATATTTTTTCAATGAAATGTTTATATGTTTCATACTTTACCTGCACCAGTCTCCAATAGAGCACGATTGGCCTAGAACTCGTTTCTTCATCTTCTGAGATGAGGAGTCATCATATTTTGCTGTTTTACTTTCACGAGTTCCCCAATTAACGTTATGAAGATTCCCAACAGAGTAGAAGATTAAAAGCATAGACATTGATGGAACAGACAGAAAATAAAGAAGACCGTGAAAAATACAGGCAAATTCCTACAATCAAAAAACTTAAATGTCATTAACAAGCAATGTATATTAAAATATCAAGCCCTAAAATACTTTCTTTTTGAATTTTAAAGTAAAACAAAATCAGTGAGACCATCCTTTTTATTTAATCTTTGTTTGACAGCTCCCGACTCAGGGTAAAATAATTAGGTCGATACGTAGGTGGGAACAATTTTTCTTAGAACATTTCAACATACACACTGACAGGAAAAGAAAAACCAGAAACAAAAATAAAACCTTTCTTGAAGTTTAAAAATTATTTGAGTCGAGCCATTTTGATTCAATCGGTGAAAGGAGAAACAAACAACTTTTTAAAGATGGTCTGAGAATATATTCACGTAAAAAATTGATAAATGTATGAATACCATTGGGTGCAAAACTGCAGCAATTATAAAGACTCCAGCCACGAAGCAAAAGAACACAGTTGTAACTGAGCAGAATTGTGCCTCGACGCCTTCCTTTAGCAACCCTATCAGAACAACCAACATGACCAAGCTGTAAAGTGTCGACAATATTGCCGCAAACAAAAGCTGCAACATAAATAAACAGTGTTTCATAATAACGTGTAAAAGCATCAAAACATGTGGAAAGGGTAATGGAAGAGATCGATTTACCTGCGTTTCCTCTTTGGCGACGTAAATTGAGATAATAAAGATGGCTACAGGAACACCATTTAGTAATAATGCAAGCCATGGTTCAATTTGTGGGAAGGCTGTTATGATGGCACCAAGAATCAACAGAAAAATTGTTCCTGGTGTCAGTATTGAGGAAATGAATAAACAGATGTGGTAAAAAATGTACGGTCTTGAAATGTTCTGATTCGTCTTCCTGACATTGTTTCCATCCATTAAAAGATCCAAAATGTTTGCCATTGTGGATGGAGCCCAGCGTCTCCTCTGGTTATAGAACTCGTAAAATCCTTCCGGGGCAAAGGTCAAAGCATCCGAAGCAGCACAATACTCTACCCTGTACTTTTGTTTTAACAACAAGGTACATAACCACCTATCTTCACCTGTATTACAAAATCACATGAACTTATAATTTTCAGAACATGGAACCCTCATCTGAATTTTCCAGCCAGTAGGAAGTATTAAGAAAAAAAATCTTCAATCATTTGATATTAATTATCTTCTATTAAAAATTCATTTAAAAAAGTAAACATATGAACTCTAATGAAGTGATTTAAAAAAAAAAAGAACTACATAATGTGAATAAATCTAAATTAATACTAACAACTGTTGGGTGTTAAAAATGTTCGACACTTTCTTTATATTATGCCTACACCAACTCTCACTTTACACTATATAGAGGTTTTTTTCTCGTTTGAAACAAACCTTGATCGTACTGTACATAATGAGCAGCTTCAGTTGGCTTTCTTGTGTAGGTTTTCATAACATTGTCTGCTAGTAATGCTGAACCACGAAACAGACTGAAGCATCCCGGAGAACATAATACACAGCCAAACACATGTTCCGTAGCCTTCTGAAGCCAGTGGCTTACGGCATACTCAAACGTTTGATACCAAACCATAGGGCCTGAATATAAAAAATAGATATAAACGTTAAATGTTATTTTTTAAATGAAGAGATACCGAACAATATATTTCAAACAAGAGTGTCAAATTTCTTTTTAATCATGGTACCTTCTTTTGCAATATTTTGCAAAAAAAAAAACTTCAACATCTGTAATTTTTCTTCATATGTTATCCAAAAAGTAACTATTAAAATAAGTGCTAAAATAAGTGCTCCTATTACATGGCTCTATTTTTACTCACCTCATATTAAGATAACAATGTAAGAGGCAAAAGTAATTCTGTAAATAAGAAATCTCAGTTTTGGACCCGTAATAGCCCCATGTTAGAATCGAAATTTGAAAATCTTATTGCACATCTACAGAACAAAATCACTCATATTACACGATATACTTGCTATATGCAAAAAATATAAAGGTAACCGAGGTTTTGTTAAAAAAAAAAATGGATGTTTTCTAAGCCCCAATCGCCCCGAAAGTAAAAATCATAATGCAGAAGCCTTATTGCACATCTACAAGATGGTCCCAATTATATTTCAAAATATAAATTGGCTTATGCCAAATGTAGGGAGAACCAGAAAGCAGTTTTGTCGTAAAAACGTATTTTGGTAAACTCAACAAATCCAAGATAAAAATTGAAACGTTGATTTCAAACTTTACAGACCACTTATAATTAAAATCACATTCCAAAATATCTAGGGTCACTGTAAAAATGTTTAGGAGTTGTAAGGGAACGGGTTTTAGTAGATAAAACGTCTCTTGAGCCCTAATTGCCCCCAGGGTGCAAATTGTAATTCCAAAACCTTATTGGACATTACTAATGACCTAGAAAAAAATTATGAACAACAAATGCATAAGGAGATCGGGGAACCAGATTTTTGTAGAAGAAAACGACGTTTTTATTTTTGGTCTTCAATCGCCCCCATAATACAAGCATGAAATTATAAAATCTATTTAACATCTTCAGAACACCATCAGCCATTACTCAGTATTCAAAAGACCATTGGTGACAGTAAAAATGAGATGAGTTCGAAATCCAAATTTTTGTAGAAGAAAACTGTTTTACTTGCACGATTCAAAAAATAAAAATTTTAAAGTCTTTTTGCATATTTTCATTTCAGGCACCAATAATCATATGTTAAAAGTTGAGTTGACCTCTGCTTTAAATGTAAAAGTATTTTGAGGAAGAAGATAACCCCGATAACAATCTACCCGAATTTTCATTAAAAAATGTGGACATAAAACATAAAAAGCTTGAAAAATAAAGGAGTTATCCAGATGAAGTATCCGTTTGGACGTCCCCACTCAATGTTTTAACTCTTTCCGATCTATTTTAAAAAAACGAATTTTTTTTACAATGCACGACATTGTGAGAAAATCTGGAAATAATTTTCTTTCAGCAGCGACTTCAACATTTATTACGCGCAATACTCACCGGAACCTATAGGATGAATGCGACCACAAGCAGCCCCGACCAATGGATTCTTTTTCATACGATCAAGCAAACGGGTTACCGCCTCCGGCTTAAAATCCACATCCCCGTCCAATGCTAGTATAAATGTATTGTCAGCAAACATCCCCATTTTTTGCTGTACCATCTTCTCACTGTTTTTTGGGTCCCTCTTAAGTGATTCTTTTGTTTCATTCATTTTGAACGTTAGTAGATAATAGAGATACATTACCTTTAATTGAAAACAAAATCAAATAATGAAAAATAAACTGGGTCAATTTATTTAAATTTCTTTTCGTTTTCATAATATTGTTCATGTTAAGAGTAAAGTTTTGCGCATTTATTTCTGTGTGCTTGGGTCAAGGTATTTAAATCCCGTCTTAGGCCGTTTTGGTCATTCGAGTTAGTACTCAGCTATAGATAGCAAATAATACTATGAACATTGATATCGAACACGATTTTTTTAAGGGAGTTTATTGTAACAGGGGAGGGAGGGAGGGAGGGACGGACGGCGGTCCTCTACTACTACTGGACCCACCGTCTCTCCCTCTATCTATAGGGGCTGTCTTATCTTTCGTGGCAAGGCTTGCGTTACACAGCTCAACATGAGCTCAGGAGGGCTAGTATGGCACAGTGGTTCAAAACTCAAAACTCTTTAATCTTATATCACAACACTAAATTATCTCCCTTTAATCAATGAACTCGGATAACTCGCCACTGCCCAAAACCTATACCTCCTATTATTAACCCGCGCTCTCTAAGTTACACTAAATTTATAAATACACGAAATCTCTCAGCTTTTATTCTCTATTTGTCAGGCTCATTACTACCTAGATCTAGGGAAGTCACTACAAATTCTTGAATACTCATTATCTCATTACTCAGTTCTTACTCTTTTAAATCCCACAATTTCCATCTTGTTGGAAAATCACACTTTGATAGAATCTTGTAAATCTCTGTACTTGAAATGAGACAAAATACAGTTTTACAATTTATTATAAGAATTATCTCTCAAACGAACAATCAATAAATTCTAACCTCTGTCTCAGTCTGTCTTTTGTCACCTATTAGTCCTAACTTATCTGTCTAAAACCAACCTCAATGCAGCTCACAAAACTCCTAACTCTCAAAACTTCCTCCCAGACCTCCTGGACGACAGTAAAAACCAATAACTAAAACTTAATCCCATAAACTTAAATTAATTACTACCAAATTTGAAATACCAGTAATTCCTGAAAATTTCCTAAGTCTGAATTCCAGTTAAAACAGTAGCAAAATTTAGAAATACACTAGCTTCCTTAGCTAAATGTATAAATTATACCTAAACAATCTTAAGTAATTCTAAAATTTATCAGCAATTTACCAAAAATTCAAACAAACAGCAAATTTTAACCAAGTCCAATTCTCAGTTAAAATTCACTAAAACCTGATCAAAACTTCCTATAAAATTCCACAAATAATCCAAAAGTTCCTAAAAATCCTTAAAATAACCCTGGCTCTTCTTAAACTAAAACTAAAAAGTCATTATTAAATCTAAATTCAAAACGCCCAACCCATACTAACTCCTTACCCCTAAAACACATCTTCTCTATACCATTCAACCTAGCAGAAGAGCAAAAATTCCTTGAATCTCTCTCTTTTATACAATAATATGACGTAATTGCTGGAAACTCTCGTGACATTTCCCGTAAGCGGCAAAGTCTATAGAAAAATCTAATAACTACATACAAGACAACTTTTCTGAATGAAAGTAATCTCTAAATACATTCTTCAAATAGAATACGTAAATTAATCTCCATTTAAATCAACGAATAACACAATTAACTCCAAAAATCCTAAAACTATCGTAACTTTTACGATCGGGCTCGACCTACACAATTTACGACCGCCAAGTTCGTAAACAAATCTACCAGTTTACAACAGGACAATAAACTGCCGATAATTAACTGAAAACAAGTTAAACTTCAAGAAAACATGATTTCATCTATAAATCTATGGTTTATCTTCTACAGAAGACCCATTAAAGTCCCTGAAACATGAAGTAAGCTAAAATAATACCACAACTTTACTACTGCTATGATCAGCTGATTTCTACGTAACTCAAAACATGTGCACAACTTATTTCAACTCATGTAAATCACTTAAACTTGTCAATAATCACCTATCAACTACATGCAAGTATAAATTAATACATATTCCTGCAATGTCAAGTAACTTTAACACATACAAACTCATCTTAAGTCTCCTAAAATGTCAACAATAATCAGGTTCAATAACTCTGTATAAAACTAATCTGTCAAATCACTGGACCGTTACATTATTTATAAGTCGTTTATGATATATTTTCTATTGCAGTTTTTTGAATGTCCAGAATTTGCAGTCCAATTTTTTTTATTAAAGAAATTCTAAGGGCATAATAGGATTGTATTGTATATTATAGGTAACTTAATTTGTAACAGTACTGTGAAATCACAAATTTTCCTGGGGGGTTAATTTTCGTTGTTTTCAAGGTACGGCAAGACCCACGAATTTATGTCCACCATGAAATGTAAAATGTCACATACATAAGTACTCATTAATTCTTGATCCACGAAATCAAATCCCCACGAACCAAGAGATTTTCCTCAAACCAAGAAAATTTGAACCCACGAAAATATGTGATTTTACAGTATTTATCATGTACATATGTATATCGATATTAAAAAGAATTCACCCATAATGCAGAGAGAGACCAAGAAGACTTTATTTAAGTACATTAATACTGTATATCATAGGTAAGATTACAAGAATTAAGTTAAAAGAGTTGAGCACACAACTCATATCTAACAAACACTGTCAATTATAATATGTTCTTGACTTTTATTATGGATTAGAAAAGAAATGATTTATTAGCGGATGAACAGAGTGAAGTAAAAAATAAACGGTTTGAAAGTTGGGGTCGAATTAAATTAAATGTGTACTATAACTTGATTATTTTTTATTCTAAATGAGCCAAATCAAGCTCAATCTCTGAATATACAATGAGGAAACATTTACAACTCTTTCTCTCTCCCTCTCTCTCTCTCTCTCTCTGCGTTTGTAAGTTTTGAATTGTACCTGGCTCCAACGTTTACGATGCCTTATTTTTGTTTTGTCTTTCAGGTGTACGACAAGTTTCTGTGATGTTAGTAGCTCCCACTCGAATCTAGCTCCATAGGGCGTCTCATATCGCTTTACTTCGCCCAAATCAAATTCACCATACACTAACCTGTATTATTAAAAAAAATATCAGTATATTGCCGACCCCCTCCCCTTCACATCACTGATACTGAATTACATGTTTAAGTTTTTGCACCAATTTATATCAATAAACTTACTTTGCTGTTTTGGGAATCACACTTTCAAGTGTCTTGACATAATCATTAACTGATATGCCTTTCAATTGTTTAGTACCAGTTTTGTTCATCCGGGATTTGAAAGCGTCATCGAAAAAGATGTGTACTAAATACAATATCAAAAAAGTATGAACTTGTGTTAATTAATCTTTGCAACCAAACATTTTACTTTTTTACAGGTATATTTTTACCCGAAAAGTCGTAAGCCTCTTTGTTTGTGTAAAGTGGCTTTTTCATCTTCTTCCTCTTTTCGTTGATTTTATTTTCATACTCCTTCTGAAGAAATTGTTCGTAATCAACCCTAAAAATAAAAGAAAAATCTTAATCTCCGCTCGACTCTAACAGAAAAGGATGACTGCATTTACCGCTGTCTTTTGGGCCTTCTTCGGTAGCTTCGGTTGCTCTTAAATCCTACCCTTATTTTACTTTTGTGTGTTTACCACTTTTTTTTTTTTTTGAGAACAATTTTAAAGGATTTTCAACCCTAATAAGACCAAATTCTCTATCTTTAAATGTGCATCAAAAACACACAATACTGTAGATGTACTTTTTCCCACGGGGTCATATTTCCAATTAAGAACGCATGGAAAAATATCAGCGGAAAATTCTTGACTGCGTTACATAGCGTAAATCGATACCACGCGGAAAAAAGTATTTCTACAGTACTCTGATATTAAATCAAAACACTCACCCTTAAACTTTTAATAGTAATTAATGGGAATTATGTCTAAATATATTTAGTATTCAACATCCACACATCTGTTATACTACTGTATTTCATGAATATGTTGTTATAACGGATAGAATAACTTATCCGAGTCTAACATAAATATAGGTAATTAACAAGGATATATATTGATAAAGTATGAGATCCTCCATTTTAAGTCTGTATGGTACATAATTTTCTACAAAGGCAGAAAACGTAATTAACATTATCGGCCGTTCAAGTAGGTAAAGAATACATGTATGTAAAATTGATGCCTAACAATGTGACGTTTTTGACCACAGTGTCCTAGATAGCACAAAACAAGCTGCGTTACAAGTCACGTGACAGAATTCTTTACAAAATTACCTTAGGTAAGATTATATGAAATTGTGATCGTCATTTAAAACAGATTAATTTTTCACTTTGTAAATAAATACGTTTATTTAATGTTATTACGTAAAGTTGTAGAGTAGACATTGTTCATTTCTGCAATAAATAGAAAAATTATTGTTTTGAAAGTTATTTGTTGCAAGTTTCGCGCCTCCTTAAGTGCAGTCAACCTTTGAAAACATTTTTACATCAATTTTATTACCAAGGAAAAAACCTCACCTAAAAATAGATTTCAGTAGCTGTGTCATTTCAGTTTCAGTTTCGTGCCACATCGTTGCACAAAAATACACATTTGGGACCGTGTAATACGTTTCATTATTTTCAGTAAAAGTGATTTCTTCTTCTGCTTCCTGTAAATAGTGTTTCTTAAATTTTTTATCTAGTCATATGCATTTTTTTTTCAAAAACAGTTAAAAATAACAAAAACGACCAACCTTATTGTTTTCCGCTTCTGTCTGTTCCTCTGTGTCTTCACATCTCGTTAGAAGTAGGGACATATTGAGAAAAATTCCACAGTATGGCGGTTTTCTAAATAAGCTGCAAAAATCACTAAATTGCATTAATACATGATCTGTAAATTATATATATTTTTGCGACTCTTTATTTTCAAGATATATTTGTTTTTTTTTTTATATAGATGAGAAAATTTGACTTAAAATGTAAAATCTTTATGAATTAATAAATTAAAAGGAGAAAGACGGAAGGAGGACTTAAGGTCTTCACAAAATAAATTCTTTGGAAAAGAGTGATATTTTTAAGTTACCAGAGTCAGTTAAATAATATTCTGCCATCTGTTTTTATCCGCCGTCATTATCCGTCGTGCATTAACATTGAAAAGCCTTTTCTATAGAAAAACTTCAATTTCAACTTATAGCATCTATAATTGAAGGGGGTCAAAAATTGTTATTTTCATGGCCCCTCCCCATTGGACCCGAGGAATGCGGATAAACCCTTACAAAAAAGTACTATACTTAACTATAGTAGGTCAAAGTCAATTAAAGAAATTGACTATGGATTTCATATAGATAGCAATAAAGGGGAGAAAATGTAAGAGAGTAAATAGTACTACTTGAAGAGTTGTCACTGAGTACTAGGATTTGCTAACTCATGATGGTCTTCTTTTTCTTTTGGATAATAAACTGCAGCTTGTACAGCTTCATCCATAGTGGGAAAATAAATGAAGCTTTTCAGAGCCAATATTTTTGTTGCTTTACTCTACTATAAATAAATAATAACATATTTATCAGTTTTTTTCGTTTTATAATACTTTTTACCTCTATGGCTCTTTAAAGTAATGTATCTTAATCATGTAACCATTGGGTACTTGGATCTCTTGTTCAAACAATAGTTTTATTTTTTTTCTATTTATATATATATTTTAAAAAAGGTACTGGTATACTCGATCGTATGAGAGGATACCATTTGATGTAATGTTGGGCCTTTTTATTCAAATGTTGTTTTATGCTTTAAAACAATTTTAAAAAGGCAAATGAATTGACCACCACATGTACCTCACATTCTGCTGATTTACCTCTCGCATTTAACTAGCTTGGATCCATTGTTTTTCCAAATGTACAAAGTGAGTAAGACAAACGCGACAAATCCAAGACAACCAGAAACAATAAGCAGCAATATATCTTCACTGTCCGTGCCTCTTAATTCCCATGATGGTTGTCCGATATTACAGTCCTGGCTCGTCCACGACAGAGGAAACTTCAAAATGGGCACAAATATAAAAGGGGTACTTAGCAGACTTAGAATGAGAGGTGTAGAAAAACAAAAGTACTGAAGATTGACTCTACATGCAAATCGTGCACTTTTGAATCCAACAAAGCCGAGAACAACACAAATTATTATAAGAGAATCTATATCATTTCGTCCGCAGCCGTAAGAGAAATAAGACCTGGATTCAAGAACAACTTCACCAGTCAAAGTTTTTACTTTTGAGGTCCCTAATAAGGAAATTGCTATAACTGTATCTAGGGCATTCGAATCATCAGTTGACCTAATTGAAAAAATGATATACGGAAGCGCGATTGTCAATGCCACTTTACATATTGATGTTAAGAGTGATACCTTTTCCCTTTTAGACCGGATATATTCTCTAAGAAAAATTTTAAGACGTCCTAGTTTTGAACTTTTTCGCTGATTTGCATCTTTCCCTAAAGTAACAGAGGAACTAAATATTAGAAAATTTTCCCAATAAGTGACTGAAACGAGTATCAAAGAAAGTATTAAATAACAGAAGATGGAAACAAAATTTTCCTCCAAAGATTTTCGGTAAATATACCAGCTCACAAGACCCAATGAGACAAGGAAAAAAATAAGACCAAGTATTTGTGTAAACTTATATGCAAAAGCACGATTATTTGTACCATTCTTTTCCGTTTTACTTTCCGGAAGCACTTCTGTAGATTGGGGGTTATTACCCACTTTTATTTTTAAAGCTTTCACGATCTTTTTAGAGAACTTGATTTCACAGAACACGCTAAAGACTAATGGAAAGAAAATGATTAGGTAAGACAAAAGAGAAGCAGTGATTGGGTCAAACGCGGGCAGCACAAGAAAAACAAGAAGACAAAGGCCTGTCGTATGAAGCGCCCCCACCATCATACTCTGAAATGAAATTTAAAGGAGAGATAATTAAGAAACATCCATTGTATATGTGTTCGTCATTTTATCTGAGCTAGATACTATACATATAACTACTAGTACATATGTGCAATCGTTAACTTGAAAGTTCAAAAACTGGATAATAGTATCTATATCTTTTTCTTCTTAAATGATAAAACTTTTTACAACAACGCAATGAAACATACCAATATGAGCATTCTGAAGTCAAATTTCTGGGTTTCCTTGAACCATATTCTCCATAGTGAAAGAATAATTGTGTAGATGTCCGGAACCACAATAACAATAACGAGACCCCAAATCCACATCACATTCACCGAAGGTGTTTCTTCCATCAACTGACATAAATGGGAACTTATTGGAATGCATTCCCAAGTTGCCGGAAAATCCTCTCTTTGAAGAAATGAAGAAGCACAGTCAGTGTTATTGGAGTTTTGAGTGCAGTTATACTTAAGGAAGGTCCTGTCTTCCACAAGATGAAGAAGCCCTCCCAATTTATTGATAGTTGCGGTTGAATTAGCTTGTGGTGGATTCAGCTTCCAGATCATTAGATGGATGATAATTCGTGTTAATCCTGTTGTTACCAGAACAATTAAAAACAGGATGACACTGAATATAATAACACAAATCTTTGTTAAAATGTTCCAACAGGTATTTGAATCATCAGAACTTATTGGCGGTCTCTCAACGGGACAGTCCCAGTATTCACTCCTACAAACAGAGGGTAAAGACTGAACAGTAATCGAAGATTTGGTGTACAAAATTTGGGGGAAAATTCGTGGCTTTAATACAATAATACATCATAAAATATATACTTAAATGACATATGCATATTAACGGATTTTTAATACTGAAATAAAACTGTGGACACTAGATTTCTCTTACTTAAACACATGTAAAAAAAAAATATTATTACTGTTGGTTTTCTGGCTCTTTCTTTACATCTCCGAATTTCTTTTTCTTCTTTCCACCGTCCGATTTGTTCGGGACTTTACCATTATTGCTAGAAATAAGATTTTCATAAACGTTAGATTAAACAATATATATGAAACAAAAAAATTTCGTATGAGTGAACCATTCCTCATTTAAACCCTCATAATTGATTTATTCATGAAACAAATACTAGTAAATGAACTGCAATCTTCATAACCATCTTTAACTTTTTTTTTTTAAGATTGCGATCAAGATGGGAAGTTTAAATAAATTTTTTTTAAAAATTCCGCTTAAATTGCCCTCTATTTAAAGTTCGTGCCAACAATTATTGTGTCTCTTACACATTGAAAGAATATACAGAATGGCTCGGCTCACTGTGAGATGAACCACTTGATAATTTGTCAATGTGTATACTCTAATTGTCTGCCCAATTTTGCATAGGCTTCCTCTTTAAATAGTGTTTACACTGATCGAATTTGAATCGGGACAGGGGATGTTTGACGGAGTATTAAGATTATATTTAAAGACCTTTATCATAATGTCAATTAGGATAATGAAGTAATGCATAGTTATTGTGGAAAACAAAATATTATCAACTAATCAAAGACCATCAAAAAATTAATGGCACATATTTTGGTAAGAAAACTCTTTTTAAATAGTGGATCATTTTTTAAAAAATATATTTTTTTAATAATTGGCATCTAATTTCAAACAAAAACACATATTTCAGAGACTTGCTTATTCCTCAGTTTTATTTCCTTACGTATAAACAGTATTGTTCGTGTCTCTATTCATAAATAATTCATATCATCTAAATTCAATGAGTATTTCAGTTCCATTTAACACAGTTGAGTTTGTAAAGCACTGGGCATACAGCCGAACTATTAGAGACACACAGTACATTTACAAGGAAGAGTATCATTTGGAATATCGCACTTAAACTCCTCTAAATTTTTGGCTAAGCAGTTTATAACAAAAATATTAAACTGGAGGCTTAACCCCCGACAGTGTGGTATTTTGTTTGAAGTACACATGTTCATTAAGAATAAAAATGTTTAATTCATGTTGTTGATGAAATCGACACAGAAAGTTAATAAAAATGTAGGTGTCTTAAAAAAGAATTTTAGAATTCCTGGAAGTAATCAAACAAAGGTGTTTTTTTTTAAAAATATGTTTACTCTAAATTAAGGTATTTCAATCAATGAAAGCAAAATGATACTCTTTTCGCATTTTTTTCGTAGTTTTTTAATACAAAAATGGAACAAGTATGTGGTAAATATATCTGCTTTATATCACATATTCATGATGTTATTATCTAAAAATTGCATTTTTCTTTGTTGATTGGTAAGAATATGCTGTATAAAATATTTCAGATGAAAATGAAAATGTATTTATTAACAAAATCAAAAGAATTACCTCTTATGCTCTTGCAAGACTTGACCCGGTATCGTTGTTTCACCATTTTCCGTCTTTTTGCCATTGCTCTCCATATTGATTGTAATAAAACATAAAAGTCTTCCAGGCTCAAAAGATTCTGCAGTGCACTTGTTTACTGCATAGTCGTTAAAGCGACGGAATAGAAGTCCCAATGTATGCTGGGATTTTAAACATGTGCATTCTTTTAGTTAAATTTAAATATTTAACGAATATTGACACTGTTTTGTCCAATGATCTTTAGAACACTTCGATTATAATCGAGTTAAAAATATCTTTATCTTTCCTTGCTGACTGCATGAGAACGTAACAATATTCCGTTAAATAGTCGATTTATATTAATTTGATATCAGAATATAATTGGTTTCAAACATGAAATGTTATTTTATTGTATAGTCAAGAAAGTTGAAATATACATATCAACATATAACTGAAGTTTGTAATCAATTCTTTCAAATTTTATTTGAAATGAAAGTACAGTATGTTTTATTTGCCTTTGTAGATCGCAAATAACTGCTTATTTAATATTAAAGATTAGGATGAAAAAATATAATACAAACTTATTAGCTCCCTTCATTAAATATATACATAATGACAAAATTAACTTGCTAGTCTACTCATGATGAACATCAACTAGTCACTGTTGACTATCAAGTCTTCAGTGTGATATTTCTCGCCCCATCAAACAAGTCCAACATAATATGACCCTCACCCGGAGGACAATCAAACTTTTTTTTTCTAGGTTATAGTGACTAACTTAAGGTTTTTCAGTATAAATAATTACTTGCAAGAACTCAAATAACAATATTCGGTATTTCTAAGCGGTGTGATATCAAAAGAGACTTACCTTTTACCATTAATCACCATTTAAAACTTTCCTACGAGTCAATAAAATAAAACGAAAAAAAAAGGAAAGTTTGGTACTAAAATGATTTCAGAATTGTATGAAAAATGCATTAATTTTAGATATAGTTCAATATGAGCAAAGGTTTTTAAGGCAAGATAATATTATGCTGGTACTTTGCAGGTGGAAAAGAAACAGTTGTGTTGAAGATTTAAAGTGTATATATTTTTGTGTAATGCTGGCATCACATTGCAATAGAATTGCGTCCCCCACACAATTCTTCATTTGAAATAGTCTAACTTGCAATACCTAAATATGTATACAGCCGACTTCAACGTGATTCAATTTACTTGTTCTGTTGGTTAAATAAAAAAAAAGACATTTGTCCTACAAGTTTAAGCAATCCAATACTTATTTGTTCATTGTTAGAAAAATTCTTTATACTTTCCTATTTTTGTCTCTGTCCTTATATCGGTATTCCTAAAACAATTTTAGAAGTGAGCATACCTGACGAAAAGTTTTTAGTATGGTCCTTTTATTTTTTTATATAAAAAACCGTCTTTTAATGAAACGAATCTTTTATCCTTGGTCACCTCCTCATTCCTTCTAAACAAGGTACTAGACTATACTGCAGTATTCACTTATCATCCTAGGTTCATTTTCATTTCACTTTTTTCAGTTGCGAGAAGAAGTACATAAACATAGTATCAACAAAGCGATTTCCATGTGTTTTACTCTTTTTATAACATATGCAAAACAAATTAAAAGAAATGTTCACATTTTCAAGCTGTTACATTGATTGAAATAGAAAAAATAAAAGAACACGTGTTTTCTCCTCAAAAGTTATATTTCAAATGATTTCCTCTTTGTTACACATTTGAAGTGCTTGGCTTTTCATCCTCTTCCTTCCGAAGGCTTCTGATGCTCTGTATAACCACAGGTGTATTGGGATACCTACTAAAAATGTCATCATCTCCCTCATCTTGTAGGGAATTCATAGGCTTTTTTGTTGCTGCTTTTATCACTTTCCTTAGTTTTTCCAAAGCCTCTGGCTTTTTCCTTCTCTCTCCAGATATTGCTCGTAGAGCAGAGCTGACCTGCACGCTTGCCCTTAACTTTCCCCAGCCTTTCCTAGCTCCACCGCCGAACTTTTCTGGTTCCTTACTCGTTGATTCCGTACTTTCTAGATCCCCATCTATCGCTGTTGACAGCTCCCTTCCCACTTCTCCACCAAACGTCGGTCTTTTAATTTGTGTCTGTTTTTCTAGCCTGGTTGATGCGATTATATGAGTCAGAGTCGACACTCTGTGGTAAATCATCCCGAAGAACTGGATAAGTAGTAATAGACCAAAGGTCACTGTGAAGGCTATAGAGATGGGTTCTATGACTCCCTGTTCGCCTCCTGCCACATTACAGGGAAGAGGAATCTGGAGTGTCCCCTGGTAGGCATTGACTTGTGTAAGCACATAGACGATCGTTACAAATAAAGCATTCAGTATAAAAACAAAGAAGAAAACCTTATTTCTCAGTTCGAGTAAGTCCTCCTGAACCCTCTGTTGTTCCTCCGGATTTATATCGGTTGGTTTTAAATACTTTTTTATCAAACCCTTCCAGAATTTTCTTTCCTCTTCTGAAATATCCTCACAGTTCTTGAAATCACCGTGCTTTGTTTTATCTAAAAAAATCGAACTGATATTAACTTTGGGATGTATAGTATACATATCATTCAAGAAAAATTTGATAGTGAACACTTTCCGTTAAAAATGACAAAATGAATTAAAATATTCTTATCGATGAATATGCCATCTTCCATCTAATTAATATATATTAAATTATTATTATCCTTCAGAATTATACAGTCAATCTGATTGGTTTAGAGCAGGTCACGTGCAGGGAGACAACTCGTGATGTCTCCCTCACGCGCAGGGTGACAACTGTTATCTCCCTTCAGATGACAATGAAATAGCGTAAGCGAGCATTTACAACTGTGTTGTCGCCCTTTGAATAAAACTACAGTGGTTTAAGCGAGATAACTCCTATTTATAAGTACAATGGCTAAATATGCGGGATTGGTAAACAATAAATTCTCTAACGATTACGTCAAAGTTGTCTGTTGACATATTTTGAAAGTATGGAATAGGAGCAGTGTAGAAGAAAATAAGAGGTTTGATTACTATTTTCTTCTCTATCTAATTTATAATGGTATATTCTTCAGGATAATAAAACTATTATGGACTGTTTAGACGGGAGACATCACCAATTATCAGGTCTGAGTAGGGTAGTCACCCTCGGGCGCAAGCGCCCTCGGGTGACAACCCTACACAGACCTGATAATTGGTGATGTCTCCCTTCTAAACAGTCCATAATTGTATATTATAATTTCCCAAGTAGCCATTTGCAAATGCAATATTATTCCTCATATTTTCCATTGCATTATGAGTTTTAATGTGAAAATACTTTGCATTATACTAGTAAATCCTTCACCTTTGTTATAATAAGGCATTCCTACCTTCTACTTTCGGTGTAGCTACGGGGGTAGGTTTCTTTTCGGCTGAAGACTTTTTCTGAACACCAACCGTTTGGGTTTGCGTTGTGTCTACTTTGTTTTTATCTGATGTATCCAGTGTGTCTTTGGGTGCTTCATTCTTTGTCTCCACCAGACTTTGGTCTTCAATCTCTCGAACGCAGAGCATACAGCTATTAAAATAATATATCCCACAATCCATAAATTAAAACATGCAATATCCTATCAACAGGGAAAAAATAAAGAGGCCTAAAGAGTAAAAAGATTTACTGCTTTGATACTTACCGACACCAGTCTCCAATAGAACATGTCTGACCTTCCAATTTATTTTTCTTTCGAATAACCTCGTCCTGACCTGAGGCCGTCTTGTTTTCTCTAGTTCCCCAATTAATATTGTGCATATTTCCGAGAGAGTAAAGAATCAGAAGCATTGACATAGAAGGTACCGCCAGAAAGTATAACAGTCCATGGAATATGCACGTAAATTCCTTCAAGTATAAACATATATCAGGTACAACAGAAATTAAAATGTAAAAATAACATTACGCCAGCGAGGTTAATTTGTACCTGAGGATGTATTAAAGCAGCAACGACGAATACCCCTGCCACAAAACAGAAAAAGACCGTGGTGACAGAACAAAACTGTGATTCCACGCCCTCTTTTATCAAACCGATTAATACCACCATCATGACGAGGCTGTATATCGTGGAAATGATCCCTGCCAACGTGAGCTGTTTAAGGGAAGGAATGGTCATTCACTTATTTGTTGACATAGTCTTAAATTGAATACAACGAGATAATGTGAGTTTATTCTTGCTCTTTTGCAAAAAAAGTACATTATTGGCATAACTTACCTGTGTATCTTCCTTAGCTAAGAAGATGGACAACGTTAAAACAATAACAGGAACCAAGTTCAGAACCAATGCCAACCACGGTTCTATGGAGGGAAAAGCTGTTATAATGGCGCCCAAGATAAGAAGGAAAATAGTACCGGGGGTCAAAATTGAAGACACAAAAAGGAAAATATGGTAAATGATATATAGCATTGAAATGCTGTCATTATTTTTCTTCACATATCTCCAGTCTAGAAGCAAATCTAGAATATTTGCCATGGTTGACGGAGCCCATCGTCGCCTTTGCTTATAAAATTCGTAAAATCCTTCCGGTGCAAAGGTCAATGCATCAGAAGCTGCACAGTATTCTACTCGGAATCCCTCCTTAAGCATAAGTGTGCATAGCCATCTATCTTCGCCTGAAACATACAGAGAATTACTATATCTAAAAATAGCTTGTTAAAACTAGATTTCACAAGTACTTATACAGTGTGCATCATTTAAATACTTTTATAATAGATTGAATAGAGACCAATGCCCTCAAAGCACTCATTAGGTTTGCACGGATCCAGTGTTTTTCATTTGAATTTAGCAGGCCATTCATTTTACCTTTTACGATATTCTAAATCATATGCTTAACGTACCTTGATCATATTGTATATGCTCCTTAGCCTCTGTTGCCGTTCTGGTATACGTTTTCATGACATTATCCGCTAAAACGGCAGACCCACGAAAGAGGCTGAAACATCCGGGTGAGCAAAGCACACAACCAATCACATGTTCTGTTGCTTTCTGCAACCAATGACTGACGGCGTATTCAAACTTCTGGTACCACACCATTGGCCCTGATATTAAAAACAATGTATATGATTTGTTGCATTCCAAAAATCTTTTGGAAAGATATCTCATTTTAGGTAATTATATTGATTTCCGAACCCGATCCAATGGGATGTATTCTTCCACAAGCCGCCCCAACATCTGCATTTTTTCTCATTCGGTCTAACAACAGCGTCACTGCTTCCGGTTTGAAATCGACATCACCATCCAGCGCAAGAATGAAGGTGTTCTCCGAGAGATTGTGGACCATTTCTTTCATACTTTTTGAAAGCTCCTTACATTTACCCTCTAGTCTTGGTCTCATCTTATTTAACTCAAAGGACAGTAAATAGTACATGTACATCACCTAAATATTTATAACACGAATTCATGTAAGTATGGTTTCTTTCAAAGTTTTCATGTACAACTGAGACTTATGTAGGAAATTGAAAAATAACCTGACTCCATCTCTTTCTATGTCTTATTCTCATCTTATCTTTAAGGTGTACGATTAATTTAGCATCTTCGGTAAGGAGCATCCATTCATACTTCATACCGTAGGGGGTCTCAAACTTTCTGACAGGTTCGAGCTCATAATTTCCATATATGGATCTACAAGGATTGTGAAAGAATAATAAAAGTTAGCTTTATCTTGAATTTGTAATGAGTATTTATAAGCTTCTTGCAATTTCATGAATTCAAAATCGTACTTAGCTGTTTTCGGGACACATTCTTCAAGAAGCTTTACAAAATCGTTCACTTTCCTTCCATTTCGAAGCTTCCCGTTCACTTTCCGAGGTTTGAAAGCATCGTCAAAGAAAACGTGAACTACATTGACAAAACAATATTTAAAGATAAACAATAAAATACAAAGAAATTATTCATATCTTATTAAATCTATATTTTTTTTCATTACACTTGAAATCTAGTGAAAGCATTTTATTCAATACCAAGCACTTAGCAGTAACAACTTTGAAGATAAAGAAGAGTTCCACTACTCGCCTTCAAAATCATAAATATCCTCGTCGTAGAAACTTCTTACATGTTGTTGTCGCATCGCCTGGACTTGACGTTTCCAGCATTGGTCCATATCAACCCTGTACAATAAAAATTACACTTCAATCTCAATGATCATTTACAAGAAAACCAGCTAAGATGACGAATGATTCTCTAACTATAACGTCACCTGAATATAGATTTAAGAAGTTGCGTCATTTCGTTTTCTGTTTCATGCCACATCGTTGCACAGAAATAGACCAATGGAGAATACACTTCTTTCGGTTTATCGTCTGCCTAATAATTACAAAGAAAATTGAAAATCAATTGCACAGTGAGTCGATATCAATTAAAAGTTCCGAATTCGTAGTGTTCTTCTTCCGTTACCTTTCTCTCTCTACCATAGTCAACATCAAATAGATATCTTCGCCTTGATAGCAACAGAAACAAGTCAAGGAATACTCCACAGTATGCAGGTTTCATAAATAATCTGTTATGGTGAATGAACAACATTTTCAACTAGCTTAGAAAAATACCATGAGTTATGATTCAACGTAGTTATTGATTCCAGTATTTTTTATAAATACCTCTCTACTTTCTCCATTTTTGCTCCGTCGGTTGACCAAACATACAATGTCAAAATAGCCAGGGAGACTAAACCAAGAAAACCGGAAACAATCAGTGGCCATAAACGCTCCACAGAATTACCATAGTCCAGCTCCCACAAAGGCTGTAGAACGCTACACCCCTCCACCGTAAAGGATAACGGGTACTTCATAAGTATAACAAACATGAAGGGCACCAGCAAGAGATTCAGAGCAATAGGAGGGGCAAAAGATCTCCTTTGTAAAACGATCCGACACGCAAAACGCGAGGCTTTGAAAAATACAAAAGTGAGAATGAAACACACTACTGTCATAAGATAAGGGTTAAAGGTCATGCACCCGTACGTTATGTATGACCTGGATTCTAAGCGGATGCTCCCACTAAAAGTATACACTGTTGCCGCATCGTCCAAATACAGTAAAGTTCTTGCTGTAGCCAGAGTGCTTTCTTTGGATTGAATTACGTAGATGATTAAAGTGGTAAGGAATGTCCAACCGATCTTTAGAAAGTAGGTCAGGATAGACACGGTGTCTCGTTTAGATTTTACATAGTTCATCAAAAAAGATTCTTGTTGTTTTACGTCTTCTAGCTTTTTTGTAATGTTTGATGTTACAAAGTTTTCCCACCAAATGACGGACACCATGATGATTGATACCAGCAGCAAAACAAGAGTTGTTACAAAGTTATCCTTTTCCGAATTATAGTATACATATAAAATTAGAAATCCAATCCCCATAATAAAGATGACAGCTCCAATGAAAGGGATTATATCATACATGAAGCGATTATCTTTCGCGGCATCTGGGGCCTCCCGAACGTTTATTGTTTTCACCTTGCCATTCATTGTTGAGTTTAATTGTCTGCTTCTGTTCTTTTTCATTTTTGTGTTTTCCTCTTGTTTAACTTGGAACTTGACACTTAAGAGAACAGGAATAAAACATACAAAGAACGGAAGAACAGAGGCAGACACTGGGTCGAAAGCTGGCATCACAAGAAACACCAAGACACAAAGACCAGTTGAATGGATTATTTCTATTATCAAACTCTGCAAAGATGAAAATCTTTTGTGATATATAAACTCAGTTCAATGAAGATAAGTTGTTAAACATAAAATAATAATTTAATCTTCTACGAAACAAATAGGGGGAAAATAAAACATACATACCAATAAAAATACTTTCAGGTCAAATTTATCTACTTTGTTTTTCTTGAAACATGATTTCCATAGAGACAAGGTCATAGTGTATAAGTATGGTACAGACATGATGATTAGAAGACCCCAAATCCAGCCTACGTTAACAGAGGGGGTCTCCTCCCACAACAAACAGGAAGTACCAGTCTCATTATGACACTCCCACGACTCCGGGAGTCCCTTCCTCAGAACTTGACCTCTTATGCAACCGTTGGCATTGCTGCCACAAACATTAAGTCTCATCCTATCAGCCTGTATTTGTAAGACTCCTCCCAATTTGTTCAGTGTGAAGCTGTTGTTGGTTTGGGGCGGGTTCAGCTTCCCTATCATGATGTGAATGATGATTCGTGACAGACAAGCCGACCAGAAAACAACTATGAAGAGGAATATTCCTATAATAACGAGCCCGACTTTTGTCACAGAGTCCCAGCACGAGCCATAGTCATCGTTAGCACCATGTATAGGCTTCTCCTCGGCACAGTCCCACTCATTGTCATCGTCACTGTCAAAGATTCGTACGAAAAAATAAAATTAGATTTTATATTTAATACTTCATAGATTACAGACTTTAAAAGTAGTTGTTCGATGCAAATTTCAAATTATTTAGAAATTCATTTTACGGTAGGTCATTTTTGTTATAGAACAACACTCCCATATGATATAATCTAGACAACTTCCTTTTAGTTACAATGTATCTTCGATGCTGCTTTGGTATGAGATTTATAATAACCTGATTTAATACTATAATTATGTTATATACAAAGATGTGTTAAAATTTACCCTGAATTATTAGGTTCAGTCATTTCTTCTCTGGAAAAAAATAGAAAACGAAATCAAAAACATCCTTTATTGTAATTTTTAAAAAATATTATACACCGATAAAATCATATTGGCCGCATATAGAAGTGTAAAAATATATCAAAAAGATACTGGACATTCAGATGTACTTTTGGAAGAAATTCATTAAAAACAAAGGAAAAACCTATTTTTGGTGATTGTTAACTAGGTTTCTCCATTGTAAACCATAGTTTTAGAACCACTAGGTTAATCATTGTAGTTAATCTTATGATGATTATGAGAAAATCTAAAATACATTTTCAAGAAAATTAGAAATTAAAAACGAAGTTTTTTTCCTAAATAATAATGTTTTCGTCATTTCTCTATATAAACTTGTCTGTGGTTCATATTACTTACGGGATACCTGTCGAAGCCTCCATGTCCTTAGCTCTAGATGTGATAGGTGGACTCTGAATTGGAATCCTGTGTACAGATATAATAGTTTTTATAATCAGACAGTGATTATAAGAAGAGTATATGTACAAGCTCTTCTTGTATTTTCAAGGGCTTTCCACCTTCTTAGGGTACAATGTACCTATACTACCTAACACTGTACCATAAAGATTTCTTCAAAATGTTTTTTTTAATGGGGGGGGGGGGTCTTTTTCTCTATGAGCTCTATCTTACAATTTAAATTCTTAAAATCATAATCAAATTTTCAGGATATCATCAAATATATATATATCTTACATAATCATCGATTTTACTCTTAATAACTTGGAACAGAAAAGTCATAGATGATCTCTTAAGAGTTCAATATTTCTTATCATGCCGTTTTATTAATATTTGCACAGCTTTAAGAAACTCCGTTGGTAGTGCATAAAAAGAAAGAAACATGCAAGATAATACAAGTCTTTATCGCTGAATACCGAGAAATACTTATGTACCTTATTTGAATTTTTTCTGTTCATTGTGCTAACAACACTTCCGGGTGTATACATAAGTATGAAGTCTATATATTCCATCCGAAAATATTAAACACTTTAGTTTTAGGACTAGTCTAATGTTCATGTTATGTTATGTTATATATGAACAAGAGGCCCATGGGCCACAACGCTCACCTGAGCACTTTGACTAGGAAAAAGTAGTAATTGGTTTATTATTGAAAAGTTTAAATCCAAAAGTAGTCCCATGATCAATCATGCATTTGCTATTCTTTAAAGAAGATATATTTTTAAAGAATTTTCCTATATATTGCTATGTTAATGACAATTATTACTTTGTTATTCTCGAAGATTTTTAAAGAATTTTCCATTGTGTGACCCCCCGCCATGATTTTAACAAACTTGAATCTACAATCCTGAGGATGCTTCCATATAAATATTATCAATTATGGCTCTGTCATTCTTGAGAACAAAGAATTTTCCATTATATTTCTATGTAAAACTTTGGCCGGCCATTTTGGCCCTGCCCTAGGAGGTGCAAACTTCCATATGAATGCTTCCATATGAATATGATCAATTATGGCTCTGTCATTCTTGAGAAGAAAATTTTTAAAGAATTTTCCTATATATTTCTATGTAAAACTTTGGTCGGCCATTTTGGCCCCACCCTACCCCCGGGGGTCATGATTTGAACAAAATTGAATCTACACTACCTGAGGATGCTTCCATATAAATATGATCAATTATGGCTCTGACATCTTTGAGAAGAAAATTTTTAAAGAATTTTCCTATTTATTTCTATGTAAAACTTTGGTCGGCCATTTTGGCCCTGCCCTATCCCTGGGGGTCATGATTTGAACAAACTTGAATCTACACTACCTGAGGATGCTTACATATAAATATGATCAATTATGGCTTTGTCATTCTTGAGAAGAAGATTTTTAAAGAATTTTCCTATATATTTCTATGTAAAACTTTGGTCGGCCATTTTGGCCCCGCCCTACCCCCGGGGGTCATGATTTGAACAAACTTGAATCTACACTACATATAAATATGATGAATTATGATGTTTCCCTATGTAAAACTTTGGTCGGCCATTAGTTTCATCTTTCCTGGCACAGTGGTTCTTGAAAAGAAGATTTTTTAAAACATGCCACCAAATTTTCATTAATTCCCAATTATCTCCCCTTGAATGAGGGCGTGGCCCTTCATTTGAACAAACTTAAATCCCCTTCACCCAAGGGTGCTTTGTGGCAAGTTTGGTTGAAATTGGCCCAGTGGTTCTTGAGAAAATGTCGAAAATGTGACAAGTTTACAGACAGACAAACAGACAGACGGACAGACAGACGGACGGACGACGGACAAAATGTGATCAGAAAAGCTCACTTGAGCCTTCGGCTCAGGTGAGCTAAAAACACACGTTTGAAAGGAAGCTCAAATTTTAAAGCAAAAATTTATGAACAATTTTGTTCTAAGACATTACTCGATCAAAGGCTTTTTCTGATTAAACAGTTAAAGCAAAATATAGCTACTTTCAAATTTTAAAGCAAAAAAAAATGGTATTTGACATTCTGAACATTGATGATAGAAATGTACATGTACATATACGGTTAAATTATTATAGGAATTGAAGGATACAAGTAATAAAATGAATATGTGGCTTTGCATTTCTAGTTTTAAAAAATATTTCTCTGTCATCATTAAACTCAAGAAAATATTTAACCATATAAATATGTTGGGATTTTCTTCTTTACAGAGGGTTTCTCAGGTTAATCAAACAATGTGACAACCCCTTAAACCAAACATCTGAATCAAAACAAATTATATATTTTATACTATCAAGTTGATGCCAATATTTTATTTTGTACAAATAAAAATGACATCCATGCATAAAATCACGTTAAGAAAAATTAAAATGAAGAAATCGATTTTTTTTTAATCGCAAAATTAGAAGTTCACTCAAATCCAAAATTAGCGTATGTATTTTAAATTAAAGTTTCGCTAACATACGTGTTTGGCTGGGATTTCACTTGTCCTGGTAAGGTTCTGTTGCCATCCAATTCCTGCTCTGGATTGTCCGTCATTATTTTTTATATTTTCTAATACATGCATGTATCTGTTTTTAATCAACAAAAATTAGATTCCTTTTTCTTGAAAATAACATAGTCAATCGCACAAGTGCTCATTCTTATCAATTGTTAGCAGAACAGGCGAAAAATCTTAAAATACCTTTGAGATATAGCAGTGAATTTATTCGCAGCGATAATCGATATTTCTTATCAATCAGATATTGAACTATTGGTTTTATTTCCAATCCCCCGTGATAAGTTTCTAGCCTCCGTTGAAATAAAAATCTTTGAGAACTTCCTTCTCGATTTCTCAACATTAATTCCCTCTTTGTTCAGAATAGCTCTGCATCTTGCTGACTTCCACTTGTACTTGTAGATAAATATTCTTGTCAAAGGTTCATTCTAAGTTTGCTCTTTTCCGAAAGATTAAGATTGTACGTCTGTAGAGAGGAGTATAAATTTATTGCACCCCAGGTCTTTTTTCAGTGTTTACATTGTACATAATATAAATCCATTAATATTCTAAGTTCTGCAAAAGGTAAAGACATTCTCTGCAGTTACTGTAAACGTCGATATCTTCACGGGTGAAAATTTTGCGATTTAAATGGTACAAATTAAGACATGGGGTTTATCTTTGCGAAGGTTATTTTATTTTAATGAAGCAAATGTATCGGTTTGTTGGTGACATGGTACCTTATTTTACGCCTAAATGTACCCATATTGGACAAACAGTATCTATATTTGTTAAATCTTCTTTTGCCCCGCGACTTCCCATCCTATGAAAGTTGATCAGCGACACTATCATATGCAAAACCTTATTGTGACATCATGACCTAAACAGGTTTTGGCTTCCATGTTAGATTATTTCCTTCATTGCCTGGCGTTCAGGGGTAGAAGTCTTATCAGACATTGAGGGCCGGGATATTGAATTCTTCATCCATTGATCTATAAAATTAATTCAGCAGATGTACGAAATCTTGTCCTTTATATTAGTGACACTTGAACACTGTGATTTTTTTATTTTACACTAAATATGACATTTTATATTTAACTATAAATTATTAACAACTTAAAAATTATAGCTGTAAATGTGTAAAATACATGTATATTAGTGTAAAATGCAAAAATGAATCGCAAAATTTAGATCAAGACAGTAAATTTTACACATTAATTGAAATTTTACACATATCAAATTTTAGCATTTTAATCTGTAAATTTTACACTTTTCAATGCCCCATTCAAACTTTACACATGTCCCATATTTCGTTTTATTTCACATTGCAAAAACACATAAACCTGTAAAATTTACACTTTTTTTGAAAATTACACTTTAATATTAAATTTTACACATTTCTGTAAATTTTACACTTTAAACCTGTAAATTTTACACATTAATGATATTTTACACTTTAATCTGTAAATTTTACACTTTAATCTTATTTTACACATTATCAAAATTTTACACATTAAGAAATTTTACACTTTAATCTGTAAATTTTACACTTTAATCTGTAAAATTTACACTTTAATCTGTAAAATTTACACTTTAATCTGTAAATTTTACATTTTAATCTGTAAATTTTACACATTAATCCGTAAATTTTACACATTAATCTGTAAATTTTACAGATTAAAGTGTAAATTCTACACTTTAAAGTGTAAATTTTACACTTTAATCTGTAAATTTTACACTTTAATCTGTACATTTTACATTTTAAAGTGTAAATTTTACACTTAAATGTGTAAAATTTACACTTTAAAGTGTAAATTTTACACTTTAATCTGTAAAATTTAACAATTTTGAACAACCTTTCACTTTATTTTGATGCAATAGATTATGATCGAACAAAATTTGTGATGTTTTACCTCTGACACTTGAGAAAAAGTTTAAACTGAGATGTTTGCAATTGTTTGTATATTTTTATTTTACATGTATGTTGTTTATTACGTATATGATAAACAAGAATTTTTCCTCATAGGACGTCATTTTCCCCAGCATAAGAAATCGGGGATCTGCTTTTGTTTCAGTATATATACATGTTTTTCTTTAGTTTTACTATGGTGTACACGGGAGTAACGTATTAATCTCAAAATTTTTTAATTTGCAGTTCAGATAGATATTACGCTTCTGTAATTATCTTGCATGATTAACAGTCTGTTGGCTTTAAAATGCGTTACTGGGAATGTGTGATGTTGCTAAATTGACTAATGTGAATAAACAAATAAAGTGTAAAATTTACACTTTAAAGTGTAATATTTACACTTTAAAGTGTAAAATTTACAGATTAATGTGTAAAATTTACAGATTAAAGTGTAAAATTTACACTTTAAAGTGTAAAATTTTCACTTTAAAGTAAAAAATTTACAGATTAATGTGTAAAAGTTACAGATTAAAGTGCAAAATTTACAGATTAAAGTGCAAAATTTACAGATTAATGTGTAAAATTTACAGATTAAAGTGTAAATTTTAAAGATTAAAGTGTAAATTTTACAGATTAAGGTGTAAAATTCACACTTTAAAGTGTAAAATTTACAGATTAATGTGTAAAATTTACAGAATAAAGTGTAAAATTTACACTTTAAAGTGTAAAAATTAAAAAAAAGTGAAATGTCCAAGTGGCACTAATACGCTTCCGTACTTGTCCTTTATAATAGAAACACGAATGTGATTTAAAATTCTAGTTTAGACTAAATATGACATGTTCTATATTTGGCAACTATAAAATATTAACAACTTAAAAATTATAGCTGTAGTATGTGTAGAATACATGTATATTAGTGTAAAATGCAAAAATGAATCGCCTTATATAGATCAAGACAATGCAATACGCAAGTTTCGATATTATTTCCCTTGGTGCGCTCTTTCGTTGAGGAGGGGAGTTTCGTTGCCGCGTAAACAGACAGGTGGGACAGATATTTAATACTGTGTATATTGGATACATTGCATCATCGATATACCGGTTTATCATAACTACGCGATTGTCAGAAAGTACTCTACAACTTGAGAATAACCGAATATAAGTAGAGGCATCATATTTTAAAGCAAAAAAATCGTAACAAAATAGAAAATATCAGTGGATGTGAGACTTTTCGGACGATGGATATGGACCTCTAATAAATACGGTACTATTGATTTTTTTCCTTATTACAACTTAAGGAGGAACAGGATCTTTCGCTGAAAAAATTCCTGTCAATGAATTTTTTTCGTATTTTTTATATCACTAATATAATATGTACTTAACATTTTAAAACGGTCCTGTCATGGGATTTCTTGACTCATTTAAAAGATATCGCCCCACAAATACCGCCCTGTTTAGAGTTTGTATGGAGTTTAGATACTTCATGTTTACGGGCCCATAATGCGAATTTTTACGCACAAACGATAAATATGATAGGTAACACTATATACTCAAATATTTCATAATATTCATAGTGTTAAAATTATCTGAAAGCAATTGTTTTAATTTTATATAGTATTTGGGTGGGATAATTTCTGCATTTTTCAAAGCAGCTTCAACGACGAAAACCTCATTTGGAAAAAATTCTGTCAATAGATATTTCTAAATTTACGATTGAATGTCAGTCCTTCATCGTAATTATTTGCTGCATAAATATCACAAGGTGAAGCTTACCTCAATATCGCACAGGACATCGTTGAATTAGACGTAAGCATGATAAAAACGCTTCATGTTTGTATTTTCCGAGTGCGGGAAATCAATTGTGACGTCACACGAAAATATAAACATTCAAAATTATCTAAATAGAGAGAATCTCTGCTACTAAACACGAAAAAATATTAATTTTAAAAAATCTGCTTCAGAAATTTATCATGATACATTGACTGTGACCTGTTTATTATGAAATAAAACTGACCATGACGGGTGTGTATAGTTTTTCTCGCTGCACTGTAAATTCAAACACTACGTCTATGTCGTCACTGACGTCAGACTGCAGGGTAAAGAGAAACAAATGTGTGGATTGGGAAACTTCACAATATCTAAATAATGGCAAGATCTTTAAAAATTTTATTAATAATAATTTCTAAAATTAAATGTTTAAAAAACGATTTTAGAATTAAGGATAAAAAAATGACACAAGAACTGTTGATTTTAACAACGTTTAACATGTATATCATCCCCTTAAAACCAAGAACGAGTTGTCTATATAATCTAACTTTTTAGAAAATGTTCGTACAATCAAGAAAATCGGTTACTTTTAATAAAGACTACGACGTTTCTTTCGTTTTCAAGTACCCTATAATTGATAGTAGATTTGTAAATATGCATAGTTGAGCTTGATAAAAATCATCGAATGCATCACTGCTTAACGTTATCATCTTTCTATAACATTAAATAAATTTTAAAAGCCATAAACATCGTTCTTTAATGTATGCACGTCGTTTGTATACAGAGACAACCTGTCCCACCTCCATGCTGAAATGGATACTTTTCGCGCCTCCATCGTAGAAGAGTTACAATCTCGAAACTGGCGTATTATACAGTTGATCTTACAAATTGAATTTACCATGAGATCAAAGGAGAGCTTTTTGTGGGTTTAGTTACTTTTCAATACCCCATTCAAAGTCGTATCTCGACACCTGTCCCATATTTCGTTTGTTTTATTTCACATTGCAAAAAACATACCGATCTAGACTAGTTTTTTGATAAATTAGTTCTAGTATTAAACAACTTTAATTTCCGACTCTTTCGATAAACCTGATCATGATGATATAGCTGTATGAGGTAGTGACTTGTAAGTTATTTTATGCCTTATCAAAATGTCCATAAAGATTGCGATTGTTTATATTCATTAGAAACTACACAATGTAACAATAAGGAAGTGAGGATGTTTGCCCTATGAATGTGCTTTAGATAGTCACGCACGCCTAAGATAAAGCCCTTTGATATAAAACATGAAATATTATAGAAGTTTGTGCAATGATTTACAGTTGCTAAGGTCTACATTGTGTAATAAAGTATCCCTCTCCCTATGTATGTACTATCAAAACATTGTAAAAATTTTATTTATGCAATATTAAAATGTAACAAAAGATTGTCGCGAGTTTTCGCCAGGGGTATGTTAATTCAAACAAAATTTACTTTCTCTTTTACCCTTCAGATATTACTCAATTCTTGTCGGATATACGAGTACATGCAATTTTTGTAATAATTGATTGATTGATTGTATGTTGTTTAACGTCCCATTCAAGAATTTTTCACTCATATAGAGACGTCACTGTATGCCGGTAAAGGGCTTCAGATTTCGACCTACATGTATACTCGGCATTCAGGGCCATTGAGCAGTGCGGGTTCTTTATCTCGCCTACCATGACACGGGACCTACGCTTTTCGGATATCCGGAAAACCCGTGACTTTCACTTCTGATGCCGAGCGCTTGGCGAATGAACAGTCACTACCTATATTTACGTCTTAGGTTTGACGCGGCGCTGCGAACGAGAATCGAACCCGAGCCTCCCGATCAAGAATCGAACGCTCTACCACGATCGGGAGGCCCGGGTTCGATTCTCGTTCGCGGAGCCGTGTCAAACCTAAGACGTAAAGATAGGTAAAGACTAGGTCCCCTGCTTAAAATGTTCTTTACGACATTTTTGTCGTCCATCTGTCCCCTGTCCACCTGTCAGGATGTTTTACTTGGTTTTCTGGATTTTTGTCCTTATTCTTAAAAAAAAAAAAACAGTTGATTTTTGGTATGTTGGTCCACTAGAAAAACTAGTACGAGGGTATGTTACATGTAAAGATTCACGGATTCAGTTTGCATATTGGTTGGCAGTTTATTGGGTTTAATTATAAGGGGAACCAGACTATATTTGCCGATAGGGTAATTGTATTTCTTAAATCTAATGCGATTGCCTCTTGGAACATGTACATTTTTTTTTCTTTAAACTTTTCCGTCTTGAGCAACATCCTTAAAATTGTAAGGACATATACCATAAGGTCGATTTATTTTTGAGTACTTTAGTTCTAGGTTCAGTCCAACATCAAAATTTCACAAACATAAGCCCTGCCATAGAAACTAGGGGAGGATATAAACTAAAAGCCTATAAAAAAAAATCAAGCGTCATTTTTCTTCTATTTATTTTTCTTTTGTTCGATCATCTTATTGATTTTTTTTTTCAAGATTTCAAATCTTTAAAAATTGTCAAGCGTCCTTACAACTCGGATTAGTTGAGACAGTATGCATAATTTGAAAACGAAAGTAATATTTTGAAGTAATAGATCATTTTGTTTTATTTCGCAATAATTCGGATTCCCGAAACGAAGCTAGAGGTACTGTGAGCAATGAGCTCACTAAATGATACCCCCGCTTCCCATATGAACATATTGGCAAAGTCCATGTTTTGCTTTGGAAGATCCGAAATAAGTGTCAGATCGAAAAGTAAAAAGGAGATGCATCATGCCATTATGCAATAAAGAATCTGTGAAAGTATCATTAAATTTTATTCGGTGCTATGGGAGTCGTTGCGGATAAGAGATGGGTAGCCTTCAATATTATAGAAAGAATGGCAGTGTCCATGTTTTGCTTTGGGAAACCCCAAATATGTGTCGGATCAAAAAGTAAAATAAGAGGTGCAGACTGGCACTCTGTAACAGAGATTCTGTGAAAATTTCATTCAGTGGTAAAAAGAAAAGTTGCGGATAAGAGATGGGTACCCCCAAAACGTAACAGACGAACAGACGGACGGATGGACATCCCGATTACTATATACATGTACATGTACTCTCCCACTTTTCAAGCAAGGGGTATAATAACTCATATATATTATTTTGATGTGGAGATCTGCTGTGCTTACAGTGCTCTTATTTATTATTTTATTCGTTTTGCCATATGTGCTTTTTCTTTAAAAATAAAGTTTCAGTACAGAAAAACTCATTTCTTATGCTTATTTCTTACTTTGCATTTTACTCTTTACTTTTATGGTTATTTCTCATTTCTTACTTCTTGGTTTTGAATATATTATATATATCTACCGGTACTTATCCGAGAAGAAAAATTAAATGTGATAAACACAAGTGGATGACATGTACTCTTAAAAATATTTCCTCATCATATGAATAAAATTGCTATTTCACGGATGTTGTAAAAGCCGGAAGTAGGTAGAGGACCTTAACGTGTATATAAAGCAGAAAGTTCTATCACATCAGATGCCATTTTCACAACAGCCCGGCAGAATGATATTCGCTCTTTTGACTTGCGCCGTCATGGCGTCTGTGGCATATGGTGAGTTTCTTTTTTAAACAAACTTTTTCTTACGCTCTTTAAAAAGTGTTTATTATTTAGAAGCCTCTGAAAAACCCGGTACATTAATGTATAGGATAAAAAATTGACAAGATAAATGCTACGGATTAAATTAGTTCTGTGAATGTATACAGGGAAATTTTCGCCCCCGTTTTATTTTCGCCCCATTCGCCCTACTACTAGTATCATTTGGGCGAACGGGGAGTTTTCAAAATATACAGTATAATTTCTTTAACAAAACTATGACTGGGCGAATTTAAAACGGGGCAAAATTGTCTACAATTGTGACAGGGCGAAAATAACCCTGTATACAGTACATTGTACATGTATTTCTTTATTTGGATAACGGCAAATGAAATGGCATTGAAAGGAGTGAAGGAAATATAAGTAAATTAGAATTAAAATGTTTCATTTCGTGGATAAAAATTCAATAAATGATTTGAATTATATTGGGAACAGCAAATGTACTGCATTAAATTTGTAGAGGCAGAGAACATTAAATTAGGTACTCATTACTGAAATGGTATAGTGAGGTATGTACGCTGACAGAAGTCGGCATTCATCATGTTTATGCCTTTTGAAACTCTGTTTTAAGGAAATAGCATTCAAATTAACATTATTTGCGGAAACTACAATAATTTTCATGTATTTAATGTATTGGTTTGGTACAAGCATTGAAGACTTCTTTTGAAAAAAAAAAATGCTCGAGAAGGAAGATATTTCCACTGTATGATCTTACTTTAAATAGGAAGTAAAACCTTCTTCCCAAAAAGCTAATTATAATTTTTTTAATTATATTACACAGGTGGCATTTCTGACAAGTGTTTGGGATGCATTTGTAGGGTGAGTAGATTATAATCCGTACTGTGTAACTTTTTGACCTGTCAGAGTATTACAATATACTATTTTCTTAAAGAAAAAATTTGCGTAAAACATTATCTTAAAACACATCCAAAGTTTATTGTCAAAATTTATTATCTTAATAAACTTTCCATCGTCTGCGTTTAGTGTAATGGAGAGAAAACCCGTAGGTTCCGACGATGAAACTTTCGAAATTGTTATAATTTTCCCCACCAATCCAAGCAACTATCATGTTGTAAATTTTGAATTTACTAGTTATCATGTTGTAAATTTTGCATTTACCTCCCCCTAGTAAATTCAAAATTTACAACATGATACAACGCTGTTCAATAGGCCTTGCAAAAATGCAACTAGTATCAATTTAGTTTGCTTAGATTACATGGGATCTTTTGATCATTGGAAAGATATAGTATTAATATATACTTACAGGTAGAATCAGGCTGTCGGCCTGTCGGCTGTAAGTGGGACGTCAGCTCATACTCCTGTGGATATTTCCAAATCAAATACGACTACTGGCAGGACTGTGGCCGACCTGGAACTGGTAAAGAGAGAGAGAGAGAGAGGTGATTTTAGTAAATGTCACTATTTCATATAAATTAATTTGAAAACGGTCCTATTTTTATGATAGGTTGGAAAGAATGCGCCAATGATTACAACTGTGCCGCCGGATGTGTGCGTGCCTACATGAACCGCTACATTGGTAGCAGTGGTTGTCCCGCCAACTGCGAGAGTTATGCGAGAATTCATAATGGCGGACCAAGAGGATGTAGAAATCCTAATACCATGTCCTACTGGAACCGTGTCCAGCAGCAAGGATGTACGCCCTACAGCCAGAGTCTGGAATTTGTTCCGCGGCGCTGGGCATCGTATATCTCATGGAAATATCTGTTCACGAAAAAGTAAAAATATGTACACTGTATATCTGAACAGATAGGTTCATTGCCAAAATTGAATAAATATAAATAGAAAATATGTCTGTATTTTTTCTGTTTCCTTTAGATTTGGTGTACCTCAGTATCAAACTAAATACTGAAAAGTATGCTAGCTTACCTACAAAAATTAGAAACCATACATGCAGCTTAGAAGTCCTGTACGTAATGAAGATAATAAAAGCAATCTTTCTCAGGAACTGTAAAATTTGCTTAGTCGCAGTGGATATCCAAGTTTGTATTAACCATCGCTATTGATAGTATATTGATACTATATTATAGTTCTAAAACTGAGACTTCAAAATTTTTTAGATTTGATGCCCCTTAGTAAACTTTTGTAAAAATAAAAAAGAGGGGGGATCAATCATAACCAAACTATATGTATATGTAAACTATATATATAGGTAAAAAAAATCTTGGAAAGAAAAATATCAAGAGACATGCTAACAAGAGGCCCATGGGTCACATCGCTCATCTGAGCACATTCGCAAGAGAAAAAAAATCGGTTCAGTATTGAAAAGTTTTTGCAATACTTCAGTATGCTTACAAATCATGGCTTTGCTGTTCTTGAACGGAAGAATTCAATGACTTCTTCTATGTGTATTTTTTGTAAAACTCTGATCACTCTCTGTGATCCGAACCCCTTCTAAATTTTAACAAACTTGAATCAATGATAAAACAATTAAAATCAACAATATGACATAAATTGCAAACTGAATAATGAAATATTCAGTATTACTCTGGGCGTCATCAGGAGAGGTTTCTTGAAAACCTTGACCTATATAACAAAACTGTCCCTCAAAGTACTTCGATCATTTTTTAAAAGCTATTTAAGACTTCGGACAACAGAAAGGACACAGTGCAGTTCAGGTGGGAACAATTTAGTTAGGTGTTTTTCCACGAGTCATTTTTTTTCAGTTGGGTTTTAAAGGTGAACAATTTGCAAGTTTGGACCAATCCCCACTGCACTCTGAAAATATGCATATAACAAACTTGAATCAATGATAAAACAATTAAAATCAACAATATGACATAAATTGCAAACTGAATAATGAAATATTCAGTATTACAAGCTCTGAGCGTCATCAGGAGAGGTTTCTTGAAAACCTTGACCTATATAACAAAACTGTCCCTCAAAGTACTTCGATCATTTTTTAAAAGCTATTTAAGACTTTGGACAACAGAAAGGACACAGTGCAGTTCAGGTGGGAACAATTTAGTTAGGTGTTTTTCCACGAGTCATTTTTTTTCAGTTGGGTTTTAAAGGTGAACAATTTGCAAGTTTGGACCAATCCCAACTGCACTCCGAAAATATGCAACCATATCTTTTTAAAATACTGAAATATCTCTTTTAGATATTTTTATGTTGAAAATTTTTACTTTAATAGCGTGGAACGTTCATGTCTTTTTTTATTAAAGGAATAATGATTTTTTTTAACTTAGAGACGAGAAACACCATTTCAAACATTATATATTACAAAAATATTAGATGATAAGGGATGATTGTCTTTTCTGACAAGAGTGCACATACATGTACATTGAATTATTCATATATATCGTTCTGCACTTTTGCTTCTTATCATTCTTTAATCGTTCCTTATCACAGTGCCCTACAAATAATCTTAGTCTCAAAATGGTAATTCAACACCTTTTATTCTTTGGAGTTGTACTTACGTCATTTAGCGGTTAGTGTGCTTTTTTACATTTTGTACATTTCCGCATTATTTTTATCCCACTATATATAAAATAGAATTGTGGTCCTTTGTTAAGGTGGCCATACCACCGGATGTGATCCAGGATGGGTCCACTTTCAGGCCTCGTGTTACCTTTTCAAAGATGAGACTGAGAACTGGGCATCAGCAGGGGTCAGTAAATTTCCGACAAAAAATTTTGCTAACAACCAATTTCTGTGTACCTATTTTTGCTGACAACTATGTTCATCTTTGTCTCTATATTAGACCTTTATTAATCACAAAAATGTTAATATAGAGGTATTCTGTTTACAAGTGACTGCTATCTTAATCACACACTATTACTTCACTCATTAATAGTATTCTGTTGGTGTTCTGAAACTTTAAACCTTGACTTTTGTACCAACAGTCAATATGCACTGCTTTACAAGGAAAACTGGTGGAGGTTGAATCTTCTGTAGAGAACAAGTTTTTGAAAAACCGAATATCTCATCTTCATCCAAACCGTAAGTTAACCTGACATATATAGCTATATAGTATCAAACCCAATTTCTCTTTCTCTGGAATATTTTAATTCTTGACCAGTTTGTCGGTGTATAATTTCTTAAACGAGATGTTTTACATAGAAACACAGGGATTACAAATACACATGTAATAATCTTTTCTTTTCTTTTTTAATATTTATTATATTAAGGTATTCCGATCCTCAACCAGGAAGGATAATCGTGCAACAATTTTCATTTTATACCTCTCAATGTGCTTCAAGGATCTTTGAAGTTCTCTGAAAGATTGTATAAGAAGTTGAAGTTTTTATCCCATAAAAGTATTGTAAAATTACAAAGAAATTGACGTTCTTTTAATCTAACCATAGATACCAATGCTTATTAACATGATATGAAATTAGAAGTGATTTATGGTGTTTTGTAATGATAGGAAAATCCTTATAATCTATGCACTGTAAAATGATCGAAATAAATAGAGAAAACTAAGTACCTCGTAAAAAAAATTGTGCGATTTCTTCAAAAGCCCTGATACCTTTGATTTTTATTTCTAAAATGTGTTTGTTCAAACTTGATCTGTTTCACCGGTAGGAGACTAATAATTTTCCTTATATAATATGATTTACTTTAAAGATGAAGTTTGAAGAATTATCGTGGGTAAAACACATTACTTTGAGTATTCAGAGACATTTTTGTTCAGCGTTTGCAATTATTCAATGCCTGATTTTCAGAACCTGGGGATCGGAGTACCTTAGATCAAACTCACCTTATCCCTTAAATATGAATGATGTCTTAAATATGTATTCATATTCACAGATACTTCTGATAACGTCAATTACTGGACGGGTGGTAATGACCTAGAAAACGAAGGTTCCTACATTTGGGTAAAAAGTAGAGCACCTTTTACCTTCACTGACTGGCATGCTAGTCAACCAAACGGTGGCAGCGAGGATTGTGTCGCCTACAACTGTTTCACGGACTCTTCGATCAAGTGGCACGATTTCGCCTGTCACCAAATGTTCTACTACATCTGTGAGAAAGAGTAAGTCGACTTAGTGTACTTTTTTTTCGTCGATTTTTCAAAAAATGTAAGTCTGGTTCATACATACATAGTACTTGTAATAATGATTGATATCCCTTCCTCTCTTACAGATTGAGTGATGATGAACTGATGAACATCATTGGATAATGAGCAGAGAACTGAGTGTCAAATAAATGTTTAATTCTCGTTTGTTTCATATAACGAAACGTTTTTGTCTTGCATCATATTAGGAAAAACTTGAAGCTGGAGAGCTTGGGGCGTGGGAAAAAGGGGGTTTAAAGCCAATAGAAGAATAACCAAATTTAATGAGCATGCTTTGTTTCTATTGATTATTGTAAGTAGTATTATTATTGGGGGCTCGCGCCACCCTCCTCTTTGCCTCCGTTCCTACATGTATATGGAACTGCTTTGCCAATAACCCCCCCCCCCCCTTTTCTCCCGATAATCAGGATTCTGACTGTACGTCTTTAATAATTAAATTGTACTCCTTTGTTTTTTGACTTTTGAGATTCAAAACTACTTTTAATCTACCAGAGTTTTCTACCCCTGGGGGCTTGTCTTCCGGATTGTTAAAAGTAAAAGAAATTAATAGATTTTTGAATCTTTTTTTAAATACACTTAAAAGTTGTTATAATAAAGATTCTGATACTTTCAGGCTAGAAAAAAAAACCACGTTTAAAAAAGACATAGTGATACCACACCCTACAAGGGACGAAGGCTCTCATCTTGGAAAAAATACCCATGCCCACTTCAGCGCCTATAAATTTCAGGACTCTAAATCATTAATTTATTTAATTATCATTTCTCTTTACCCCGATGCGTTTGTCAGTCGTCAACACGCGTTTAATCAACAGACAAACAATTTCTACGATTTGGAGCTCATCTCCCTTTATTGACCTATATAGAATGTGGAGTACAATGAAAACGTTCACTGCCAGCGTCATTGGTAAGGGACAAGGGTATAGGAAGGGACATACAATTAGGAATGAAGCTTATTTTAACCTCTTTACTATTATGACTGATAATAAAAGTAACGTGAAGCAGAATAATACGTTCTTGACGTTACGTAATATCTCGACTACCAATAAGTACCTCGCAGTTATCTAACTTACTACCGCTCTTTTGCGGGGGAGTCGAGAAAGGTCTAAATTTCTGGGGCACATGACATTGTTTACAGTAGTGACAACAAGTAGAGCTTTTCAAAAAAGCTTACTGTCTTTAGCAACAACCTTAAACAGTTAACTGATTAACATCTTTTAAGTCGTATAATTCTTTTGAATTTCTTGATTTCGTATTTCTAAATTAGCTTTATACTGGTATTAGCCCTACCGCGTTTGTCGCTCGGTCATCTCCGTAAACTGACCGAGACCTTCGGCAAACCCCGGCCGATTCCGTTAAATGTTACATTCTTCAAACAAATAAGGGGAAAAGAATAAATGCAAATTGTAAAGCCAACATGCAATAAAAGTCAATCATTAAATCTTATTTGCAACTTGATGAAAATAAAGAGACCTTTATAGTTATTTCTATTAAAAATATTGTTATTTAGAATTAATTACTTCTGATTTTGTTGTTCGTTTTGCTATTTTTTTAAGATTGGAAATATTGAAAAATTGTTAAGTCGTACGAAAATTAGACCATAAGAAAGTTATCTCCCTTGCCTTGAACAGCATTTCAACCAATGAAATAATTGAAAATTTTCTCATCATGCAATTTCTACCAATCACAAAAGAGAGAAAGTGCATAGTCCGAAGACTGTAAAAAACTTCAACTATATAATACCGTCTTCCAAGGAAGACGGTAATCAACTGATTCCAACAATTTAATGCCGAAATCACAATGTTTTGCCAGATATTGAACTCCAAATAGTACATTGTCATATAAGAAAGTTTAGAATATTTTATCTGCTTTAAAATGTGACGATTTTCAATGAAAATTTAACTAGAAGAGTCAGCTTAATTAAAAATATCGTTAAAAAATGTGACAATTAAGGATTGGCTTCTCTCAAAAATATATTAGGCTGGTTCAACGATTGTTTAGCAAAGTTTTCCACCAGGAATTTTTACTTATCTGTCCTTGTAAATGCTACAATGATCGATCTTGCATTATATTATTAAAATAGCACATTTGCCCCCACCCAACAGACGTGTCCTACCTCCATCGCGAAAGAGTTCCGCTAAGTTAAGTAATCGCGATATCAAGTTGTGACATAAGCAACCTATGTTAATACGACATAGATTATTTAAATCTTTTATCCGATCAAATGACGTGTAACAACCAAAATTAAAATGTATGATAAAAAAATTATGTTACTTTGTGTTCAAAAGGCAAATCAATCTTATAATAGTTATAAATAAAAATAAAGAAATCATGTCTTCCTTATCGATACCATTTTCAGTTCACTGATCAAAGAGGAACAACTCTAAAAATGTAGGAGATGGTTGTTTACCTCCCTTTAGTTGAGTTCCGAACAAATACAGTGTACATTTTTTTTTACGAAGGCAGGTCTATAAATATTTTAATATGAATTGATATTCTGATGAATTCAGTACAAGAACTGAAAGCTGTAATGTATACAAAGTAAGTATAGAAAGTTGAAAGAATATTGCTTACTGAAATGCAGTATCTTATTGTGTCAATCTAATCAATGTAATCAATATCAGTTCGCATTTCCTCCAACAAAAGTTAAAAAATCATAATATTTATATATTCAGACACATAGATAATTTTAAGATAGATTTATCTGAAGGAATTTTAAGTTTTCGGAATTTAGAAAAAACAACAACAACAGCAGCATGCATACAATGACGCAATATCGAGGACAGAGAGGGGTGTTGCCCCCTCCATTGTTTGAAATAAGAAACTTTATTATATATGATTGAATCATAACATTTATTCCTATCTCTCTGATTGGCTGAGACCCAACAATGTAGTGAAAATGAATATATATACAATTATGGACTCTTTTGGAGTTGAATATGGTTTGTTAAATAAAAATAAAGAAAAATATCAATATTGACCGAAGTGTTGATTGTGACGTCACAATGCCGCTGCCCGCGCACTGACCCTCCGGTGAATACAGCCTCAAATCCGGTGAATATGTTGTGTTATAAAATGTTTGCGCTTATGTAGATTACATAAAAACTATAAATAGACTATATAATGAAAGGGTTTATTTTTTCAAGTTTCAACATTGATCTAAGATCGGGAGATTATACATCGATACAAAAAGCTTGGATTGAAAAACTTTTGTACTTGCTCCTGACTTCCAATCGAATGAATATAACATCAGAGATCGAATTTATTGATTTGGGTTGGTATTCCGAGGGGGGGAGGGGGCATTCTAAATTTAATTTTGATTTTGATTTTATCTTTTCGTTTGTATGTAGATCCCTCACTTATAAACTTCAAACCCCCACCTCTAACCCCACCCAGAACCCCATAGCAAAATTTTAAATTTAAAAAAATCTCGTTTTGTTGGGGCTAATAAAGAATTTTTTCAGTTGTAATTTTTCTTTCAAATCCTATCCTATAAAATTTAAGCTCTTGACATTTTTTTCTGAGCTTCCAAAGTACATTTTCAAAAATTTAAATCAACAAGACTAATAATGTTTGTTTAATTATGCGGAGACTTTTTTTTGGGGGGGGTCAATTTTTTTTTTTCGGGTTAGTTGAATTTATTTTCCTTTCTCTTTTAAAAACCGATACTGAGTATGGCAAAAAGGTGTCAAATAATACTTTTTATTTTGGTATAAATGCACTTCTTTACATAAAGGTGCATTGGATTTATTCATTACTTATATGCTCATTATATTACATATATTTTGGTTAAAGATGGTCTACATATTAAAATGCCATTAATATACATATATTTAATTTTTACATATTTCTGCGGTTAATTAATAAAGAGATAATGAATACAAAAGTATAAAATTATAATATTTAATTAATAACCACGTTTGCTCTTTGTAGTTATACAATGTGTTTGAATCTCTTTCAGAGGGTCTTTCGAATATAGCATTGCATTTACAAAGTTTTACAAATGCAGTGCTAGTTCATTGGGGGACATCTATATCCATATATTAAACTGAGGGGGGGGGGGGGTAAACAATTGAACCCCTCTCTCTCTCTCTCTCTCTCTCTCTCTCTCATAAATATATACAAAATATATGCGTTTAAAAATTGGGTTGCTTCCAAAGCCTATGTAGTTTATCAAAACAAACGTTGATCATACTTTTATGAAATCTACATCCATACATTAAAATTGAGGTCTATAATATAAACAATAGTACTCTCTCTCTCTCTCTCTCTCTCTCTCTCTCTCTCTCTCTCTCTCTCTCTCTCTCTCTCTCTCGTATAAGTCATCGAAATATAAAAAAAAAATCTGTTCAAGAAAAAGAAATATTTTCATTATCATTTCGGATATAGTTGAATAATACATTAATCTTAATTCCTTTATTACAATTTGATTTCTTAACCTTAAAGGATCGAGATATTAAAACGCCTTGTTCACACTCCCTGTGCCCTGAACAGTTTTCACTTGCTGTTCAGGGTGTAATGGCGTAAATGGCGCTTAGTCCACTGTCTCTGAAGATTTTATTTACAACGCATAAAGGGGAAAATAATGCCGCTTGTGAGTATTTAAACATGTAATATAAATTGTTGTTTGAAAATGTGAAATTATTTGTTGGTTTAACGATAGAGTTAGACGAACAGCATCATCCAATGTGGTGATCTTCAGGTTTTAAATACCAAATCTATTATGAATAAACCACAAAGGATTACATAACAAAAATGTTTTAAAATAATGGTGAGTGGAAAAAAGTCTTGGTGTAGATGAAATAAGAAAATGGTTTGCTGAGAGCACAATTTTTTTTAAATGTAGATCATGTAAATCAAATATTTCGTTACTGAATACAAGGTGGTTATGTTGACCAAAAGCTAAGTGATAGCTTCACTGTATGCGCATTTGGCGGGTTAACCCTACTAGACAAGTGGTAGAACATTTGATTAAAGTCTGAGGTAAGTTTAACAATACTATGACCCCCCCCCCCCCCCAACCTCACCCTGGTTATCGCTCGTAAATTCTTGATATTTCCAAAGAAAATTATCTAGTTTTGTTTTTAAAGCAGCAATATATAAACAATCTTCGTTTCGAGTTGCTTATTTAAAGGGTAAGTTGCTTATTAAAAAGGTATGCTCGCAAATGCATTCTTTTATTTAATACATTTATTAAAATCTTATAGAGGAAAATACGGCATTAAAATAGCTAGAACAAACGGATTTTGAATCATGACCTCTCTCTATCCAGTACTAGTGAAACATGGCTTCTTAGAGGTTAAATTATCTGGGTTGCAGTGCCAGGAAATCAAAGAAAACGTTTCAATAGTTCAATTAAAAGAACCTGACACCAATCCCCCCAAAGTTTTATTGAATTGAACTGACTTGTCACTTTAAACGTTCACTGCAAAAAAGTGCGCATTTGTACACTTCCGGTATACCGTGAACAGTATTCTCACTTCACTGTCCGACGATATAAAGAAATGATTTATTCTTAAATAAAGAAGTAAAAACTGTTGTTTGTGGGTATTCATAATATTAATTGTTGTTTTATATGGTGTATGCAATAAATATCTACTGCCATCTTTTCAAGAAGCCCGTACGAACGGGTTGCCTTGGGGGGGGGGGGGGGGGTCATAAGAGGTTTTGTTAGGTCTCCCTGAAATTTTTTTTTCAATTTCTGTGTGTTCTGTTTACATAATTCTTATAGAAATATTTCAGCAAGATAAATAAATCTGTATTGGTTCATCAAAATAAAAAAAAAAGAATTAAGTGATTTGTAACTTTTCAATTATACTTGGTACATGAATACACTAGGCCTATACAAGGACACAGAAGTTCACTAAGACAGGGATTAAAATTTTTATATTGCTACATGCACTTATACTACAATTCTTTTCTGATTTAGATAAATCTTGGTCCACACGTAGACACATAAATATACTATTTATTAGTTTTAGGTTTTGATGAATGGACTTCTCAAAGTTACTAAAAATAAAAATAAACCCGACATTCTTTTAAAAAAGAACTTTTTTCTACAGTTTTCTTCAGATTTCAATAAAACAAATGTTTTATCTGAAATTGCTGAACCATTTTCATACATATTTGGGAATGGTATCTAGGGTATTAAAAGGAGAAAAATATGAATTTTAAGGTCAGGTTCTAATGTTTGGGTGGGGCTCTGAATATATAATGCGAATTCGAACTGATATAAATTAACTGATTCACTATTGACTGATCAATTACCGCAATAAGATACTGTATTTCAGTAAACAATATTCTTTTCAACTTTCTATGCTTATTTTGTATTCATTTCAATTTAGCTTTCAGTTCTTTTTGAATCTGTCACAATTGATTTTAAATAATTGTATTAATTTAATTTTTAAAACCATAATAGTTTATTCAGAGAGTTAAAAAACATTCAATTTTAGCAAAAGAAAATTACTGAGTAAAGCACCGTAACTATAAGCAGTTTTTTGTTGGTGGTACCTGACTATACATGTATACATATTGTACATGTAGAAGATCTTGTGACTTCACGAGATGCACGGGCTATCTTGATCTTTCTGTTGATTACCTGTGTATTGTGTGCGTTCAAGTGGACAGTGATTTCCTGTTACGCAGTTGATGTATATGTTTCACAGTTGCACAATGGCTTCATGTGTTTTAGAGTCTTATCAATGCAACAAGTTGAAAAAATGACACGTAAAAATCATTGAGCAGGGTATATAGGGGTGGGGAGGTTCCCGACCCCCCACCCCCGTGAATCCACCACTACCCTTGGTTGTTGACGTCGGTGCTCCAGGTTACATGTAAAGTCTTTGGAGCAATTTTCTTTCGAAGTAGTATATCTATGCCCTACATTAATCAAAGATGCAAGGATGATGCTGCAAGTATAATTCTTTGTACTGATTAAGGTTTCACATGCTGCGATTTCAGCTAAGGAAGCCATGTGTTGACAGGATTGCTTCAGATGCCGGATCTGACCTACTTTTTCCAGAGCATGTTCATTCTAAAGTAATAATATCTATGTTGACCAAACCTACTTGGATGACACATGTAAGGATGCATACCAGGCCTGCTTTAGATGCTGGATCTGACCTACATTGTCCAAATGAGGGACCAGGCTTAAGTTTTTGGAGCAAGTTCACTTTGACAAAACTTGCAAGGCTGATATATTAAAACCTGCTCTCTACCTCAATGCTTTAAATGATGGATTTGACCTACATTTTTCAGATGAGTAAACAGATTGAGGTTTTTGGCTAATATCCATTACCAAGAAACTATAAGGCCTCTCTGAACCAAACTGGAAAATGCGGCAAGAATTGAGATCTACTCTTTTTCCAACTTTGGCCAACTTTACTTGTTATATGATGTTTCCTTGATTTGGCCTTGACATCTTGACTTGTACTGACAGGATGCAGAAGAAAAGGAGCCATCCCAAGGTGCAGAAGAGGACCCAGTTCACCAACCGGAGAGCCTGATAGCTAAGCTTTTTGATTTATCCCTCTGTCTGTCTTTCTGTCCCCTCCTTACTCTAACAGACTAACCATCTCCATTCCCAACCTCTACTCTCTCCTGTGTTATGCCCCTTTCCCAAAGTATGTGTCTCCTTTAGCTATCTTTTTTCTGGAGTAATCTGTCAATTTTTTTTTGACCTGAGGGTTTTGTAATTTTTAGCTCACCTGAGCCAAAGGCTCAAGTGAGCTTTTCTGATCACAATTTGTCCGTTGTCTGTCGTTGTTGTTGTCGTCGTCGTCGTCGTTGTAAACTTTTTACATTTTCATCTTCTTCTCAAGAACCACTGGGCCAATTTCAACCAAACTTGGTACAAAGTATCCTTGGGTGAAGGGGAAAAAAAATTCAAGTTTTTTTTCATATAAAAAAAATATGAAGTTATAATTAAAAAACGCCAGGCCCTTTTCCAAGGGGAGATAATTATGAATTAGAGAAAAATTAATGGCATTTTTAAAAAATCTTCTTCTCAAGAACCACTGGGCCAGGAAAGATTAAACTCGTGTGGAATCATCCTCAGGTAGTGTAGATTCAAGTTTGTTCAAATCATGACCCCCGGGGGTAGGGTGGGGCCAAAATGTGGATCAAAGTTTTACATAGGAATATATAGGAAAAATCTTTAAAAATCTTCTTCTTAAGAACCTTTGGGTCAGGAAAGATTAAACTCATGTGGAATCATCCTCAGGTAGTGTAGATTCAAGTTTGTTCAAATCATGACCCCCATATTTAGGGTGGGGTTAAAATGGCCATTAAAGTTTTACATAGGAATATATAGGAAAAATTTCTTCTCAAGTACCACTGGGCCAGGAAAGATTAAACTCATGTGGATTCATCCTCAGGTAGTGTAGATTCAAGTTTGTTCAAATTATGACCCCCCGGGCTAGGGTGGGGCCAAAATGGCAGATCAAAGTTTTACATAGGAACATACAGGAAAATCTTTAAAAATCTTCTTTTCAAGTACTTCAAAGCCAGGCTTCGTTATATTTATAGGGAATCATCCTCAGGTACTTAGATTCACAAGTTTGTTCAAATCATGACCCCCTTGGGGGAGGGATGTAAAATTCAAGCTCCCCCCCTCCCAGTTTACTTTCAGTTCTCTCTGTGTCTGTGTTTTTTCTTTTTTCTAGCCAATTGCTCAGGTGAGGGTTTTGTCTTTTTCTGCTAATTTTTGCAATTGTTTAGTGAATTTGTATTTAATTTTGCATCTGTTTTAATTTTGAACTAATTTGTTTGTCAGTTGTGTATTTTCAGGGGTTCAGAGGAGGACAGAAGAGGAGCTTGGCTGGCCTACAGAAGAAGAGGATTCCATTGCCCAGCTATGAGTAGAAAGCAACATTGGTCAGAGTTGAAAGAACATACTGCATTTGTTGCAATTTTGATTCCCTGTTGTCTTTATTGAAACTAGATCACAGCATTTAAGATATTTGTTTAACATCTTGACTCTGTGTGTTAGTAGGGAGATGCCTGGATCCCAATGTTAGGAACAACTTGCTTGTTTTTCAGGAGAGGGGTGGGGAGGAGGGTGGGGAATTGACTGTGGACAAGCAGAGAAGAAAAGGTAAGATTCATATGATCAATTCTATCCTGTGTGTATTTCTTTGTCTCTTGTTCAGTTGAAATGAAGTCTGAAAATTCCTTTGACATCTTAATGTTTTTCTATCAACAGAAGGCAGCGAGAATGATCTGCAGCTCCAGGTGTGGATGAGAGCTGCCTTCCATTACACTGCAAGCATCGCTGGAAGATGCGGTAAGAATTGAGATGTACTCTTTTGCCACTTTGATTATTTTGTACTTGTTATATGATGTTTCCTTGATTTGGCCTTGACATCTTGACTTGTACTGACAGGATGCAGAAGAAAAGGAGCCATCCCAAGGTGCAGAAGAGGACCCAGTTCACCAGCCGGAGAGCCTGATAGCTAAGCTTTTTGATTTATCCCTCTGTCTCTCTTTCTGTCCCCTCCTTACTCTAACAGACTAACCATCTCCATTCCCAACCTCTACTCTCTCCTGTGTTATGCCCCTTTCTCAAAGTATGTGTCTCCTTTTGCTATCTTTTTTCTCGAGTAATTTGTCTTTTTTTTTTTTGGCTGAGGATTTTGTAATTTTCTGTAACTTTTTGCAATTCTTTAGTGAATTTGTGTTTAAATTTGCATTTGTTTTGATTTTGAACTAATTTGTTTGTCAACTGTGTACAGAAAAAGAGGACTCCATTGCCCAGCTATGAGTAGAAATCAAGATTGGCCATCCAGAGTGGTAAGAACACACTACATTTGTTGCAATTTTGATTCCCTGTTGTCTTTATTGTAACTAGATCAGAGCATTTAGGATATTTGTTTAACATCTTGACTCTGTGTGTTAATAGGGAGATGCCTGGATCCCAATGTTAGGAACAACTTGCTTGTTTGTCAGGAGGAGGGTGGGGAGGAGGGCGGGGAATTGACTGTGGACAAGCAGAGAAGAAAAGGTAAGATTCATATGATAAATTCTCTCCTGTGTGGATTTCTTTGTCTCTTGTTCAGTTGAAATGAGGTCTGAAAATTCCTTTGACATCTTAATGCTTTTCTATCAACAGAAGGCAGTAAGAATGATCTGCTGCTCCAGATGTGGATGAGAGCTGCCTTCCATTACACTGCAAGCATCCCTTGAAGATGCGGTAAGAATTGAGATGTACTCTTTTGCCACTTTGATTATTTTGTACTTGTTATATGATGTTTCCTTGATTTGGCCTTGACATCTTGACTTGTACTGACAGGATGCAGAAGAAAAGGAGCCATCCCAAGGTGCAGAAGAGGACCCAGTTCACCAGCGGGAGAGCCTGATAGCTAAGCTTTTTGATTTATCCCTCTGTCTCTCTTTCTGTCCCCTCCTTACTCTAACAGACTAACCATCTCCATTCCCAACCTCTACTCTCTCTTGTGTTATGCCCCTTTCCCAAAGTATGTGTCTCCTTTTGCTATCTTTTTTCTCGAGTAATTTGTCGATTTTGTTGGCTGAGGGTTTTGTAATTTTTCTGTCAATTTTTGCAATTGTTTAGTGAATTTGTATTTAATTTTGCATCTGTTTTGATTTTGAACTAATTTGTTTGTCAGTTGTGTATTTTCAGGGGTTCAGAGGAGGACAGAAGAGGAGCTCGGCCGGCCTACAGAAGAAGAGGACTCCATTGCCCAGCTATGAGTAGAAAGCAAGATTGGCCATCTAGAGTGGTAACAACATGTTACATTTGTTGCAATTTTGATTCCCTGTTGTCTTTATTGTAACTAGATCAGAGCATTGTGGATATTTGTTTAACATCTTGACTCTGTGTGTTAATAGGGAGATGCCTGGATCCCAGTGTTAGGAACAACTTGCTTGTTTGTGAGGAGGAGGGTGAGGAATTGACTGTGGACAAGCAGAGAAGAAAAGGTAAGATTCATATGATCAATTCTATCTTGTATAGATTTCTTTGTCTCTTGTTCAGTTGAAATGAAGTCTGGAAATTCCTTTGACATCTTAATGTTTTTCTATCAACAGAAGTCAGTCAGAATGATCTGCAGCCCCAGGTGAGGATGAGAGCTGCCTTCCATTACACTGCAAGCATCGCTGGAAGATGCGGTAAGAATTGAGATGTACTCTTTTGCCACTTTGATTATTTTGTACTTGTTATATGATGTTTCCTTGATTTGGCCTTGACATCTTGACTTGTACTGACAGGATGCAGAAGAAAAGGAGCCATCCCAAGGTGCAGAAGAGGACCCAGTTCACCAGCCGGAGAGCCTGATAGCTAAGCTTTTTGATTTATCCCTCTGTCTGTCTTTCTGTCCCCTCCTTACTCTAACAGACTAACCATCTCCATTCCCAACCTCTACTCTCTCCTGTGTTATGCCCCTTTCCCAAAGTATGAGTCTCCTTTTGCTATCTTTTTTTCTGGAGTAATTTTGTCTATTTTTTTTTTGGTTGAGGGTTTTGTAATTTTTCTGTCAATTTTTGCAATTGTTTAGTGAATTTGTATTTAATTTTGCATCTGTTTTGATTTTGAACTAATTTGTTTGTCAGTTGTGTATTTTCAGGGGTTCAGAGGAGGACAGAAGAGGAGCTCGGCCGGCCTACAGAAGAAGAGGACTCCATTGCCCAGCTATGAGTAGAAAGCGAGATTGGCCATCCAGAGTGGTAAGAACATACTACATTTGTTGCAATTTTGATTCCCTGTTGTCTTTATTGTAACTAGATCAGAACATTGTGGATATTTGTTTAACATCTTGACTCTGTGTGTTAATAGGGAGATGCCTGGATCCCAATGTTAGGAACAACTTGCTTGTTTGTGAGGAGGAGGGTGGGGAGGAGGGCAGGGAATTGACTGTGGACAAGCAGAGAAGAAAAGGTAAGATTCATATGATCAATTCTATCTTGTATAGATTTCTTTGTCTCTTGTTCAGTTGAAATGAAGTCTGGAAATTCCTTTGACATCTTAATGTTTTTCTATCAACAGAAGGCAGTAAGAATGATGTGCAGCCCCAGGTGAGGATGAGAGCTGCCTTCCATTACACTGCAAGCATCGCTGGAAGATGCGGTAAGAATTGAGATGTACTCTTTTGCCACTTTGATTATTTTGTACTTGTTATATGATGTTTCCTTGATTTGGCCTTGACATCTTGACTTGTACTGACAGGATGCAGAAGAAAAGGAGCCATCCCAAGGTGCAGAAGAGGACCCAGTTCACCAGCCGGAGAGCCTGATAGCTAAGCTTTTTGATTTATCCCTCTGTCTCTCTTTCTGTCCCCTCCTTACTCTAACAGACTAACCATCTCCATTCCCAACCTCTACTCTCTCCTGTGTTATGCCCCTTTCCCAAAGTATGAGTCTCCTTTTGCTATCTTTTTTCTGGAGTAATTTGTCTATTTTTTTGGTTGAGGGTTTTGTAATTTTTCTGTCAATTTTTACAATTGTTTAGTGAATTTGTATTTAATTTTGCATCTGTTTTGATTTTGAACTAATTTGTTTGTCAGTTGTGTATTTTCAGGGGTTCAGAGGAGGACAGAAGAGGAGCTCGGCCGGCCTACAGAAGAAGAGGACTCCATTGCCCAGCTATGAGTAGAAAGCAAGATTGGCCATCCAGAGTGGTAAGAACATACTACATTTGTTGCAATTTTGATTCCCTGTTGTCTTTATTGTAACTAGATCAGAGCATTTAGGGTATTTGTTTAACATCTTGACTCTGTGTGTTAATAGGGAGATGCCTGGATCCCAATGTTAGGAACAACTTGCTTGTTTGTGAGGAGGAGGGTGAGGAATTGACTGTGGACAAGCAGAGAAGAAAAGGTAAGATTCATATGATCAATTCTATCTTGTATAGATTTCTTTGTCTCTTGTTCAGTTGAAATGAAGTCTGGAAATTCCTTTGACATCTTAATGTTTTTCTATCAACAGAAGGCAGTAAGAATGATCTGCAGCCCCAGGTGTAGATGAGAGCTGCCTTCCATTACACTGCAAGCATCGCTGGAAGATGCGGTAAGAATTGAGATGTACTCTTTTGCCACTTTGATTATTTTGTACTTGTTATATGATGTTTCCTTGATTTGGCCTTGACATCTTGACTTGTACTGACAGGATGCAGAAGAAAAGGAGCCATCCCAAGGTGCAGAAGAGGACCCAGTTCACCAGCCGGAGAGCCTGATAGCTAAGCTTTTTGATTTATCCCTCTGTCTCTCTTTCTGTCCCCTCCTTACTCTAACAGACTAACCATCTCCATTCCCAACCTCTACTCTCTCCTGTGTTATGCCCCTTTCCCAAAGTATGAGTCTCCTTTTGCTATCTTTTTTTCTGGAGTAATTTTGTCTATTTTTTTTTGGTTGAGGGTTTTGTAATTTTTCTGTCAATTTTTGCAATTGTTTAGTGAATTTGTATTTAATTTTGCATCTGTTTTGATTTTGAACTAATTTGTTTGTCAGTTGTGTATTTTCAGGGGTTCAGAGGAGGACAGAAGAGGAGCTCGGCCGGCCTACAGAAGAAGAGGACTCCATTGCCCAGCTATGAGTAGAAAGCAAGATTGGCCATCCAGAGTGGTAAGAACATACTACATTTGTTGCAATTTTGATTCCCTGTTGTCTTTATTGTAACTAGATCAGAACATTGTGGATATTTGTTTAACATCTTGACTCTGTGTGTTAATAGGGAGATGCCTGGATCCCAATGTTAGGAACAACTTGCTTGTTTGTGAGGAGGAGGGTGGGGAGGAGGGCGGGGAATTGACTGTGGACAAGCAGAGAAGAAAATGTAAGATTCATATGATAAATTCTATCCTGTGTGGATTTCTTTGTCTCTTGTTCAGTTGAAATGAAGTCTGAAAATTCCTTTGACATCTTAATGTTTTTCTATCAACAGAAGGCAGGAAGAATGATCTGCAGCTCCAGATGTGGATGAGAGCTGCCTTCCATTACACTGCAAGCATCGCTGGAAGATGCGGTAAGAAATGAGATACTTAATTTGGCCTTGACATCTTGACTTGTACTGACAGGATGCAGAAGAAAAGGAGCCATCCCAAGGTGCAGAAGAGGATCCAGTTCACCAGTCGGAGAGCCTGATAGCTAAGCTTTTTGATTTATTCCTCTGTCCCTCTTTCTGTCTCCTCCTTACTCTAACAGACTAACCATCTCCATTCCCAACCTCTACTCTCTCCTGTGTTATGCCCCTTTCCCAAAGTATATGTCTTCTTTTGCTATCTTTTTTCTTGAGTAATTTTTAGCTCACCTGAGACGAAGGCTACAACAGTGTGGCCCCTGGGCCTATTGTTTTGTAGTGTTTCTTTCAGTTTGGCTTTTGTTGTGTTTTTGTTTCTTTGTCTAATATTCTCTGTTCTTATTTTGCCGGGACTTCATCGTTGGAGATGGTGGACTTGGAGGGCGCTGGTTCTTCATCGTTGGAGATGGTGGAATAAGGACTTGGAGGAGGCTGGGCATATTGGATTAGAACAGCATGCCAACAACACTGAAGTGAGGTTTTTCTTTGTATTTTTTTTTATGTTATGTCTCAATGTTATTTTAGTTATTTATTGTTTTTTTATTTTGTTTAGATTGTTAGTTTTTATTGTTATTTGTTTATTAGGTTGTCATTATTGTTATTTGCTTATTAGGTTGTTATTATAGTGTTTTGTTTATGAGGGTTGTAAAAGTTGTTAATTTTCATGTTTTATTTGTTATTTGTTACAATATGTTTTTAATGTTATTGGTTATTGTTACTGTTAAGTTTTAGCTTTTGTTAGTGTTGTTAAATGTATGCTATTTGGTTTTGTAATGAGTCATAATGTTATTGTTATTATTGATAGATATTTGTTATCTATCTGTATATAAGTTATTGGCTTTTGTTTTGAATATGTTTGTTCTTTGTTATTGGTGTGAGGATCAGTCATTTGTAATGTATACATGTATAGGGGGATATTAGTTATTTATAATGTTATAGTTATGAGTTTTAGTTATTTCTTATTTGTATAAGGTTTTATTAGTTATAATTGTTATGAGTTTCAGTTATTTATTATTGTTACAGCTATGAGCATTTGTTGTTAATTGTTTTAGTTTATTGTTGTTATTGTTATGAGTTTTAGTTATTTGATTTGGTTGAGATTTTTAGTTATTTGTTATTGTTGTGAGATTTTGTTAATTGTTATTGTTATGAGGTTTGTTTGTTATTCTCCCCATTATCTGTTTTTCTTTTGTTTATTGATTTCATGTTTTAAGTTCATTAATTCCTTTCCCCTTCCCTGATCCTGTTAAGTTTGTACTCACTCCATTATCTGTTTATTTTGTTTATTGATTCCATGTTTTAAGTGCATACCTTTCCCCTTCCCTGATTTTGGTAAGTTTGTATTTCAGCCCTTATCTGTTTATTTTGTTTATTGATATCATGTTTTAAGTACATTCTTTTCCCCCTTCTCCGATTTTTGTTAGTTTGTATTCAACCCATTATCTGTTCATTTTGGATAGGTGCAATCACATGAATGCAATTGTCTAAATACATCCATCAAGCACACACCGCCATTGTAGGCATTGCAAACGCAGGATTCCTTTCCCCTCCTCTGATCCTGTTTAGATTGTATTTCAGCCCTTATCTGTTTTTTGTTTTTTTTTTTTTTTTTTCTGTTTTAAGTACATTCCTTAATTTCCCCTTCCCCGATCCTGTGTAGTTAGTATTTAAGCCCTTAACTGTTAATTTTGTTTGTTGATTTTATGTTTTAGGTGCATTCCTTTCCCCTTCTCTGATCCTGTATAGTTTGTATTTCAGTCCTTATCTGTTTATTTTGTTTGTTTATTGATTTCATATTTTAAGTACACACCTTTCCCCTTCCCTGATCCTGTTTATTTTGTATTTCACCTGTTATCCGTTTATTTTGTTTTTTGATTTCATGTTTTAAGTTCATTCTTTTCCCCATCCTAATCCTGTTAAGTTTGTATTTAAGCTCTTAGCTGTTTATTTTGTTTTTTGACTTCATGTTTTAAGTACATTCCTAACCCCTTCCCAGATCCTGTTCAGTTTATACTCATCCCATTATCTGTTTATTTTGTTTATTGATTTCATGTTTTAAGTACATTCCTTTCCCCTTCCCTGATTTTGGTAAGTTAGTATTTAAGCCCTTATCTGTTTATTTTGTTTATTGATTTCATGTTGTAAGTACATTCTTTTCCCCCATCCCTGATCCTGTTAAGTTTGTATTTAAGCCCTTAGCTGTTTATTAGCTCTTCTGAGCCAAAGGCTCAAAGAGCTAATGCTATGGCCATTTGTGTGGTGTGCGTTAACTTTTTAGAATATGGGCCATAACTCAAGAACCCCTTGGCCAATCATCGTCAAATTTGTTACAGGGTATCCTTGGCCCAAGGGCTACCATCAATACTAAAACTAGGGTTGGGATAATCAGGAAAATATAACCAAAAGTACTGGTTGCTAAAAAATCTTCTTCTCCAGAACCACCAGGCAGATTTTCACCAAACTTACACACAAGGTTCAGGATATGTTGAAACTTTAAAATTGTTCAAGGCATGACCCTGGGGCAAAGGGCGTGGTCTCAAGGACACTTCAAAGTTAACCAAAATGTACACTTAATAAAAACGTTGATATTTTGCTTACTATAAAGACTAGGATCATCAAATCTTGTAAGTTGATGCATCTAAGGACTTCACATCATGTTAACACAAAAGTAGGTCACGGTGACCTACTTTTTAAATTTTACGGGCTTTTGTTTTCAAATTGATTTGGATGCATATTTTGGACACTTTAAGGCCTATGATCATCAAACTTTGTCAGTTGATGCATCTTGGGTCCTTAAACAAGGTCAACTTAAAAGTAGGTCATCGTGACCTACTTTTTGAATTTTATGGCTCATCTTTTCTAAAACATTTCATCCCATTATTTCAGATACTGAGAGGTTTAGATTCACCAAACCTTGTAAATTGATGCATCTTGGGGCCTTGAAACATATTTATTAAAAAGTAGGTCACTGTGACCTACTTTTTGAATTTTGCAGGCATTTGTTTTCAAATTGTTTAAAAGGCATATTTTGAATACTTTCAGACCTATGATCATCAAACTTTGTCAGTTGATGCATCTTGGGTCTTCGGAAAATGTCGACCAAAAAGTAGGTCACAGTGACTACTTTTGACATTTTATGGCTATATTTCAGTATCTTAGGTACTTTTTCGCTTATAATCATCAAAACTTTGTCAGTTGATGCAACTTAGGTTTTCGGAGAATGTCGACCAAAAAGTAGGTCACTGTGACCTACTTTTGACATTTTATGGCTATATTTCAGTATCTTAGGTACTTTTTGGCTTAGAATCATCAAACTTTGTCAGTTGATGTAACTTGAGTTTTCGAAACCTGTGGACCAAAAAATAGGTCACTGTGACCTACTTTTGAATTTTATGGCTATATTTAAAGTATCTCGGGTACTTATTGGCCTAGAATTGTCAAACGTTGTCAGTTGAGGCATCTTGGGTTTTCGGAGAATGTTGACCAAAAAGTAGGTCACAATGACCTACTTTTGAGTATCTCAGGTACTTATTGGCTTAGAATCATCAAACATTGTCAGTTGATGCATCTAGGGTCCTCGGAAAATGTTGACCAAAAAGTAGGTCATGGTGACCTACTTTTGACATTTTATAGCTATATTTAAGTATTTTAGGTACTTTTTGGCTTAGAACTATCAAAACTTTGTCATTTGATGCAACTTGGTTTTTCGAAGAATGTCGACCAAAAAGTAGGTCACTGTGACCTAGTTTTGACATTTTATCGCTATATCTTAGGTACTTTTTGTTTAAGAATTATCAAACATCAGTTTAGGCATCTTGGGTTTTCAGAGAATGTCGACCAAAAAGTAGGTCACAATGACCTACTTTTAATTATCTCAGATACTTATTGGCTTAGAATCATCAAACATTGTCAGTTGATGCATTTGGGTCCTCGGAAAATGTTGACCAAAAAGTAAGTCACGATGACCTACTTTTGACATTTTATGGCTTTTTTAAAATATCTCTGGTACTAATTGGCTTAGAATCATCAAACTCTGAGAGTTGATGCACCTTTGGTCCTCGGGGAATGTCAACCATAAGAAGGTCACAGTGACCTACTTTAGTATGTGAGGTACATATTCAATAGAACCATCAATCTTTGTCAATTAATGCATCTTGAGTCCTCAGAAAGTTTCAAATCAAAAAGTAGGTCACCATGTACTTATGGTATTTTATAGCTATACTGAAATATCTTCAGTCCTAACAGGCAAAGAATCATCAAACTTTGTCAGTTCATGCATCTTAGGATACTTAGAGTAAGAGACTTCAAATTGAAGTGATAGACTGTACAATTTATCAGAAGAGCGATTCAAGGCCCTTGGGCCTCTTGTTTTGTTTTTTGACTTCATGTTTTAAGTACATTCCTTTCCCCTTCCCTGATCCTGTACAGTTTGTATTCACCCCATTATCTGTTTATTTTGTTTATTGCAGCCCGGAGGACCGTGCTACTCTCTACATATAAGATTAAGTTTTGGTTAATCCTGGGATTGAGGTGGGAGAAGTTATTTGGAATTAAAGGTTTTCTAAACATTTATAAGATTGTTAATCAGAATGTTCTTTCCCTTTATAAATTTCGAGATAAATTAATATATTTTCTTCCATAAAGTGAATCTGTAAAAATATATGTGTTTTTCATATTTAATACATAAAGTTGCTTATCATTTACTAACGAAAAAACGATGTTTTAAACACACACCTTTCCCCTTCCCTGATCCTGTTTAGGTTGTACTTCAGCTCTTATCTGTTTTTTGTGTTTATCTTGAAGTTTTTCTAACAAAGGAAGTAAGGATATTCATCCCCTGGTATGGATGAGAGCTGCATCCCATTACACTGCAGCCATCGCTGGAAGATGTGGTAAGAATAAGAATCTACTCTTTCCTCACTTTGACAATCTTTTACCTAGATGATACCTACTTGTTTTAGCCTTGATATCTTAACTTGCATTGACAGGATGCAAACAAAAAGGACCCATCCATAGAATCGGAACAGAAGGACCAATGCCAAGGATCAGAAGAGGACCTATCCAGAGGATCAGAAGAGAAGTACCCATCCCATGGATTAGATGAAATGGACCAATCCCAAGGATTAGAAAAAAAGGACCAATCCCAAGTATTAGAAGAAAAGGATCAGTCTCAAGTATCAGAAGAGAAGGACCATTCCCAAAGGTCAAAAGGAAGGAACTATCCCAAGGATCAGAAGAGCATCCAGTTCATCAGCTGCAGGAGGGTAGGAGCATTGAATTTATTTCTGCACTTTTTAAAAGAAAGCTTGAGATTCCTATTATAAAAGTTGTATTAATGTGATATTTTTGGGTCTTCCAAATTTTATAAGGCTTCTCACTTAAATTACTTGTATTCCTACTCTGAAGAAGCAATGTAAGGAGAAGTTCTCTCTTCTGTGTCAGAGTGTACCTTCTGAGATCAATATTGTTGAAAGTCTTTGTAACAGAAAATAAGAAACAAAATGTAAATCCCTGGTCAGTGCTTATGAGTTCTTTGCATTATCATTAATGTATATACATTTTGCATTTATGATTTAGAATAAATCATATAAACAGTGCACAAATTGGTCATTTAAAGAAAGAAAACTTCTTCCTCTTATCTGCAAGGCTAATCTGGACCTTGATCAAACTTTTTAAATAATACCTTAATTTTTGTGTTGCAATTAAAACACTCTGGAAAAGTATGCAAGTAAAACACACTGGAAAAGTACTTTATACTGAGAGTTTTGTGAATCATGCAGTCTTTTTTAATTAGATCAGATAAAAACATTACTATTGTTAACATATTCAGATTATCATTACCTATGATCTTTAAATTCATTGGAAAATAAGGGGAGGGGTAATACTAAAGTTTAAACCCTATTGAGCTTATCAGCAAGTCATTGAAATGACTACTGGTCATTTATAGCATTCCTTTGACCCATGGGTTGCAGTATAAATCATTTGACTTTTGGTTTGCAGTATTCGTTAAATAATTTCATCCTTGGTTTGCAATATTCATAAATCATTTGACTTTTTGTTTCTTTTGTTAGCAGAAGGCAATTTTAAGCTGGCCATATTCCCTTATTGAGAAAAAGGATGTCCTGAATTCAAGTGCATCAATCATTAGAGTATGCATAAGATTAGATCCGGACACAGGGAGACTAACTGGCTAACAGATGAAGGGGTGACCATTGCCCAGTTTTGACCATCAGAAAATTTCGGCCAATATGGTAAGTAACGTGCTGCACTTTTTGATCCTTTGTTTTAATTAATTGTAACTTGTTCAAAATAGTATTACTTTACTGACCTTCTTACTTTTTGTGTTAGCAGGAAAGTGGTTAAACAAGCTTCAATCCAAAGCCTAAATAGGCAACTCTATCATTTATTAGCAGAAGTCTCAAGAATAGGAATCAATTGTGGCAAACCATAGAAAAATGGGTAAGATTCATCTCATAATGCCTGTTGTGTCTAAAATAAATTGGCTAATTTTTACTTCATCTACACAGTAAACTTCTCTTGGTCTCTTATCTTCCTCCTTTTATTGAGCAGATTAAGACAACCTCTTTCTGGAGTCCTAAAGAGAAGACTGTCATCTGAAAGCAAGAGTGTTGAATTTTTTGAGATGGACTGAATCCTAGGAAAGCAAACCCTAGGCAAACTACCAGCAAACCCTAGGAATTATGGTAAGGTGCAATGTGCCGATCCTGTATTCCATTGACTTTTTATCATCTTTTCCCACTTTATGAATGTAATGACTTCTTTTACTACTTCATATTCTCTTTTGATAGATAAGGATTATGCTGGGTCCCGAAACAAAGAGGCGTCTTTCATCAGCCTGAAAAAGTGCAAAGTGTTAGGGGAATCAAGGGCAGCCAACCTTAGATTTGATGGTAAGATATTTGATACGTAAAACACAGTTCTTCTGACTCTCTGAAGACAAATACACTACAATTGTCAAGGAAATACTTTTTTCTTAGACCTATAGATTTCTTTGTTCATACATGCAGGGTTGGACTGGTTTTGATGTTCAATAAACAGGATCTGTGACCTTGTGTTAAGGATCTGTGACCTTGTGTGAAGGATATCTGTGACCTTGTGTGAAGGATATCTGTGACCTTGTGTGGAGGATCTATGACCTTGTGTGAAGGATATCTGTGATCTTCAGAGGAGATCAACTTACATTGTATGAAGGATTTGTTATCTAACTTCCTCATACATGTTTCTTGAGGAATTCAAGTTTTTTCATAAACATTTTTAAAATTTATTTTTATATTGCAAAATCCTTAAAAATGTTACAGTGATTCATAGTTAAATACAAGAGTGAGGATCCGCCACTCTAATTTTTGCTTACTCTGCACTTGCCACGGACACATGTTTCCATAAATTTGCAAAGTTAATAATTTATGGTTTTTCCTGGGCGGCAGAGGAGGTTTATGTTATTTTTAAATACATTTTGTTTTAAATATTCTATGATTTAATTGTATCAAAAGCTTTGTCTGTTATTCTGGAAAATACTTTACCTTAATATTGTGTAAACTTACAAAATATGTTGTGATGCAATTTGAGCTTTTTTTCTGTAAGTGTGTGTGCAGGCATCATGTATAGAGAAGTTTGCACATCTCTTAATCTGTAATGAATTTTATGTGTACACTGTACTTTTATTTCATTTTAATTCATACGTACTAATGTACTATTCAGTATGTGATATTTGCTTCTTACAGCTTTTTCAGGTCTATATGATTTTTAAAATATATATTTTTTTCAAAGTATGTGTAATAAAATGTGAATCTTCATAAAAATGTGAAATTAACATTAAAAATTAATAAACAATTTTGGATAACATACTATACTGGAATCTATATACAGTGAACTTGTCAAATTAAAACATAAAACTGCTATTCTTCAAGGTTTTATGATAAATAGATATTTTAACATAAATAAAAGTTTTGGGTTTTTTTTCTCCGACTATAGCAGCAATTGGAGAGAGTAAATGTAGAGAATTATATACATGTATAATTATCAAATTTCCATGTTGACAGTGATCGATACTGTTAACCTTTACTTTGAAAAATAAAATTTGCATATATGTGTAATTAATCTGAATAGTGATTTTTTATGCCCTCGATTAGCCCTTCCATTGGACACCAACAACTTTGAACTTTTAAACTTGACGACTTACTGCTTTAAAAAAAAACTTTAACCTTGATCATAAATTTTGAACAGTAAGGGCTTTCTTACTTTACATATGTAATCCTTGTGAGAAGACCTTTCATTGGATACCAAGAACTCTGACTCTTTGACCTTAACTCTGGAGTTTGACCTACTTTTTAAAAACAAACCTTGACCATAACTTGTGAGAGGTTAGGGCAAGGGCTTTCATACTTCACATTTTTAATCCTTGTGAGAAGACCATACATCCAATACCAAGAACTTTTACCTTGACCTTGGAGTGTGACCTACTTTTAAATACTTTTCAATGGTTAGGGCTAGGGCTTTCGTACTTGGAGGTCTTGTCACAAATAATACATATGTGAAGTATGAAAGTCCTAGTACCAACCATTCAAAAGGTATGGCGAAGGTTTAAGTTTTTTTAAGTAGGTCAAACTCTGAGATCAAGGTCAGATGGACAAAGTTCTTGGTAGACAATGAAAGGTCTTTACACAAGGATATGTGATGTATGAAAGCCCTAGCTCTTACCGTTCAATAGCTATGACCAAGGATAAAGTTTTTTTTTAAGTAGGTCGATCTCCAAGGTCAAAGTCAAAGTTGATGGTATCCAGTGGAAAGTCTTGTCATAGGTAATACTTATGTGAAGTATGAAAGCCCAAGCACCAATTAACCATTCAAAAGTTATATATGGCCAAAGGAAAAGTTATGAATTTTGGTGTAAAAGTGTGTCAAACTCCAAGGTCAAGAGGTCATATTTGGTGGTACCCAAAGAAAGGTTTTGTCACAAGGAATATACATGTGAAATATAAAAGTCATGGGTCCACTAAATGAAAAGTTATGGGCAAGGTTAAAGTTTTTGCGGACAAACAGAAAAACAAAGAGACAGACAGATGGACGGACAGGGCAAAAACTATAAAGGCCTATCCCCAAAACGTCGTTTACGTGGGCATAATAACATAAATAAAGATTCGCCTTTTTATCCTTTTTGAAAGAAAACAGCACAGGTGCTTGAGGACAAGACACCCCCCCCCACTTTCGACTTTTTTTCATAAAGTATCTTTCAATGACATATTTGTGATAAGATCTATACCATCAATTCGAAAAATTACCTTAACCAAACGTTTTCTAAAATTTTTCTTACATATATTCTATATATAAAAATCAACTATAATTTATAGAATGTTAGCTTAAGCAAATTTTCTGAATTGATAGGATAGATTATATCAAACATGTGTCATCCATATATAATTTATGTGAAAAAGTCTAAAAGACCCCGGGGGTCTATATCGAGGGGGGGGGGCTAGTTTCAAGTTTTTATTTCAGACAAAGACCCCAACTGGGGTATATGAATACAAATAATACAAGTTTTTACATATAAACAAGAATGCATGAAAGAATGAGTGGTACTAATGTTATTTACATGTACAATTCACATGTATAGTTCAAATAATAAAGTATAGAAGGCCCCTGCTTATACAAAATAAAACTATATGTATTTATAACATTTGTTAAATAGTAGTTTTGGTATTAATATTAACATATTACTGACAATAAAATTTTACAAAGTTTGGCGAGCCCAAAAATAACTTTAGTATCCTAACAATCTAATTAAAATTAGATGTTTGATCCGCTCGCATACTCGCTACACCAGTGTAGCAAGTATGCGAGCGGATCTAACATCTAATTTTAATTAGATTGGTATCCTTACAATTTAATAAGTCATGAAATTTGATAACATTAGGGTTAGCATAAAAAATATTTGGAACAAGTTTTTTTTCGTTTACTCTTGAAAAAAGAACATTCTAAAAGGTAGTGGAATTCATCTCCTAAATTGTTAGAGGAACAAAGATCACAAATACGATCATCTCTATCAACTCCCCAAAATCGACCCTTTTCAATAGTAAATCTGTGATTCATACATCTAAATTTACATACAGCTTTTCTCAAATCCTTTGGTAGATATATCAAATAATTTTCAAAATAATGTTCTGTTTTAAATATCCTATAATTAAGGGTTTTTGGCATCTCAAAAATACAGGCATACCAATTCTGCTTATCTAGTTTTTACCAATTTTGACACCAATATTTTCTTTGGAGAAAACTGTTGCAACCATAACTCAGACATTCCACAATCATTTAGTGTTTTTTCAACATAATTAATCCACTTAGACTGCATTAAGTCATGTTCTCTAAGTTTTAATAACAATTTATATAAAAGAAAAGATATTTTGTCTTGTTTGCCACAAACAAGTCTATGCCAAAATCCAATAACTCTGGACTTAATAGAAATTTCTACTGGGTATCTGCCTAGTTCACCATATAAAACCTGATTAGGGGTAGATTTTTTCAGATTTAGAATGATTTTGTAAAATTGTAAATATAAACTTTCTAAAGCACCTGTGAAAAACAGTGGGAGTTATATTGACCTCCCTTTTTAGAGCTCTCTAATTCTTGGAAACAAGAAAAGGTCTATTCATGCTGCAATTGATTTGTCGACAAGCTCTGGGACATTTTTGCAAGGAGAGAAGACCATTGTTTCTTTCTACCAATCGGCTGTTTAGTAAAAAGATGTTAAGTTACTTATTTATGCTAATAAGATAAATTCTTGACACTTATGAAACTACTTGTCAATCTGAATTTCCTCAGTATTCTGGTAAACCGTTTGGTCAGTAGTCATGGGCATGATCAGGTTGGGCACACACCCCCAAATGGTCATTTAACCCCCGTTTGGTGGTCATTCGCCCATATCAGCGTCTTTATTAACCACCAAATGGGAGAGAAAAAACGTTCTGTTCAGTTCTCTGGAATGACGTGAAATGGCGCATAATTTCAACTCACGGGAAATAAAATATAAATATTCAACGCGGACTTTTTTGCGCTGTGTTGTTCAAATAATTGACAAAATCGTCACCTATGTAAACAAATGTAACGTTTCTCTGTTTTAACTTTAAAAGAAAAATTCCCTTCGTCTCGCGCGTAGTTGAGCCTATCAATCGTGTTGATCACTTCATATTTCTGTCATCCGGGCAACCGATCAATTATTTAAACCAATCCAAAATGACGATCTTTTCCAAGACTGAATTAACTACGGAGGCCCATAAGTGTTAATTTTCAATAAGTAAAATAAGAGGAATGGTAAGAATTCGCTTTTATTTAGTTTATTTCGTAAGCAATGGCTTTATTCTTTATAAAAATGCGATATGCAGTGAATTCATGTTAAAATAATCACTCGAAAACTATAATCTTGGAATAAGAACAGGAATAATTGTAAATGTCACTTTGTATATCTTTTATTCAAAAATATTTAATAAATATAGTAGATACAACATAGATATGCATACTAAACCACAAAGGGTTGCACAGAAATCGTAACTTCATCCTAAAAGAAAATAGAGAATAAATGTTGTATTCAAACGTAGGAAAAATGAATATTATAGCACTAAGTGCCCACCATACGTATAAGATTCGAGGAGCTCGTGTTTAACGAGATTTTATTAAGGTTTATATAGACGCAGATCGAAAGATCGTTTGAAAAGTTACTTCTCTAGACTAACACCTCTTGCTCAAATGTATTTTTTACCGAACTATACACAACAAAATAATTTTTTGTATTGTTTGAGCTAATAGTTCGGCCGTCACTAACAGCTGTGGGTTTCGTTTTTACGAAGTTCCACAGAAATTCCACATGGAAAATTGACTAAATTGTATTAAATGCGCGATGAATATGTTAATTAAAATTCCCCAATGCCTAAGTAAATGCGCTTTTGCTTTATTTAAATGAAAATTGGATTTGAATAAAAAAGACCACCATTTGGTAGGTAAAAAAGACGCCGATATGGGCGATTGACCACCAAACGGGGGTTAAATGACCATTTGGGGGTGTGTGCCCAACCTGATGATAACAGGTCCAGTCCAAAGACTATTTCTACCTACGTAGCTATTAATAGCTACCTAGGTATTTAAAGCTACCCAAAGTAGCTATTTTTACCTACTTTATATATTTTCTGCATTTTGCGCCAGAAAGGCCAAACAGCGCAACATGGTGAATATCATATTGTTTGATACGGTCACACTAATGATGAATATGACAACATTTTGGCCCAAAAAGATTACTTCTTAAATTGGCAATTTTACATTAGTTTCTATGCAAAATTGATAATATACGAAGTAATCATTTTTGGGCCAATTTTTTGTCATATTCATCATCAGGTGACTGTATCGAGAAATTCTGTGCTCATCGTGTTGTGCCGTTCCTGCATTTGGCCACAAAATGCAAGTAAAGCAGAAAGTAGGTAAAAATAGCTACTTTGGGTAGCTTTAAATACCTAGGTAGCTATTAATAGCTACGTAGGTAGAAATAGTCTTTGGACTGGACCTGGATAATGTGAACATGTTATCTGAAAAATACCTTATATAAGCAGGGACCTATATACTAGTATATAGGTCCCTGGTATAAGTTATTTTACACACACGCAATATTTTTTTTATGATAACCTATTTAAGTGCATTTTATCAGGGACCTTTCAGGTCCAGTACAATCACTAGATTTAGCTACGTAGGTAGAATTACCTACGTAGCTTTATTTACCTACCTCAGGTAGCTTTATTTAGCTATTTCAAGGTAAGTTTTCAAAAATTTTCTTTTTATTAAAAAGAGACAAAAAGTCGCAAATAAATGACTATTAATATTTATACTGGGGAGGCTTAAAAAAACAATCCAAAGCAGAGATAGTTTATACATTGCTGCATTTGGACAATTTAGAGCAAAACGTGTAATTCCATTGTTTGGTTAGCTGTCCGTGCGGTGAGGCATGACTGAGTATGATTACTTCACATTGTACTGAATAATTACCGACCTATTACCGTATCGTGTTAACCGGAACTGGACTTCTTTGTCATTTCATCCAAGTGGTAACTGTTCTAACTGTCATACATAGCCCCAAAACTTTCAGAACTTTGATTGCAATTGCGCAGAAGAAGACATTTTTCCAAGAGGGATTTTTTCATGAGTTGTTTTCAGATGAGTTCAAAGTTGAAAATGATCACTGTATCAAAATGATATTTTCTGCACACCCTGAGAAAAATGCTTTTAAATAGAAATAAACCCATTTGGTAGCTAAATAAAGCTACCTCAGGTAGGTAAATAAAGCTATGTAGGTAATTCTACCTACGTAGCTAAATCTAGTGATTGTACTGGACCTGCCTATGTTAGTATAAAGGTTCCTGTTCTTATATCCCACTTGGACATTGATTTCTTGGGAGTTCTGTATTTCCATTAGACCAATATTGTATTGCATTTTTGGATTCCATTATGTGAAACTATATGGAGTGCACTGACTTCATTAGAGAATTGGTTAGGAGGTGGAAATAAAAAGCATTTTACTCCTTAATTTGTGGTTTAATTTATCTACAAGGTTTGGGTAAAGTTTTTATATTTAAATAACAATTGATTTTTCCCAAGACTTTGAACATTTTTTATGGATTTGATTAAACATTTGTATTTGTCTTGGTGCATGAGCGAAAACCTTTTAGCCCAGTTAGCTCAGGTGGTTGAGCACCTGACCAGAGTTTCAGGGAGCCCAGGTTCGAATCCCGGTCTGGTCCGCTGGATTTTCACCTCTCCTGTTGCATTTGGTTCTGTGCCATGCCCTGGAACTGACAGGTGAGAGGCCTGCCAGGAATGAGTGTGGGTTGGGGTCTTTGGGGGCCAAAGACCTTTAAGGAGGGAGGAATGTGGTGGTCAGCCAGGTTTGATCGCCGGTGGCCAGATAGCTCAGTTGGTATCTAGCACCTGATCGGAGTTTCAGGGGGCCCAGGTTTGAATCCTGGTCTGGTCCGCTGCATTTTCTTCTCTCCCGTAACACTTTGAATTAGTGCACAAGTTGTGAAGTTAGGGAGAAATGACACAAAATAATTAGACAAGTTATTATTTCATTGAAACTGTTTTGGAAAGATAACATGTTTGAGTTACTAATGCTGGGAAAAAGTAGGTCATAGCAAAGAAAGGTAACTAATTGTGACAAAAAAATAACTCATTTGAGTTACTTTTGACAATAACTTGTTTGCATTATGCCCCTGACTTACACTTAACCTGCATTCATACAGAAAGATGTTTGCAAGCACAAATTTGTTATTGAAATATTTGAGAGTATGTGATTTGGTCTCAAATAGCAACCTATTAGGCCATATAAAATTAATCTTTAGGTTCTCATCCCCTCCCATCTATGTATTATTCAATGTTTTCACAAACAACTTTTGATATCCATTGTAGGCATCAACCCCTAAGAGAACAAAGTTGGAATCGGACGAGAGAGAAGATGTCTTATCTCCTCTGAAGAAAGCGGGATGGACAATGGTGGAAGGGCGTGATGCAATTTACAAAGAATTCCTGTTCAAAGATTTCAATGAGGTATTGTATAAAAAATTTACATTCTTTATTTAAGAAATAAAGTATCATTTGAAAACTTTTATTTTGATGCAAGTACGGGTTGATCAAATCCCATAAAGCCCTTAATTATAATGTTTTAATGTTAAAAACATGAATATATATGGTGTGTATGGTTAAGTTAAATGTGTATTCTGTTATTAGGGCCCCGCAAGGATTTGCGGGTGCCCTATAGTAATCACTCTGTCTGTCTGTCCGTCTGTCTGTCTAGCTGTCCGTCTGTCACTCTTCCGTCCACAAATTTTCTGTTTTTTTCTAATAACTTTTTTATGGTTGCCCAATCAAGTTCAAATTTGGTATGGTAGTTCAGTAGGCAGAAATACATATTTTGATGCTAAGTGTTCTCTGTGTCTTCTGGTTTGGAGCTGGGGTGGTGGGGTAGTTTCCTTAACTATGCATAAGAATGAATGGGCAACTTTTTTATGGTTGCCCAATCAAGTACAAATTTTGTATGGTAGTTCAGTAGGCAGAAATACATATTTTGATGCTAAGTTTGGTTCTCTATGTCCCCTGGTTTGGAGCTGGGGTGGTGGGGTAGATTCTTTAACTTTATATAAGAATGCATTGGCAAAGAGAGATAACTGCTGAAGATGTCCCCATTGTAAACTGAATGCTGGCTATGAGTCCCTTGGGATTAATTAGCTTTCCTCCTGAAGAAAATCCAGAGCATTATCTTTATCTGTCACATTGAGATGAATTACCACCTCTGTCTGCAAATGAAGTTTGTTTTGAAGTTAAGTCAATTTGGAATGCTATGAACACTCTGAAATGTAGATTTAAATATTATTATTAAATTTATATAATTTATTTTTGTTTAATAGTTATAATTTCATTGAATTCTAAAAACAAGAAATAGATTAAAGAAGATTTTTTGATTTACTTTTTTAGCTCTTCTGAGCCAAAGGCTCAAAGAGCTAATGCTATGGCCATTTGTGCGGTGTGCGGTGTGCGTTAACTTTTTAGAATATGGGCCATAACTCAAGAACCCCTTGGCCAATCAGTACCAAATTTGTCACAGGGTATCCTTGGCCCAAGGGCTACCATTTATACTAAAATAAGGGTTGGGACCCTAAAACAAGGGGAGATAATCAGGAAAACAAAACCAAAAGTACTGGTTGCTAAAAAATCTTCTTCTCCAGAACCACCAGGCAGATTTTCACCAAACTTACATACAAGGATCAGGATATGTTGAAGATTATAAATTGTTCAAGGCATGACCCTGGGGCAAAGGGCGTGGTCTCAAGGTCACTTCAAAGTTGACCTAAATTTACAATTAATAAAAACGTGTATATTTTTCTTACCATAAGGACTAGAATCATCAAATCTTGTAAGTTGATGCATCTTACGACTTCACATCATGTTAACTCAAAAGTAGGTCACGGTGACCTACTTTTTAAATTTTGCGGGGATTTGTTTTCAAATTGATTTGAAGGCATATTTTGGACACTTTAAGGCCTATGATCATCAAACTTTGTCAGTTGATGCATCTTGGGTCCTTGAACAATGTCAACTTAAAAGTAGGTCACTGTGACCTACTTTTTGAACTTTATGACTTATCCTTTCAAAAACATTAAATCCCATTATTTCAGACACTGGGAGGTTTAGAATCATCAAATCTTGTACTTTGATGCATCTAGGGACCTTAAAACATATTTATAACAAAGTAGGTCACTGTGACCTACTTTTTAAATTTTGCCGACATTTGTTTTCAAATTGTTTAAAATGCATATTTTGATTACCTTCAGACCTACGATCATCAAACTTGGTCAGTAGATGCATCTTGGGTCTTTGAAAAATGTCAACCAAAATGTAGGTCACGATGACCTACTTTCGACATTTTATGGCTATATTTCAGTCTTAGGCATTTATTGGCTTAGAATCATCAAACTTTGTGAGTGGATGCATATTTAGTTTTCGGAGAGTGACGACCAAAAAGTAGGTCATGGTGACCTACTTTTGACATTTTATGGCTTTATTTAAGTATCTCTGGTACTTATTGGCTTAGAATCATCAAACTTTGTGAGTTGATGCATCTTGGGTTTTCTGAGAGTGACAACCAAAAAGTAGGTCATAGTGACCTACTTTTGACATTTTGTGGCTATAATTAAGTATCTCTGGTACTTATTGACCTAAAATCATCAAACTTTGTCAGATGATGCATCTTGGGTTTTCGGAGAATGTCGACCAAAAAGTAGGTCACAGTGACCTACTTTTGAATATCTCAGGTACGTATTAGCTTAGAATCATCAAACTTTGTCAGTTTAGGCACCTTGGGTTTTCGTAGAACGTCGACCAAAAAGTAGGTCACTGTGACCTACTTTTGACATTTTTTGGCTATATTTGATTATATCTGGTACTTATTGGCTCGGAATCATCAAACTTTGTCAGTTGAGGCATCTTACGGTTTTTTTGAATGTCCAACAAGAAGTAGGTCACGGTGACCTACTTTTGAATATCTCAGGTACTTATTGGCTTAGAATCAGCAAATTTTCTCAGTTTAGGCATCTTGGATGTTTGGATAACGTCGTCCAAAAAGTAGGTCACCGTGTCCTACTTTTGACATTTGATGGCTATATTTAATTATCTCTGGAACTAATTGGCTTAGAATTGTCAAACTTTGTCAGATGATGCATCTTGGGTTTTCAAAGAATGTTGACCAAAAAGTAGGTCATGGTGACCTACTTTTGAATATCTCAGGTACTTATTTAATTAGAATCATCAGTCTTTGTCAATTAATGTATCTTGAGTCCTCAGAAAATTCCAATCAAAAGGTAGGTCACTTTGACCTACTTATGGTATTTGATAATTACATTATAATATCTTCAGTCTTAACTGGCTAAATATTATCAAACTTTGTAAGTTGATGCATTTTGGGTCTTATGATACTAATAGAGTTGGAGGCTTCTAATAGAAGTGATAGATTGTACAATTTATCAGAAGAGCGATTCAAGGCCCTTGGGCCTCTTGTTTCACTTTTAATATGTTAATTAATTTTTAAGGTAGTTGTATAAAAACCCCATTCTATCATTAATACTGAAAAAGTTCTTATTGTAACTTTAGAAGAAAATGATGAGAGAGGTACAATTAATCCTTTGGGATTAATTATCTAGCCTGCTGCAGAAAATTTAGTAGGCTTTTCTTTATCTTTAAGATTAATGAAAACCTTTGTCTGCAACTGCTGTTTGTTTGAAGTTAAGGTCAAGTCTTCATGATATTTGCATTCATTGAAGGCTGGCATTCTAATTATAACACAAGCTTCATAATTGTTTAAATATACATTCAATGTTAAGTTGTTCTTTACTGCCTAATGTAAATACAAGGATATTATTTTCAGGTTTTTGAATATTCAGGAATTATCTTGAAATCTTAAGAATACAGTTGCTGTTGCTTATTCTTCGTACATTTTTTAATCATTCCGTAAGCTGCACCCTTTTAATTCTACCCCAAGGCGGGGCCATTGCTGACTGGTCAGTTTTCTAGTTATGTATACATTGTATTCCATGTTCTGTATGTTATTTTTGACTGTAGGCCTTTGGATTTATGACAAGAGTAGCAATACAGGCAGACAAGATGGATCATCACCCAGAGTGGTTCAATGTTTATAATAAGGTATGTTTAGCAAGAAAGTTGAATATTAACTCAAGATTTAAATGTCTAGTTGGGGTATTTGAGAAAGTTTATATACATTTACACATAGGTCGTAGTCCTCAACCATTTCTTCAAGTATGTCCCAGTGTATATATAACACAAAAAGAGCCTGAAAATATTTAAGAAATAAGGTATCATTTTTTGAGTTTTATTGGGATGTAAAAATGGGTTGGTCACGTGATCAAATCCAATGAAGCCCGAATGGAGGGCTTCATTGGATTTGATCATGTGACCAACCCGTGTTTTTACATCCCAATAAAACTCAAAAAAATGATACCTTATTACTTATATTTGTATACATTTGTGTTTGATTTATTACAAATAGTAAGGTACTTGAGTAAAGTTTTAAATCCATAAAAGTTTTGTTTTTTTCAAAACTCAACGGTATAAATTGAATGTGATGATAACGTCGATCGCTTATGACGTCATTATGAAATTATGTAGATCGCTTATGACTAAACATCAATTTATGGTCAAATGACGAACGTGTTTTATAGAGATGTAAAAATGCAGTGTTCAAATAGTGTTATTTAAGGGAGAACATTTGTCATGTTCAGATAGTGTTATATAAGGGAAAACATTTGCAAATGTAAATATAGAGGTTTATTTCCTCTATTTATATTTTAATCTGTTAGATATCTTATATAAACAAATATGATGCATCAAAATTAAAGTGACAATACAGCGCATCTCTTCAAAAACAGACTTGTTAAAATTTTCCTATAGGATTTGGAATTTTTTTCATACTCATACATGTATACACTTTCAGAAAATTACAAATTTCATAAGTAAATAATTCTGATTATTTCATTAAAATTAATAATTATTTATGGTACATAAATATATATATCGAAACCTGTTCGAGGTTCCACATTCCATGCTATCAAGCATGCGTATAGTTTTCATAAACAAAACAGCATGGTAAGAGAGGGAAGCTCGGTAGGCCTGCTACATTGACAAAGTCGACCAAAACGAAAAACAAAACCAAAAATAGGGCTTGAAATTAAAAAGCAACTTTGCTGGCAAAAATTTAGTTGGGAGATTAATATAATCATTGAATGAAGAAGAAACGGGATCTCGACATTCACGTGGGGCTTGCGAAGGTTTTACAGGTTTGTTGATACATGCTATCATTTCTCTTATCTCCATGGCTTTCAAAGAAACAAAAATCAGTGTAAACTCAACGTTAAAATGCACTTATGACATAAAAAATTTATTGCCATTTGAAGTGCACATTGTATTGGAACTACAGAAAGGTATTATGTTTGACATTTTGCCGCGATGATGTATGATTTGGTGGATTTTCCTTTCCTGCACCCCAATACACAAAACGTCAACATTTGTACTTAATCATGTTAAATTCGTCTGAATGCAGACTAATATGTTAAGTATTATTAATTTACCGGAGAGTTAAGATATTTTGATTCTCAGAATTGATTTTACTTAATATTCCATTATAATTGTAAACCCTAAAATTTGAATGAAAAATCACACGATTTGCAGCCGTATTGCCGCTTTAATCTTTATATGTGATTCAAGAACATTATCACACCTTGTAATAGGGCCATTCCAAGTTTTTTCTATGTTTAGCGTCTGCGTGCGCCTTGGTTTTTGACACCCCATACAAGAAAAATCAGACAACATCAGGAGTCCTGAAATTGATTAATTTAGTCAAAATTTTTAATTTTGTCAATTTCTCCAAATAATTCTGTACAGTAAGTTATATTGGGTGTATTTTAAGCATTTAATCCTTTGTTTTTGCTTAAGAATAGATATTTCTTCTATTAAAGCAGTTTAGTTAGATCAAATCATTTGAAGGGTGTCATTTTTATGACTTTTAAGCCTGTGTTTTATGTTTTGGCTTGTGTGTTTTTTGCAAATAGTAGGTAGGTTTTTGAAAGATGGGTGGACGCTAAACAGAGAAAAAACTTGGAATGGCCTAGTTACATGTATGAACTCATCCTCACTTTGAGATCAGACTTAACACCTGTCTGTGCTATATTTTTTTACTTTTTATGTACTTTCTTTACTTACAGGTACAAATAACACTCAGTACTCATGACTATGGAGGCCTGTCCCACAGGGATGTAACATTAGCTAACTTTATAGAGAAGTGTGCAAAGTGAACAGCACTCCACAGATGTCTATCATAATATAGAATCTCAAAAGCATTCCAGATATGTGGTGTTAATGAACAAAATGTGTTGTACTGTCTGATGTGTTTACTTTCTTGTTGATGGTAGAGGGTAGAGACATATATATTGATGGAAGTGTCTGTTCTGTTGATGTTAGTCTATTCATGTACAAAGTGCCAGGTGTACAAACCTTAATTTACATTGGATGAAAGTACAGTATTAACTTTGATAAAGACAGATTTAAAATTCAGCATCTCGTCACAGTGAATATTTAATACTAAAGCATACTTTGAATAGCTGATGTATAATTTTATAACCAGTTTTGTGAAGAATTAAACTGAATATGAATTTACTGCTTTTCTGTTTTAATCTTGGTGAAAAAGTACATCTCTTCAAATTTACTAATATTGGTCCAACCCAATTTTGCCTTTTATTGAATACATTTCTTTGGAAAGAGACAAGGCCCTCTTCATAGAAACAACTCTTGATCAAGTTTATCCATAGGTGATCTATGCAAAGTTTGTTGAAATCGGCCCAGATTATTAATAAAGTTTACAGTTTTTTGGATAGATTTCAGACAAGGTGAGCTTTAAATAATGCCTTAAATTTGCACTAAAGGAAAAGTATTATGATGAGCAAGGGAGCTTCTTCAAAAAATCTTTAAATTTACAGCTCCTGGGTCAGATGTTCTGATGACAGAGGTGAGCTTTTCTGATCACATTGTGTCCTTCCTCCATCCATCTGTCTGTCTATCTCTCTGTAAACTTTTCACATTTTCAACTTTTTCTCAAGAACAGTTAGGCCAATTTTAATTAAAGTTGGTAAAAGGGAGTTTAAATTAGCCCTTTCACGGTAACTGCAGTACTGCTATTCTGCAGGGCAAATTAATCATGTTTGGCGGAGTTTTTATTGATAGATAATTAAATGACGCTATTTAAACAATTGCTTTTACGTCATATTTCACCAAAATATATCATTTTGCCCTGCAAAAGAGCAGTACCGCAGTTATCGTGAAAGGGGCTATTGTTAAATGAAGAGTCAGGCCTCCATACAAGGGGAGATAATCAAGAAAAGACAAAAAAGGGGGGATTGTTAAAAAATCTTTTCATGAACCACTGGGACAGAAAAGCTGAAACTTATGTGGAAGCATCCTGCTGAGGTTTTGCACATTCTAAACTATTCAAATCATCAACCCTGGGGGTACTTCATGACCTAAGAATGCTTTGAGCATTTCTCCTTAGAGTATATTAAACCATTGTAGCAGATTTCTTTTGAGTTGAATATAAATTGATATACATGTAATGAGGTTTTACACCTTTTCACATTTTAACAAAAAACGTTTTTCAGTTGTGTAAAGATGGTCTGTACTGACAAATATCTGCAGGATCTTTGATATAACAGTGCATATACAGTACATAAATCACTTAAATTTATGTCTCTAGTGGAGAACTGTTCATTTTCAACTGTTAAGTGTAAAATCAACAACAACAAAAACTAAATAATTGTCAACCACTTTATTTTCAGTGTAATGCTTACAATAAATCATGACAATTTCTCAGTAATAAAAATCAGATTTTGATACATGTATATATTGTGACAAGTTGAATGCTGATTCTCATTTTTTTTTCTCACAGGTATGGTACTATAATTCAAACAAACCAACAATTACATAGGAACACTCATTACGTATAATGTACACCTATCTGGTGTTTGTTAAATTTAAAACAAATAAAAATCATGTCTACCCAAGGTATAAATCAAGGAACAAAATATTTGTTCAGTGTACCAAGACAGGTAAATTGGAATGGCTACATAACAATGACACAGGAAACTTCAGATATATACATACATGTACTACATGTAGGTATTCATTCAAACATAAAGTCAACTTTAACCAGAAAATATGCTGAATTAATGAAAATGTTAATTAGTTCAATGAAATCGAGATCCACTGACTCTCTGATGAAAATTAAATAAATAAACTTGTATGTTATCTGTTTATACCTACAGAAATTGATATTCATTAATTCATACAAACCCCCTGCAAAAAATAAAAATCTGATTTTTTTTATGCACTAATGTGAAACCTGATTTTGATTTGTCAGTAGATTATAAATTTATCAGATTTAGACATTTAAGATCAGAGCACTATGAGGTAGCTTCATAATTAGCAGAGAACAATTAATTTGAGAATTAAAAATATATATTTAAATACAGCAACAATTCTATGATTTGGTCATATATTTAAAAAAAAAAGAAGAAAAATTAAAATGGTACATGTAGTCTTCCATGCACATTCACCATGAAGACTTGATGGTCAATAAAAACTACAACTCTATGACTAAGAACTAAGAATATAATATGTACCAGGAATGGTGGGTAAGCATGTACATGTATATAAAAATGAACTCAAGTACTGAAATTAAAGATTTGGTCAGAGTAACACTTTGTTTCAATCTGTTTGTTAAAATGATTTAATTTGTAAAGAAGAAGAAGAAAGAAAGAAAATAAATAAATCAATGTAAGGCTAAGCATATATATTTTGTAGCACCCATATGACAAATCAAAAATTATAAAAAGCACGTATTTAAACATGCATTTATAAATAAACAATAATCTAAATATTTTTTGTACAATTTTTCTTCCTCCCCTCCCCTATCTTTCAAAACAAAGTAATTTTTCTGGAGGAGGGGTTAATTTCAAATGACTCCAATCAAACAGAAGGATCTATTTCTCTGTTTGCTGTGTAGTTACAAAACATATTTCCTGTAGATTACATTGGTACAACACAGATACAATTTCATCTTATTTTGATGTTCATGCATTACAAAAAAACAAGCGATATAAATTAACAGCATGAATATCATAAACAATGTACAGTATTCTGGAAAAAAAAATTGCACTGATTGAATATTAAAAGAATAATAACAATTTATTCTGACAACAATAACAAGTTTGTAAAGCTTTCAAGTACTATATTAAAGCATTCTAGGTACTGACATTTAAGGCTTACTTTCAGACATGCTAATAAAATCACAATCAACAATATTATCACAATTATCATACACTCCTTTGGAAAAACCTATTTACTTCATATCAAAACAGAATAAAAACAGAAAAAGAAAAATACAATCCAAACATTTTTTTTTTAATATTTCCCTCGATAGTTTTTTTTCCCCAATTTTAATACCCTTTCCCTATAATGATGTAACCTGAACAACTTTTGAAATACATTTACTATATTCAAATGAGACAGCATAACTTTATATACTCCATAGTTCAGAACAATATAATTCTTCACTACAGAACAAACTGTGGAATGTAATATATACTGACTAGCTTTATAAGACCTTGAAATCACTGAATTTTACGCATTTACAGAATCATCTTATTATGTGAAGTATGTAACAAAGTAATCCTGTGTAATCACTGATTTTTTTGTGGTGGTGGGGTTGGGTGGGGCAGGTAATTTCCATTGTTTTGGGGGGTATGAAAGGACATTATATAAAATAATATGTTTAACACGTATCCTTCTACCATGAATTCATATCCCCTAGAACCAATATCTTTCTCTCAATCCCAAAACATTAGACCCCTTGAAATTAATCAAAAGATTTTACAGTACTACATGATTTGAACTTTTCTCTAAATGTTTTAAAATAAATGCCGACTTAATTTTTTTTTTTTACAAGTTAACATTAGTGATTATAATTTCAATTTTTTTTTTACAAGTTTACATTACTGATTAAAATTTCAATTAAAACTTGTACTTAAAAGTATACGAAAATATGTTAAATGAACTAAAATACATGAATGAGACATTTTTGTGAGCAAACACCTATTTCATACATTTAAATTGGTCATTTATGAATGCAGATAAGAATTTCATTTCTACCAAGAATCTTTCATGAGATCAATCTGACAAAGAAACCAATTTTAAAAACAAAAAAATTATGCATTAAAAGTTGTTTTTTTTTTTTTTAACTACTACTTGATTATGCTACGAGTATTTAAAAACCAAAAATAGCAGTCACTTATTTTACTATAATATACATAATAAGCTCTATTGATCTGAAGTTTGCATTTTTTACATTTGATTTTTTAAAAGTTTAACTCAAATGTCTGCATTTTGCAAATTTCATTCCAATCTACACAGCAGGTATAATACCAAATTACAGTGAATCGCACTTATATAGAAGTGCCAGGGACGGAGGATTTTGCTTTGTTATGAGCATAATGAACAATATCCAGTAATTTTTTATTTTTAATTCAAGGGGAATGAAAACCATATCACCATAATGAGCGTAAATTCATTATAAATGTCTGCTACAAGTGTGTTTTACTGTAAATCGAACGTGAATGTACCGGGTAGGTTTTACAACCCTATTTTTCCAAACTTTGACTGAATTCCCAAATTCTGCAGAATCTGTGATAGAAAATGTTCTTTAAAACAGACATTACAGTACTTATATTAACCTAAAATCTTAACCTATAAATAAATGAATATAAAAAAGAAATCAATGTTCACACAATGATTTAAGATGATATAAATAACAGCAAATAATGCTATAATTTGTCTATAATTTGAAAATTACATCTTTTGAAATATTTTCCAAATGCTGAATATAACCAACAAAAAAGACTCGTACTAATTGGAAGAACAAATACTCTTATCTAGCAGGTGGCTGCTAAATGCTGCATTGGATTCAAGGAAAGACAACACCATATTTAAGCCAATCAAATGACTAAAACACATTATTTTTGTCAATCACATGACTTAACAATAATATTTTGACCAATCACATATGGCTCAAACACATTCCTTACAGAGAGCAGTCTGTCCTTTGATGTAATTTCGACAGGGACAGTATCGACGGAAACTGTTTTTCTTGCCTACGCAGCTAAACAACAACTCCTCTCGCTGGAAGGCACACTCCATGGTGCTTGGATCGTAGCCTGGGACAAAAATGTCTGTCACATAATCTTCTCGACTGCAGTCCACCTGAGCTTGCTTCAAGGAACGAGCTGAGTTAATCTGCAGGAAATGACTAGGATCGCAAATTAACCCTGGAAGAAAAATGATGTTTTTTAAAAAATGAAAACGGTACGTAACATAAAAGATTGAAAGTTCTAAGTCAGTGCAATTTTTTTTTCTTCAAACTCTTTCTACTTCATAAAACCAATATTGTCTCCACTTTTAGATACTCAGTCTCCTACACATATAAAATAGCTATACCTTTTCCCCAGCAAGCATCTTTACAAGACTGGCCGTCTTCCCCCATGATATAAGTAATGGCTGACTCTGGCGGCCATTTTGCCCCTTGTTTCTGGAAATGACACCAGTTCTGGTGTTCTATGTAGGCGTTCATCCTCTGGAGCATCCCCTCCTCTGTAAACTCATATGGCATGTGAGGTTTGAACTGAAACAATTCACAAATCCTGAGTACATTTGTACATCTTGTTATTGAGTCTTAATAACAGAAAAAAGAATTATTAGGATAAAAATTTTCTCTCCTTGCATTTGTAAAAACTTGAAGGTTTTACTTTCACAGGTCAGTGCCAATTCTCTTTTAAATATTGCAATATGATTTCAATATAAGATTCAGCCTGTTGACCAACTGTCCATAGAGTCTCTGTTATGTATTGAATAAAGTGTGCATTTTTTGTCCTCATGTGTACCATCTTCAGCCCACCATATAAAGCTGTCTTTGAAATATAATTTTTAAATTTTTTAAAAATCCATACAAAGCTGATAGCAATTGTATAAAAACTTTAAGCCCAGTATTGTATTAATTGTGTGCTTGAAATATCCAATGTCTGCAATTTTCACCGTCTTGTTTTTACTCGCAAAAATATTTCATGCTGCATAAGCTAAATAATTGTGTGTTAATGCACTGTCATAAGTATGTTTCCTCAGTCTTAAAAACTGAGAGTTTTGGAGTGATTTCCAACTGATTTATTGTAAATTAAATTTTAGAATTATATACTAAATTGTTGGTTTACTGTGATTTACCTGAAGTGAACTTCATCATACTGTATATACTCCCCTATAAGTTGGTTCACCAATAAGTTGGTTGTATTTTTGAAGCTTATATTAGAGGGATTAACCTTCTATAATACCAGTCTTTTATGACTCGCCTATAAGTTGGACATAGAATTTCGGACCAAAGTTTAACTCCCAAAAAAATTACTTAAAGGCAAGTACATGTGTATATACAGTATTTATCAACACACACATTATTCAAGTTGGAATTGGTAAAACAAAATAACCAATAAAATATCATATACATGTGTATAACCCTCTATCATGTTCATGTAAATATATATTACGAGATTTCCTAATCAAACATGCTAAATGTTGCCTTTGTATTTACTGTGATACTTTTTTTCTTGGACTCGTACATACATTATACTTTTTTTCTTGGACTCATACATACATTATACTTTTTCTCTAGGACTCACACATACATTATACTTTTTTTTCTTGGACTCACACATACATTGTAAAAAATATTAAAACACACACCAAAGCGTCAGCATAATAAATAATAAGAATATAAAGCAGAATGCATAATTGTGAATTTGGTGCTATATCGACTTACGTGATTTTTCTTATTCTACATTAAATTGTTATAAAAAATAAAAACATCAAACTTAAAAAGTGAAAGACAAGACACCTTTGTGAGATATTGAATTACTCTTATTCAGATGACTTTGAAGTTCCCAATTTAAATAAAATTTATCTTCAGTCATTTAACTCTCTGTATACAGTCATTTGATCTGTAAACCTCTCAATTTATTTATTTTATATACATTGAAATTTTGTAAGGATTCAATTTGGTATTTTATAACAGGGTATTGAAATCAGTAAATTTAAAAACACTTCAAAATTTTTTGCTTATTAGAGGTTACTGTTATCTTTATGCAATTTAAATTTGTTAGATTTACTTTTCACTTAACCCCTTCCATGGCAAAGATTTTAAGCATTTCTAGATAAATTGATATTAAGATCTCAATGCATTTTTTGGGGTATTTCTTGTAATTTTTGTATATACCAAAATATATATATTACGAAAGCAAGTATTGTGTTGTTTCTAAAATGATTATAAAAATTTCATTTCAGTTGCCATGGCAACGAAATACACTATAATCATACTGGAATTTCCATTTATTAAATAATGAGTTTCATTCTAGTTTTTTTTTACTTAGTTAAATACATCAAAAATATTTTATTGTTGTGTTGAAAATTATGAACATGTTGTACATTTTTTTTTACAAACCAATTGTAATTATTTTGGGGGATTGGGTAGGGTTGGGATGTAAACATCAAAATTTAGCATATTTACATATAACTTGTTACCCCCGCATTGATTTCGATAATGGTAAAATCGCTGAAATAGTGCGCAAAGTTTTACTCAAGCTAGCAAAAACCTGGTACAACCAATAAAAATATTCTCTGTATATTATTTTACCGTATTTATTTTCTCTTTCCAACGGTGCAAGATTTATTCTGATATTTCCAGTATTAACAAAGTTATGAATGTTTTTTCACACTATACTTGTTCTTCAAGTCAGAAGCGTAGAAATGCGTATATGCCATGTAAGGGGTTAAATTGATAAAATAGTGATTTTTAGTGGTCAATTGTTAAAACTGTGCTAAAAATTCCACTAATAAGGTAACTGAACACACATTTTAATTACTGAGTGACTTGTGGATAAACTTACTTCCCTCTCCAGTAGTATCTTATCCAGCACCTTCTCCACTTCTTTTTGATTACTGACATCCACTGTATATACATAAGGTTCACCTATAAACATTTCTGCATACGGGTGTTGACTAGTCAGCTGGAAAATAAGATACCAACATGATACACATGATAATTCACTTTCAAAATGCTTCTCTTTCTAATTTCAGATTAAAAATAATTTTACTCTAAGCAAGATTCTTGATACACATTGCTTTTCTAGCTGTTTTATTTTTGATACAATGAGGGGAAAGGGATAACTCTAAATGAATGTCAATTGCATGGAATACAAACTTTTGATAAAGTATCTTGGCCTGCTGTGTTTGTAAAAACACAGCAGGCCACAATTCTTAGAGAGGGGTATGCAGGGATGGGAATCCAACATAAAATTTTATCTGGCCTACGAGATTATGGAAATGTTATAATCTTACCTCTCTGGCTGTTGGTTTGCCTTTAAAAAATGGTGTATTTCTACTGCTATGAGGGGTGGGAAATTTTGGATTGATATAAACAGCACCATTAGCTATGGCTTCTAAAGGAGCAGGTCCTTCATAGGGGAAACCTAAGCCAACAAAAACCTGAAACAAGAAATTTTCATCTAAAAAAAATATATCAGAAATATTTTGATCATACAATTTCTAAGGTTATAAATTTAAGATATAGTCTGTTTATGTTGCAACATTATGAACTTGCCCAGGATAATAACAAATTCAAGTTGAACTTTCACCTCACACCTCATATTTGATTACATGTACAGTAAAAAATTCAGCAAATTTCAGGTTATTTTAAATCAAAGTAAAGTGATATTCATTTGCTGTCATATATGTAAGTAAATATTACTTAAACTAGCATATTGAAAACATCTTAAATATAAAAATGAAAAATTAAGACATCTTTACCTTAGACTTCCTCAGCAATATGTGAAAATCTTCTGGCTTTTGTAGACCATGGTTTTTGACAAAACTGGGTACATTAGATTTGATGTCTTTAGCTTTTTCATCAACATAAACTGTACCGTGAACTTCCAAGTGTTTTTTGATTGTATTCAGGTAATTCTCCTTTCCCTGTAATAATATTAGACATCATAAATAAAAAAAAATTCATATTGGCAATTTATTTTTTCTTTTCTTTGAGATTTTATTATACGGTCACCACAACAACATACTGTAAATGGTACCTTCTATGTTTAAAATACTCATTTTGTTTCGTTTGTTTGATTTTTTAAAATTTAATTCTTTACATGATGGATTCAATACTGCATTAAGAAAATTGCTTATTCACCTTAGTTAAAGAAAGGCCTCGTTAAAACTGGAACAAAAATTCTAATATGCATTTTTCCTTCCAATTTGCACAAACGAAATCATCTAAAACATTTAGATTGATCCCCATATTTTTCTTACAGCTTATTCATTACTTTTACAGCAAATCAAAGACATTTTTACCTCATACATGTAATCATTTTTTCCATACACTAATGCCCAGTTCTCTCTTTTGATTCCCTTCACATCTGAATCATTTAAATGCTGCTCCACAACAAACCCCATGAAGGAATTATCTGGACTGTGAGCTACACCAAAGTACAAAACAAGAGGCCCATGGGCCACATCGCTCACCTGAGCACTGTGGCTAGGAAAAAGTAGAAATTGGTTTATTATAGAATAGTTTAAATCCAAAAGTAGTCCCAAAACCAATCATGGCTTTGCTATTCTTGATAAGATGATTTTTGAAGAATTTTCCTATATATGTCTATGTAGAACTTTGATTGGCCATCGTGGCCCCGCCCTACCACTTGGGGTCATAATTTGAACAAACTTGAATCTACACTACCTGAGGATGCTTCCACATAAATATGATCAATTATGGCTTTGTTATTCTTGATAAGATGATTTTTGAAGAATTTTCCTATATATGTCTATGTAGAACTTTGATTGGCCATCGTGGCCCCGCCCCACTTGGGGTCATAATTTGAACAAACTTGAATCTACACTACCTGAGGATGCTTCCACATATATATGATCAATTATGGCTTTGTTATTCTTGAGAAGAAGATTTTTAAAGAATTTTCCTATATATATCTATGTAAACTTTGGTCAGCCATTGTGGCCCCACCCTATCACCAGGGGTCATGATTTGAACAAACTTGAATCTACACTACCTGAGGATGCTTCCATATAAATATGATCAATTATGGCTTTGTTATTCTTGAGAAGAAGATTTTTAAAGAATTTTCCTATATATTTCTATGTAAAACTTTGGTCGGCCATTGTGGCCCCGCCCTACCCCTGGGGGTCATGATTTGAACAAACTTGAATCTACACTACCTGAGGATGCTTCCATATAAATATGATCAATTATGGCTTTGTTATTCTTGAGAAGAAGACTTTTAAAGAATTTTCCTATATATTTCCATGTAAAACTTTGGTCGGCCATTGTGGCCCTGCCCTACCCCCGAGGGTCATAATTTGAACAAACTTGAATTTACACTACCTGAGGATGCTTCCATATAAATATGATCAATTATGGCTTTGTTATTCTTGAGAAGAAGATTTTTAAAGAATTTTCCTATATATTTCTATGTAAAACTTTGGTCGGCCATTGTGGCCCCGCCCTACCCCCGGGGGTCATGATTTGAACAAACTTGAATCTACACTACCTGAGGATGCTTCCATATAAATATGATCAATTATGGCTTTGTTATTCTTGAGAAGAAGATTTTTAAAGAATTTTCCTATATATTTCTATGTAAAACTTTGGTCGGCCATTGTGGCCCCGCCCTACCCCCGGGGGTCATGATTTGAACAAACTTGAATCTACACTACCTGAGGATGTTTCCCCATAAGTTTCATCTTTCCTGGCTCAGTGGTTCTTGAGGAGAAGATTTTTTAAACATACCACAAAATTTTCATTAATTCCCAATTATCTCCCCTTGAATAAGGGCGTGGCCCTTCATTTGAACAAACTTGAATCCCCTTCACCCAAGGATGCTTTGTGGCAAGTTTGGTTGAAACTGGCCCAGCGGTTCTTGAGAAGAAGTCGAAAATGTGAAAAGTTTACAACGACGACGACAACAACGACGACGACGACAGACAACGGACAAATTGTGATCAGAAAAGCTCACTTGAGCCTTTGGCTCAGGTGATCTAAAAAAATATGTAAATAAATAGAAAATTCTGAATGCTGTGGAAAGACATTATAGAGGAAAGTGTATCTTTCAAATTTAAAAAATCAGCTTACGAAACATGGTGAAGAACTGTTGAGGTAAAAGGTCCTGTCCACCCCAGGAGGTTAACATTTTGTGGGCCTTGGCATAGGCTCGTAAGTTATAGGCCGGCTCTGTACCAAAGGAGTCCACAATCCTCAGCAAGCAACTGAAATTTTACACATCACAAAAATATTCAATAATATTAGGCTTTTCTCAAATTGAAAAGTTGAGAAATTGAAACAAAGGAATGTTTGTATCACAGAGTATTTTGGTATTGTGACTTGTCACAGTCAGTCTTATTATGGTCATACTTTTAAAGGCGAAATATAAAAGCACTTTGACAAACAATTTGCATTTAATTGCTATAGTCTCACAGCTTATTTATCCATTTATATTTATTGATGATTTTAATTGAAAAATTCTGATTCATCTTAATTTACACGTATATCATAATATCATTCCCACGAACACCAAGTTTAACTTTCCTTGCAATATAAGACTTCCTTCACCCACCTGAATTTGCCGTAGCCTCCTTTGATGTATCTTTTGAACTGCCTGAGCCCTACAATGTCTGTGTAGATGATATGGACAGGGAGATCTTTTCTACTCTGACAGGGAGAGTTAGCCGCAGGCAGCTGGCTCAGAATTCTACAGAACAACACATTGAACAATTAGAGGTTCCTGTCCTTTATATAATTTTTTTTTTAGAAATTCATATTCACTTTCACTGTTTTGATTACATATAAATTTTCAAAAACATAAGAATTTCTGTTTACACATAAAATGTTAAGGTCTATTAATTAAAATAACAATAAATCGGCATTCTCTAATGAATACATAGGAATCCATTTCTTGTAGTCTCCATATATTATAATCAATGATTTCAATTTACTTTACTTTTCATTAAGGCTTAATATCAACTAAACAAATCATGGCAATGTTGCTCTTGTAAATATCAACATATTCCTCTATTGAAAATTGATTCCGAAATTCCTTGCCCAAGCAGTTCTGGAGATAACAAATATGCATCAACTGGACTTGGCTATTTCATTCACTATGTCTCTTCTATCCCTTAGAGGTTTTTAAAATACACTTCTGCCATTTTTTATCCTTTGTTTTGTGCCCCCCCCCCCCCAAATTACGGCCCCATTTTAGTATCAGGGTATATAATTATGACTGGGGCCCAAGCATTATTTTCAAAATAGGACTATATACATGCATAACTTTGATTCTTTATTGTAGCCCTTACTTTAATATATACATATATAATAAAAGAGATTTTTTTTCAGAATATACAACTATATACCTTAAGATACTATAGTTATAATGTTGAAATAGTTTAGTAAACTTTGAAATATAAATTTGATCATAGTCATATAAAAAAAGAAACTACAGTCAATTCTCGAATTATCGCCATTCGATTCATCGCCATTTTCGCAATACCGCCATGATTTCCCAAGAACGTTTTTCCTGCTATATAAAATTCTCTTTATAACGCCAAATTCGCATACCGCCATCCGCCACCCTGTTTTCACAACAAACGTCCATTTTTAAGTGTCAATTATCTCGATAATACCGCCACAGGTGTATGTGGTCAGTGAAGCACGTCTAATTGGTTGACGCTATCCTGTTATAAAGCATGCAAAGCCAATCAAGGTACATGCAATTAACTAAAATTGATTTTAACATGAACTGTTAAAATAATTTTGTTTTCTGTTTAATAAAATCATTTAGTCAAAGAAATACCACGAAAGCGGTCGTTGTAAAGTTCGCCGATAACGATATTATTTTGATGATCTCTGCTTTTAAAAACAATGCAAGGTTTGCTTAAAAGATAATTATAAGTCAGAAATTGTGAACGTTTCATTAACAATGATTTCATAAACAATGAATTTATTCAAGAACTTATTGTACGTACTTTAGGCAATATATACTCACCGTCAATGAAAACGCAACACTCTAATTTTAGGGAGAAAAGTATATACGGGTTATAACAATTTACCAAAACAGTTAGGACATCTTTTACTTTGCCAAATCAGTTATTTAACGGTTGACTGAATTTCTTTCCTCTACCGGAAGTTGTTTTTCAGCCCTATTAACAGAAATCAAATTTTTGCATTTTTAATGAAATTTTTAACAATATTTTGAGTTTTCAAGGTTTTGTAGCTGTTTATCATAAGTATTGTACTAAAATCCAGGGAAAAATCCTTCTTTCTTTAACGGATGTGATGCCTTTATGTCCACAAAATGACTGATTTTCATTGCTAATGCTGGAGATTCTCAAAATAAAGACAAAAAGAACTGCCGATGCAAATGTACACTATTTAACGACTCATCAGGCTCATGTGTTTCAATAGCATAAATAACAGTTTCTTGACCGGAAGTCCAAGAGTTACTACACTACGCCAAATTAGAGAAAATTCGACCGCAGTTTGGTCTGAACAATAGGCAATTAAAAATGCCCAAGAATATTTATTTCGCTCAGATAAAGACATTGATAAACCTAATGCATGGTAGAAATCGGACTGCGTACATGTATGTTGTTCATGGCGGACTAGCAAGTTTTGATTAAATTGTCGGAAGGGGGGGGGGTGTTTTATTTAAATGTTATCTATTAAGAGGGCTAAAAAATTAACTTTCGGTAATGGAATGAAAACCATTCAACCATTAAATAACTGATTTGGCAAAGTAAAAGATGTCTAACTTGTTTAGTACATAGTTATATCCCGTATATAATTTTTCACCCTAAAAGTAGAGTGTTGCGTTTTCATTGACGGGGAGTATATAACGACGATCGACCCAACTTTTTTTTCAATATCAGACGTGCAGATTTACATACATACACATATACTTGTCTTAATTTCATAACTGAATACTTTGTTTTAGCGAAATTGTACATAAAAAAAATTACTTGAAGTACTTTCAAATTTAGAAATATGTTTATATATACATGTACGTGATAATAAGAATAGAAACGCTAAATGGTATTTCGAAGAACGATAACTCTACGTCTTATTTCCTAAAAGATGGAAAATTCAATTCATCGCCAAATTCGTTATACCGCCATGATTTCTAAATTACAAAAGGTGGCGGTTTATCGAGAATTAACTGTACATGTATAATGATATATGATGATTATAAGGATCTCCCAGTCTTGTAATGTGAACCAAAGATAAAAATATGGTAAAATCCCAGTGAGAGAAAAATCATTTGACTTAGCAATATGGTTCATTTTTAACAATGTTAATTCAATATGATAATCAATCCATAGATCTCTTTTTTCATTAATAGCTATTTCTATGATTTTTCCTTCAAAATTTCATTAATTTTAATGTGATGAAATAAATTGAAACACTTGACTGGCATTGATGTTCAAATGGCATCTGTAAATTTTAATAAACTTTGATGAACATAATAATTCAATGGTAATAATGATAATCTTAATCCAAACAGATACAAAATTTAAAACAAGACAACAAAGAATTCATATAATAAAACTGTCATGGTGGTCGCTCATTATATCTCTAATATAAAGTCAATCATATAAAACATGTATAAAAGTTATAAAAAATTGAATCCAGCATAACGATTTTATAAATGTTCAACAAAATTGAGAAATAAGAGAACAGAAGTTTTCAAATATAAAAGCAGTTTTCTTACTTAGATGATGACCCATTTGAACTAAGAGTAAATAAAGCAATGCAATTAAAGCTCTAAAGAAACAAAATGATACATTTAAGGAATGAAGCTGATTTTTTTTAAGTTTACGATATAACATACAACTTGAGGCAGTTTATGCTTAATAAACTGCAAAGCGGTTTATAAAAAAGCACCCCAAGTTAAGTTATATTGTATAACATACCGTATATACTCGCCTATAAGTCGGTTGTATTTTTTGACGTTATTTTGGGGGGATTTGCTATTGACCCGCTTGTAAGTCGGTACAATAATTTTTCCAAAATCTAGTGACAATTTCATGTAAATTCATTAATATTTTAAACTGGTTTCCATTAATATTTTTCGAAATGACACTGATATTTAATCTTAAATTATAAAACAAAAAAGCAATGCCCACTTAAAATTATTAAAATATGTAAATACATTGTACTTAAACTCTATCTATATAATCTAAGAATACATAAATAATCTCATATATTCAGACATTTTCTTCGAAAATCATCGGATATGCAAATAAGATACTACATTTCAGCCACCAGAAAAATACCAATCTCTTTATGACTCGCCTATAAGTCGGACATAGAGTTTTAGACCAATATTTAACTCCCAAAATACCGACTTATAGGCGAGTATATATGGTAGGTTAAAAAATAAGCTTCATTCCTTATAATTTATTTCCAGTGGAAACAATGAGACAATTTTTTTAAAGCATATTTTGAAAGTAACGTCAAGTGGAGTAATACGTTTTTGACGTAACTCAAAGTGACATAGGCAACTTATGTTATACATATAAAGAAAATCTTTTATCCAATCAAATAATGTGTTACATGTATAACTAAAATTAAATTTTAAATATATATCAAAGGGTATATAAAATAAGGGACATATACAGAGTCCATGATAAAATGAAATGTTTCGAATTACCTATGGAGAACCATTTATTTTTTCTAATTTAAAACTCTGAAATACAGAATCAATTAAAACCACTATGTATGATGCAGACATGCATTAGCAAAAATAAACAAACAAGAAAATGTAAAAAAGCTACTTTTTCATTTACATGTAGTTATGTAACTTACTTTTCCAGCTGGTAAGTTTCACTGGTGATGGTCAGCTGATGTCCTAACACATACAAGGTACATATGAGATCACTCCACTGGACAAGTTCTCCCAGGGGACCACCTGATTAATTAACACAGGTAAAAACACATATTACTGAAGAATCATCACTCCTTGTGATTCACGGTTATGTGGGTCATCTTCACTAACAAATTTACATCCCCACATTGAATCTTTTGAACCAAAGAAAAACTTCCTTCAAAACCAGTAAAATTTTGGTTGTTCTTATCCCCCCCCTTTCCAATCAAAATGATTCAACATTCTTATAAACCCATGCATGATCACTTTATTGCAACTCAAGGTCAATGTACTAATAGTGAATACCCAAAAAAAATCAAGTTCAAATTTTGCTAAAATTGTTAAATGACCATGCAATGCATATGTTTAAAACCATGTGATTTACATTTGTAACTTGAAAAAAAAGTGCAAAACAAAATTTCTCATTTGAAACAAGTTTCCAATTACCGGGTAAAAATTTTTTCACTGCCTATGTGACACATATCTAAGAATATACTGCTTTACCTTTGAATTGATTTTCTGCAAACCTCCAACCAGACTGTTTGGAAAGAAGTCCCAAATGAACAAGAATCTGGAAAAGAAAAACTCTGATAAATCTCTTACAAATCATTAAACAATAACTGGTCTAAGGAGTTACCACTTCATGGAAAACTAAACAGTTCCAAATCATCTCACTACTCTAAAATCATATGGCTGAGAGATATCAAAAACAGTTGATTTTTAATTTTTCTGAAAGACGTTACTACAGTTGGGCCATGAATATCTTATAAAATATGCCAGGGGTCAAACAGCAATGCCATGACTCAGGACCCCTTGCATTGCGAGGATAATGGTATTAAAAATACTTCAAATGTTACCTTTTTCCGCCTGCGTTTCTTCATATATTGTTTTGATTTGAGTTTTTTGGCAGCAGACACCCACTTGGGCCACATTTTGCGGATCCTCATTCGTATCCAAGCATAACCCTGTCTTTCATTTGGATCCACCAAAATCTTCATTAAATCTTCAATATCATCATTTATGTCAACCTACAAATCATCATTGTTTATTAATCAAATAATATTTAACTCCATATTGAATTTTATTTCTTTTAAAAAGTTTCATATGTAATCCAGTACAAAAAGTACAATACTCTGTAAAACTCTGTCAGTTTTTTCACATAAAATATAACATGACAACAGACAAAATTTACTTTGAATTGCACCAGTATCAAAAGGCAAGTCAAAGGAATGATTTACTTAATTTTTAAATCTCTTCTCCGTGAAATCAATGACTTACATATTGGATTTTAGAAGAGTCTTCTACCGGTACTTTTACACTTTTCTTCCAGGTCCTCTTGGGACACCAGCTCTCAACCTGTCAGTGCAAAAAGACAAAACGAGGACTATTAATTTTTTAAAAATCACAAAATTAACCAGAAAGCTTTAGTTGGATTTAGGATCCAAATAATATTTTTTGTTTCATTTTTACATAAAAGTATATTGGGGATGACATCTATTTTACATTTAACACCTACCTCACTAAGATACATAAGAAAAGAGCACTCTGATCCGTCCACTCCATACGAAGCGTAACACGGGTCTGACTGCCACATCTGTCTCATCCACTGCAAAGGTTAGAAATTATATTTTGTATATAAGTGAAAAACAATAAATTTTTTTAAAATCATTTTCTGAATTTAGTCATTTTTAAAGCTACAGAGTTAACTTCATTGTTTATTATAGATTGAGGTCATGGATCTTAGCAATGATTTTTGTAAACCAATTCTATTTGAGTGTGAGAAATATATCCATAAGTTTTGCCATCTACTTTTACTCATAAATATTTAACACCAGAAAACAATTTATTTTGCTTTGTATTTATAAAAATATTTCCTTAGTCATGAAAAATAATTGTCCTGTATTCATTTGAAACTGATAAATTGCGAATAAAAGAAGACACGATTAATAGTTGGTACAGACACGATTAATAGTTGGTACAGAACGTCAGAATGGATTTTTCTTAATGATGAATATCAATTCTATTTTTCATATTTTTTTCCCTTTTTTTAAAGTCATGTCTTTCATGAAACATAATATTTCAAATATATAATAACTTAACATTTCTTCTACCATGAAATCAAATAGAAGAAAAAAAAAAAATATTTTATCTCCAAACCACTTGAGTCTGACCCAAAGAAAATTGAGAGATTTTACAGCATGTAACCTGTAGCTTTTATTAAAGCTGTAACTATTACCTCTAATTTTCCTTCACATTTTGTGTACACTTGTTTGTCCTGTTCAGTAAGGGTACAAGACTCCGTCCTTCCAAGAATTAAGTCTGTATAAATCAAACAAATGAAGATATTTTATAATTTTAAATAACATGATAAATCAAAATTTTTATTCATGCAAAGTTACCTTATGATCATAGCATTTATATATGTACTGGAAAAAAACGATTACATTTTTATGACAAGCATGCAAATCTAATGTCACTATACACATATCAGATTAATTATCTTCTTTTTCCAATGCGTTAAATTAAAATCTATATCTTGAGTTATTACATTTTTAAATAGAAAAAGGATCCTCTGCTCGATGAAAATGATAATTTATGATGGAGATTGAAGCACCTACAATATATCGTACTACTATAGTGTATGATATCATACTGTGAGCTGAATCATAGTTGAATGTTAAAATTTTACAGAAGTGTAGTGATGTATTATTTGTACAGTTCTCTCCCCTTGGGATGGATTTCATTATCTCTGATGTGGTTAGATAGAATAAAATATTTACATTAGCTGTGTTTTTCTAGTAAGCCAATGGTGAAATTGATTTGAATACCATTTTCGTGTATACTCACGTGTAGAAATATACACGGAGAAACGTGCGCTAACGTGACGTCACAATGAGGCTACAACGACGTTAGTAAAAATGCAACGATATAGGACAGCAAAAAATTCTAATATAGAGTAAATTTTGAATGCTTTAAGACATTGTAAATGTAAATATAAGGAATATTTTTAAGTTTAGTGTAAATTATTTGTTTGTGAATCACACAGACTTGCACGTAGGCATTTTTTTCATGAAGAGCTAGCGCGCTTCATGAAATATGCCTAGTATATGAAAAGTCTGTGTAATTCACACACCAATAACTCACACAAAACTTAAAAACATTCCTTAAATAATACACAGAAAATCCAGGGGAAGAGAGGTGAAAGATTGATTGAGGTAAGAACACTATAGTGAGAAAACCGCAAGTAACTGATCAGGTGACAGCTAGTACCAAGACTCACACTGCAGGGGAGAGAGATAGAGAGAAAGAGAGAGAGAATAGATTAATAACAAACTACTGGCATTAAGAGGTGACAAAATCATATTCTACCAGGGATGGATTCCATTGGGGGTGCTCCTGGCATGCACCCCCTTTAAAAACAAATACAAAAAAAAAAATTCGGATAGATTTCACTCATTGTACTCAAGAAAAATATTACATTTATTTATATGTCAAAAGCAGTGTTCATTATTAATTGCCAATGTCCAGGGGTTTATGGGGGTTGGGGTTGCCCCTAGACCTCCCCTCCCTCTATTTGGACACTGTTTTTTTATAAGAGTTACTCAGATCCCTTACCATCTAATAGGCCCCCTTCCCTAATAGGCCCAAATCCTTGAGTTTACAGACTTGATAAACAATTCTCATTTTTGACATTTATACTGTCAGTGAATGTAAAATCAATCTTTCAATGTTCCCTTTATCTACATTAGGGTTTTCAATTAATAACAAAGTAATATAAGCTCTACAAGAGTTTGAAAAAACAACTTAAAGTATTCAAAGTTAACACCTGCAGTAATTCTTTTTTGAATATCATTCCTTCTTTTCCACACTTTAGTATGTATGTATAGAGAGTTACCATTTACATGTATATAGACTGAAATGTGCATATTAGTAAACATGTTAATAATTTTCCTATAATCTTATGTTAGTAAACACAATTGTAAATTTATTAACCACCTGAATTACCATCCGATTAGTGAAACACAATCAAAATTGTCCATGCTGAAAATACAAGCATTTTATTAATGGCTTTATAAAGATTAGGCTTCACTTCCTTAGTAACTTTAATGATGAACTTAATATCATTTGAATCAAATCTGATCAATGCTATAATGAATATAGTGGTCTATTGAAATCAAGTCATTTAATGTTGTTGAGTTATACTCCTATTTTTTTCCTTAACAGCATTACATATGCATGCATATGTAAATAAATATGTAATTACTTTATTTAGTTATTTTCAGTCAAAATTTGTGTTCGCAAAATAAAAACATTCTAAATATTTAAATGCACAGATCATGTAACTTTAAAAGCTTTTAAAATAGGAATGTCCTGAGGTGATAAAAGTGAAGTTCCTGTTTTGTAATATTACGTTTTTGTTTGGCATTAGTGCCAAATGAGCTATACTGCTTTGAGGTCTCCCCCCACCCATCACATTCCCTTTCCTTTGGAAAGTTTAATACATTGAATCTTTTAAAAGTATGTCCATCTGAATGTATAATTTTATAAAAGCTGAAACTTTTTATACTGATTGAATTATAATTTTTATTTCTCTTAAAATACAAGATCTGTGGTCAAATTCAGAACTTTAATATTAAATTAAGAAAAAAAAATATAAAAATTAGATCAAAAGAGCATAATTTGTTTGCTAAAGTGATCGCTAGGATGTTAATGCTCAGAAAAAGAGAAAAAGCTCTTCTCTACAGCACACCATACCAAGTTGTTCCCTGCTGTTTTGATGTTTTAGGACACTCTCTTTCCTAATCAGAGGCCTTATTTTAACAATTCTGGTATTTGCTTGTAAGGCTGAAGACCTAGTCACTACAAATTATTTTTGGTATATTTTAAAATTCCATTGTAAAGGAAAAATATGAATAAAATAAACCAAAAACTACCGGTATATATTGTATAGTTTCATTTTTTTTTTTTCGTTAAACACCAATTTACGTTCTCTCCATGGTTAAGCCAGAGAAAATTAATGATCAATAACTACAAATTCTACCACATAGGATAGCTTTCCCTGTTCTTATATATCAACAAAATCAGGGGGTTTTTTAACAAGTGAAATTTGATACCAGATTACCCACAGGCATTATCAAAGCCAAGGTTTATTAAACAAAATAGTCACAATGGATAAATGGGGACTAAAAATATATAATTTTTTTACTACATCATCAGAATAGAACTCAAGCTTTCATGAATATTGTAAACCAACTTTTATTGGTGAGTGATATAAATATCCGCAATTTCTGTGACCTTCTTTAACTAAGGAATATCAATCGCCGGAAACCAATCATTTTGCTTAGTATTTGTAAAGAATGTTTCCTCCATCACAAAAACTTATAATTGTGGTGGATGGATTTCAAACTGACGAATCACAAATAAAAGATGATTTGAATAATAGTTGGTTTACAATACAGAACACCTTTGACTAAAACTATGAATATATTTAAGATGTGAAAGTTCGTAGTACATGTATGTATTTAATAGTTATGCATCTCAATACCACATGCAAATACTGTAAACATGGAAATTTTTCACCCAATTTTATTTTCGCCCCTTTTGCCCTTTCAACAGTAAGTTAATTAAAAATTGTGATTGGGTGAATTTAAAATAGGTCAAAATTGTTTGCAATAGTGAAAAGGCAAAAATAAGACAGGGCAACAATAACCCTGTATACAGTATTCTTCAACTAACACATGCTATCATTACTTTCTTTCTAACGTTGGAAGCCAAATGAAATATACATGCAGTTGCTATTCCTTCAAAACATTTTTATTTTGAAAATTATAGTGCTTTTTTAAAACAAATAATATACTTCCTATATAATTTTACTTTTAAAAATCAAGAAACCTGATCAGCAAATATGCTTCACTTTGTTGAGATGATAAAGATATATTTTATCAATGACTTTTGATATTATATTATTATCATAATATTTTGATATGTATCTGATGTGAAATCGATTCTGCAAATACCTTGCAGTAACAAAATACTGGCAATATCATGTATCCAACTGTTATATGCTTAAAAGTTATTAATTATATATCATGTTGCCTAAAGGTACAGCAAAGATAATTTTGACTGTCATAATCTATTCATTTTTTATTTTAAGCTTTTCAACGTACGGACCTTTTTCATTTTATTAGAAACAGATTGTAAACTAGATAACAAGAAATAAATTTTTCATTTTATGATTGAGAGCAGATTATGTGAAGATCCATACTTGATTTGAACTTTGTGTCCAGATTTGTTTGTATACATGTACATAAATTGATGTATTCAACATTTATCACAATCAAAAGATATCAAGATTTTGGCATATTCATGAATTAGGGTGTAACACTGATTTGCCATATAAAGGATTCATAGATGATTTCTTAGCTGTATAGTCATGAATTAGTGCATATTTGACTGCACTAAAGCCACTAAAATATGAAGCGCGATTTTTTAAATTACCATACAGTATATAATTATTACACATTATTTTCATGAGTGTATACCCCCGTACCTTCAGCGTGGAGGGAGTCCTCACTCTGGTCAGCCATCAGGGGGCGGGTCAGATTGACCAGGGAGGAGTTGGATATATTCATCACATGATGGACTTGAACCTCTAACCGACCAAGACGTTCTAACATATTCTCCAATAATACAGCCATTGTTTTCTTGAGATCTGAAAAAGTCATATACATGTGTTTTTTCTCTTATATACAGACTCAATATAACTATAGGTCAAGGTATTGTGTAACCATGACAACTGTATATAATTACCATAAGCAGTAAATCTTCCAGCATATGGCCCATCCACAATATCAGCATTTTCCCGCGAGAGTGCTCGGACATATTTCTCACTTAGACTGATGATTTCATTCTGTTAGGTAAAATACATTGAGCAAGATTGAAATTTATAAATAATTTCACAGTCTTTATCTTTTAAACAGATTTAAATGAGCTATCTGCTCTTTTTACAAAATGTATGTCAAGTGTAAAAATTATCCCATAAAGCACGGCATCCTGACCAATTGATAACTGGGGTTTATGTTTATTCCCAGTCTGCAGAATGCAATTTTTTTTAAGATTGATCATTTTTTGTTGTTTTCATCGTTTTCATCAAACTCTCTTGTGAGTCAACAATTCTGTATGACAAAATATCACACAATTTTTGGCCCAAATGACCCTCTGTCTGATATTTTAAATCATACAGAACACCTTTACTGTTTGGCATACACTCAATACTGGAAACTTTGAGCATTATTTTGGCCATACATCCTGGTAGCCATGATTTGTAGAATCTGTCTCAAAGACTAAACTACCAGCTTATATAAATTCTAGTACTGTACATGTATATCTGTCTGTGAGACTCGAATGATTATACAATAGACATTTTGAGTTTGAGACTGCATATTTTTTTTTTTAAAAAGAGGTTGCACCACTGTAAAATTTTTGCTCTTTTGTAGCCCAATTCATATGCAACTACTGTTTAGTTCTTTAAAGTTCATAAAATACTTTACTGTCCTACTTTCATAAAAGTCAGAGAAACAATGCATTTCTGTTTATTTTCCTGGATGTTGAAAATACACTATCAAATATTTACAAAGATTAAAGTGCTGCTCATTCTATTTGTGGCTTCATTATCAATAAATCGTCAATAATTTCAGTTATTTATGTGTTTACATTGGCAAACATTTACAAAAGTCTATTTTAGGTCCACATGACATCCTGCTTCATTTATTGACAAGTATGAATTTTTAAACAATAAGATATAAATAAAGGACAAGATCAATGCTAATTATTATTTTCCAAATTTCCACTGCAGTTACCAGTTATTTTCTGATAATGTTTTGATCATTTCTATCAATACTAAGAGGTACATGGGGTGACAAATAAATTTTTAAGCACTTGCCCACAGACAAGGATCAAATTTGATATGCTCATGCAAACTCAATTTTAACTTGCCCTTCAATTCTAAATTATAAAATAAAATACAGCTACTATCAATTCCAGTGAAGTGTACCATTTTTCTTAGTAATATGTTCTATCTCTTGCATTTATTTTATTAAAAGGTGAAGTTGCAATGGAAATAATTTGAAAATGGCCTATTGATTTACTTTGATCTTGCTCCAGGGCCATAAAACTTAGATGAGCTCAACCTTGAACTCAGTCTCACTCTTCCACCAATAATCCCTTTTAAAAAAGTGAGACTGTGATCAAAAGTGAGCTCGCTTCAATTTATGTCCCCAGAGCCTGCCTTCAACATTTTTCAATCATCAATATTCAACATAACAAGGATGTTCAATTTTTGATTATGCAGTTGGTTGATACTAACCTTAAGTACCTCACTTTCCTTCTGCCTGGCGGGGTTAATATTGGCGACTCGATAGAGCGTCATACACCAGAACAAAAACAGGAGACAGGCTAGAACCAAGAGCTGGCGACTGTTGGGAATTAAACGCAATCGCCATGGAGATACCATTGCTTTCACTCTCCAAACTCTATTTCTGCAGCATCTATACAGCCAAAATTTTAATAAAGAAATGAATTTTTAAAATCGAGAAAGAAAAAGAGAACCCATACTTTGAGACAGAAATCTTACTTCATGGACAATTATAATTTTAGACCATAATTTTATGTTACATAATTTTCTTTGATATGGATAATTATAGATTTTCAAATCGAGAGAGAAGGAGAAAACCAATTTTTAAAAATGGAAATCCATATTCAGTATTCACAGACCATAAAAATTTCAGATTGATATGTATTTAACACTTTGTGCCCATGGTTTACACAATTAAGGATCAAATTTTTTTATCTATTAAACAAAGACTGCACAAAACCAAAGGTGCATGTTAACTATTCCTCCAACAAATAATTTTTTCCACAAGATTTACGCCATGGGAATTTGCAGATTTATTGTTTTAATAAGAGTGCTTAAGACAATTCTACTTTCATATGTTAAAGCTACTTCATGGAAAAAACGAAAGTAAAGGAGTTTTTCAAAATGCCAGTTAATTTTAATTTCTAGTCACAACATAATTTTTTTAGTCCCAAATGCGACCATTTTATTCGCAACTTTGAGCAATGTGATGCCATTAATTTTTCACTACTTTGTAATAATCTCCCCTTAGAGGGTGGTGTGGCCCTTCATTTGAACAAATTTGAATCCCCTACACAAAAGGATACTCTGTGCCAAGTTTGGTTGAAATTGGCCCAGAAATTCTGGAGAAGATAAAACTTTACAATGACTATGGCAATACTTACAACAACAATTTAACAGACAAAAATTTCAATCAGAAAAGCTCCCTTGAGCAGGTGAGCTAAAAAACTATTTCATATAAAAGATACTGTGTTTAAAGTACAACTTACACTAAAAGTGCAGGTTCATGGATTCATATATATTAAACGTTTTAAAAAGTTCCTTTTTTTTAATTCATCAAATATTTGGTACATTTATATACAAATGTGCATATTTGTTAATCTACAGATATAAATGATATCTTACCATTTCAACTTTTCCTGAACACTGATCCACTGTTTTATCACTGCAGCTCCAGTTGTTGATTGGATGTAGCCTCACTAAGATGAAATTACTGATACATACATGTACCTGCAATTACAAGGTAAAAATCAATCCCATAACACCAATACACAGGTAGAGAGAATGGAGGGAGATACAGTGGGGAACATCCATGTACAGCTCAGATCATCAAAAATGTAGGATTTAACTACTGTCTTCAAACCAAACATCAACGAATACTTGTCTTGTATACATGTTTTATGTTCTATCCCAACCATAACAGAGAAATGTTCAGAATCAAACGTCTAGATCATGAATAAATAAGGGGTTAAAAGCTTTGTGAGATCAAGATCATGAGATTTTAATCCTAAACCACATCTATGTCACATTGTCATATTCATGAAGCAAGACTAAACAGCAAAAAATTGATAATTTTATTACTAAAGGTTCTGTTCAATTAGATCACAAAATGATACCCATCTCCCATCATCTTTTGCCCAATAATGGTTCTTGAAAAGTAGAATTTTAAAATATGCCGTTAAATTTTCACTAATTTTTAATGATTTCCCTTTGAAAGATGGTGTGGACTTCCATTTGAACACCATGTATTCCCTTCACCCAGGAGTGCTTGAAGTGTCAAGTCTCATGATTCTGATGAAAATTATGAAATTGTAAAAAGTTTACCACAACAAAGAATGAAGAGGACAAAGGTGACCACAGCCACACAAACAACCAACAATTTTTTAAAAGATATGTACTACTTCCTCCAAAGTGAAAATCATTTATTTATATTGGCAATGACCAGGGATCTCTTTATATAATGTTTTAAAACACACAAATCCAAATCAAAATCTCACAGCATAGACCAAAAGGTATCAGAGCAAACCATCTAATTATGTGATAAAATTGCAGGTTTTAAGGAAACATTTCATTATACAAATATCACCAGATTACAAGATCCATGTAAATATCAAAAGAGCTAGGGGACTGGAATGAAAGCATTCCAGTTTTTGATCATGCAGGAACTATAGCTGCTTTTATGCAAATTACAAACTTGAGTGTTAAATAATAGATCAACTTAAATGCCATATTCTGCAACAATTGTTTTCTGTCATTTTTTCTTTTTTTTTAATAAAAAAAAAAGTATTAATTAACAAAGCATATATAATTTAAGGAATCACTGTCTAGTTAGGAGTGTATGTCAGGGCATCAACAATAGTTTACGAAACATGGGATAATTTGCATAACGGGCGAAACCCGTTATGCTTAAATTATCCCACGTTTCCCACTATTGTTGATGTCCCTGACATACCCTTTTTAACATTAGACAGTGATTCCTTATATTTTCATTTCATTGTGAAATAAAATTGTAGATTTAGACTTTAAAAATGTAGATAAATAGATTTAAATCACATGATGACTTCCATGCCAGTTTCAATAGTCCTCGCCAACCGACGTCAAAAACAAAGGCAGCCGCACGAGATTTACATGCATATTTGGCCTCCTTAGCGTCAGACACAGAGACAGATTCGCACGAGAATTGCATGCGTATTAGGCCTCCTTAGCTCCCGACCTATCGACCTGCCTAATTTACATTCCGGCAGAATTATCAAGAAATAAACTACCCCTAACTTTCAAAGAGTTATCACAGAGAAAAAAATTAGAAATGGAAATATATGTATGTCATTTACATGTACAGAATTTTCATCTGATACATGTACTCCACAATGCAAAAGTAGGCCTTCTTTAGATATACAATAGACCAGAATCTTAAAAAAAAGATGCACTTTTAACAATAAATTTAAAATGAAATCAATAATTTCCATTAATAACAAAAGCCCCTTACAAATGAATGCTAAATATTGACCTTTTAAGTTAACATTGATTAATGTTAAAACTTGCCTTTTTATAAATACACTTACGAGTCAGAACAATGTTATGAAGCAAGTTCAATAATGATTTTTACAATAAAAACTACAATCCAATACTTATGCCAAATTAAGCATGAATACTTTGTATTGTATAATGTCATTATTGATCAAATTCAAACCATCATAAACTGGCATAAAGACAAATGTGACATATATAAAACCATGGTTGACTAGATCTAGAATAAAAATTTGTAATATTTTGACCTAGCTCTCTTACAGATGAATCTTTGAAAATTATCAAAAAAGTACAAAAATATGGAAGGGAAGAGAAATCTTATAAAGATAAGTATACATTGTATTTTGCTTTGTTCACAACTTTTTGAATTAAAGTTTATTAAACCCATTACCCATTTGCAATATCTCTGTTCGTACTAAACAAGTTTTGCTGTATAAGTTGTAACTTTCAAACATTTGATCCAAGCTAGGGTGTTCATACTTTACATCTGCATAACATGTGAATGACGTGATAAGACCTTTCCTGTGATACTAATATTATTTACTCCTTCAACATGATCTAGAAGTTTGACCTATTAGGAGTTTTTTTCTTATTTGTACATTAAACAAAATTTTCATCATATAATAACTGGCATGTACTGGTACCGGTAATAAGAGACAATTTTTTCTTGTTATAGTGCAGCATAACAGATGCACAGCTACTCTGAGAAATTACTGTTTTACCCAATTTATGCTTTATGTAAACTGTTGTCTTACTTGATATAGAGAGACTAAATATGGGTAGGAATAATAATTATTTTGCTTGTTAACAGTGACTGTAAAATCACATATTTTCATGGGGTCAAACTTTGGTGGTTCGAGGAAAAACCCTTGGTTCGTGGGGATTTGATTTCCTGTATAAAAAAAATTGTTGAGTAATTATGATTGTAATGTTTTACATTTCATGGTGGTCGCTTTATACCTCGAAAACAACAAAAATTAACCCCCCACCAAAAAATTTGCGATTTCACATTAACTGCTTACATGATTAACTTAATTGGCCTATGTATGCTAGTTTGCCGAGTGTTTGTTACATAGATACTGTACCATTTTATTTCTAGATTGTAAATAATAGAATATGTGCTGTTTGTGAAATTTTAATAAAATAATTGATTTTTCAGAGAATTTTCACATCACTTCAGGTCATCTTACAGTATGGAATTTTTTCCCAATAAACATGATAAATATTGTTAATAATTGATACATTCTGTATTCTTCATGCTGATAGCAGGAACACCTCATCTAATCTGGCAATTCACACCTGGGTTCTGAATGTAACCTGGCTCTTTGGATCATGTTACTGTTATAGGCATGAGCGCTTGGTTTCAGGGTGGTGTGTATTTAGAATCATGTGTTTTTCTAGGTATGTCTTATTAAAAATATCATTTTACTGCATATATAAAAAAGACAAAATGAAAAGAAAAAATGTGTAGAAGCATTCTAGTATTGCACATGGAAAGTGTAGCAAGAACAGGTTGAAGTCTGACACAATTTGTAACCACTATAGACTTTCTGCATCATCATGCAATTCCGGAATGCCTCTACACTACACTTGATGTGGTTTGAAATCATTACTTCCCTTGGTTTCAGTTTCAGTGCCTGGTATTGAGGACATTTTGGTTTACTTCATGTTTAATATGGCAAGTGCAAATCGGCCATGATAAAATGGGAGTTATTCAATCATTTTTGAAACTACATGTATATGTTAACTGACACTGATACGAAAAGTATGGATATTGATTATAGTGTAGATATTTAATGAATCTCATCAAGCATAAACTGAGGCACCCTCTGGAATCCAGGGTGGTAACTGTAAAACCTTTCATCATTTTAAATACAGTAATATAGTATTTTTAAAAAGTGCAAATTTCAGCATTAAAAAAAATACCAAATAAAACACATTTTACACAAAATATGCTGTTCTGAAACCAAGTGTTTATGGTTTTAGCTATACTCATTCTTTCTGAAGGAAAAGAATAAAATTAATATCATCATAAATTATGTTGCCCTAATGTCATTTCTACCATTCTACGGCCACCATCAATCACTGATGATACTGCAATACTAATACAGTACTAAATATACTACTACTTAGATAGAATGTTCTATCGTTAAAATGATATTGTCCTACGGTATTTAACGATAGAATTCGTTCCGTGTATTCGTAATGTAGCAGAAAGAAACACGGGCGATAACTCGCATAGTGCATTTACTAGGAACAATCTAGAGAGTTCCGAATGTAAACATGGCAGGTAATTTGAATTGAGAGAAAAACGTTGAGAAAATTAATTGGATTTACATATTTATATGGATTATTTTTTGGGATAAAAAGCATAAGCAATCTCAAGAAGGATTGTTTTGATTATTTTGCTAGTTATTCCCAGTGCAAATCATTTTATATTCTTCAAAATCGTTTCGGAGCGGATCCGCTCCGATTTGCTACATTGCAAGTATATGGGACGTATTCTAACTGTGGTGAGGGCCTGTACCGAGACACAGTTAGATTATTCTAACTAACTACTACTATGCAATATATTGAATGCTGCAACTGAACTTATATTACCACAGACAAGAAATGGCAGATTTAAGACTGAATGTAGGACCAATTGTACTAAAAACCATTGTTTACTTATCTAATTATCCACTAGCCATCTGTATTTATTTCTTCCCCTTCATATTATTGAAACTGAAAGTATCGTCTGTTAAATTTCAGTCTTATTTGCTTGTAGAATGTAATATTACCAACAAACACAAGGATTTACCCTATCATATCAACAAGAACTTACTATTATTACAGGGAATGACTCAATGAGGGATTTTATTTCAACAAATTACCAGGATATTATAGGATATTATACCATACATACCAGGTATTGGTTAAAGATAACACACACCTTTACTGGAGATTTGATCAACTTTGAAACCCAAGACAAATTACAATTAGTTTGTAACATAAGTATTTCCTTTGGAGCGATAATTTGCAAACATTATTAATTACATTACCCCCAGAAAACAGGGAAATGCAAGTAGGCTATCCAATATGGATTGACCCATCGAAGATTCATTTTTTACATTAAGTCCACATTAAAATATCTTATCTTGTAAGTATAACATTAGAAATATAACATGACATCGAAATTATTATATCCACTAAAAAAATCCTTCAGATTTTAAACATACCGTCTGTTTTTGGACAATAAACACGGAGATGCATTGTCAAACTGTCCACTGTCCTTAACCTCTTAAGTAACTCGTACGTTAAGTAATTCACCTCGCAACAATACGTGTTATAGACAACTCGTTCTTGATTTTGAGAGCCAATGCAGTCTTACCCTCCAGTGGTGTAGCTACCATGTATGCTTGTTTGCTCTTAAAAAAAAAAGAAAAAATTAAATACTAGATAATCAAATTTAAAAAATTGGACTTAAGATCTAAGAAGTCTGATTTTAATTAGATTGACTCCCAGTCAATCTAAAAGATCTGTAAAAACTTTGTTTAGTCAACGTAAACCAGAAAAAGTTTTTTAAACATCCCCAACGTGATATAAAAATTCCGTTTTACAGGTAAGACGGATCGGTATTTCACAAATTCATACCATGTTTTTTATGTTTCACTGGGGGGGGGGGGTATGTTTACAAACACTGAAATCATAACAGAAATGCTCATTTCTTTTCAGCATGCAATACGAAGCCAAATTGCAATGGAAAACATCGTCACCCCCCCCCCCCCCTTATAAACTAAGATTTCATGGCCAAATTGTCATTACATTGTAAAATGGAGGTAAAATGTAGGCGGGAAATGAAAGTAATCGTGCATAGTTCTTTGATGGAACCCGAAGAAAGGTTTTGTTACAAGGAATACACCTGTGAAATATGAAAGCAGAGCCCCGCCCATTCAAAAGTTTTGGGCAAGGTTAAGGTTTTTTTGCGGAAAAACAGACAGACAGCTAGATAAAGACAGGTAGACAGACAGCTCAGCCACTTAGCATCTTTTCTGAAAATGGGGAAGGGTAGCCAGAGAAATTTTTTTTTACTTACTTGAAAAAAAAAATGAAAATTGCCCAAACTCGGGAAAATTGCCCAAACTCGAAAATCCTAGGGGTGGGGGTGGGGGTGGTTTAAGGCTAACTTTTTTCAATGCCAACTTCTTTCAAAACCTATTTTTTTGGTATTCAAAACTACATTTCCCTTACATCAATTTCCTATAGCATAAACAGCCCAATCTACCTCCCAACCATTTATAGTTGTCTCTACAGGCAATAAACTCATTAAAGTGAATTTTCAGCAATCTAACAAATATTTTTAATCAAGTGAGTTTATTACTTGTAGAGATCACTATAAAGGGTTGGGAGATGGATAAAATATACAGATTAGTTAAATAATGTGCCTAGAATTAGGGAGTGAAAGGTAGCTGTAAATTGCACCTACGGGATCTGTAGCGTTATGGTCAAAGACAAATATATAAAACCATAGAGCTCTACAGATCTGCAGCTAACGAAACAAGTGCCTGTGGTTAATTAGAATTGGTACCCCCCCACTGAGAAAAAGTTTACCTACTTACCACGAAATAGGATTTTCGATTTTCGGGTAAAAAAAAAATCAGTGTTCAAAAAGTTGTGGCCAAGACTAAAGTGTTTAGAAAGCGGGTCAAACTCTAAGGTCAATCTCGAAAGATAAAAAATATTTTTACTCATTGAAAGGTCTTATCACAATCACAGACACTCTCAGATAGAGAGACAGAGACATATATGGTGCATTGAATTTTCATCGGGCACGGTTTCTCAAACCAACATTTGGCGGGAAAATCTTCATCTCACATCTCAGAGTTCGTCTGGTAGGAAGAATGGACGTATTTTGCGTATAATTTCATCATTTTTATTTCGAAGTTGGGATGCCTATATACTAATTCAGTAGGACTGCTCGAGCAGTCGAAGAGACAGTTCCTGGGACTGCTTTCTGTCAGGTTGGGTCTATATTTGGTAATGTAGTTTAGTCAATCATTTAAGGCCAAACAAAAAAATATCTTTGTTTACTGTTACATGCTGAAATAAAATAGGGTCGGTAGGTAGGAATTTTTTTTTATTTTATTGAATTTTTTTATACACAAATTCACATGAATTGGTTGAATTACAAAACAGTTTTACCATTGTATAGTGCCTCACTTTTGTTTGGCTTGAAATATGGGTAGTTTCTTGCCAACTGCCGTACAACTCAGGGGTGTGCAATAAAAAAAAAATCAAGTACTAGCCCGCAGGCTTGTAACAGCAATAAAGTTACTAGCCCGAAGTTAAATTTTGTAAAAAGTTCATTATTGAGAAAGTCAGGGTCCTAAGCCATCCCTTTTAAAGTTGAAGTTTAAAAATTTTAAGAAATTATATTATCTTTTCTTTTCTGAACATATTGTGAGCTAGCAGTGAAGCTTGTCTAAAATGAAGCAAAATCATTTTAGTTTCATTTCAAACCATTAAATACAATTGATATAAATTAAAGTTTAACCACATAGCACTTAGCTATTAGTTGATTGGGGGACCGTAAATAATGGAAAGAGATATCTGCATGTATTTATCAATATTTACATTTGCAAATGTTTTCCTTTATATAACACTATTGAAAGCAAGCGTTTTTATAACTGTGTAAATACAAGTATGGGGTCAAGAGGTCATAGATGTTCGTATGGATAAACGTTCGACGTAATTTCTCAGTTACGTGTGCCACGTCATAAAGGGTCGACGCGCGTTCAGTGGATTACATACATGCCGTTGGGTTTGAAAAATAATGCATTTCACACGTTAAAAGTCACAATCAGGCAAATTTAAAGTATGAATGAGTCTCAAATGTAAATATAAGTAATAAGGTATCATTTTTTGAGTGTTATTGGGATGTAAAACGGGTTGGCACATGATCAAATCTTCCATAAAGCCCTTCGGGCTTTATGGGATTTGATCACGTGACCAACCCGTTTTACATCCCAATAACACTCAAAAAATGATACCTTATTTCTTAATTAAAAGAGGAATGGAGGAAATTCGGATTAGGAAAAAACGATCGTTTTTGAAGTATATAAGTTGTAGTACTTCAAAATGGATAAGGTTAAAGTAATTTAAGAACAGTTGGAGCATGCTGCCTGGAAAAGTTTCATTAGTTGGAAATTAAATAGAAAAACAATGAGTGAAAATACCGTTTGTATTTCTCATGTTTTATATGCATAATTTTAATTTTTACTACCCAAAAAACGGTAGCACAGGGCATCAGGCGATGCTAGTTGCACACCTCTGCAACTGCCATGCAATGGTAGGCAAATTGCAACGAACTCGTTCGACGTTGGTGTAGAAATTGAACTTGCTGGCTAATTGTATTCGGCGCGTCGGCGCGCTCGCGCAACAGATTTTGTAAATAAAATTTATCGCTTATACAATATTTGTCAGCATCGGGCTCGATATTTCACTCGATATTTCTATACTAATCAAAGTACTGAAAGTACCGATAGGAGTTGATTTTGACGATTTCCATAACATTTAATGTTTGATACTTTGTTCACAACTTTTTCAAATTATGTTCATTTATGCTCCATAAGAAAGATGTGAGGAATAAATGAAAAAAGATTCTACAGAGTCAAAAAGGTAAGGTTGTTTTGATCACTATAACCTTAGAATGATATGCCAAAAAAAGTAAGACTTTTCCTCTGTTCTGTTATTTTCAATAAATTTCAAAGTATTTTTCTGACCTAAAGTTTGTTTAAAAGGGCTAGTAATAGCAAAAACATTTCTGTAACTAAAGTTACTCCCCATCCTCTAATAAAGACAAGTTAATCTTTTAGTAGTATTATTTTTAAAAAGAAAAAAGGCATCTTGTTCAAACACTTATACCAATGTATGGTAGCTTATTGCCATGAAAATCAAGACAATTAGTCTTTAAAAGGAGGTTAAACTCTAGAGTATAGGGTCATAATGTAATACTGGTAAATTTAATTTGTTACATTGGCGTCGGAAGCAAATTGAAAGGGGGGGGGGGGGGTTAAGTGAAAGAAAAAATAAATTTCGAACCTGAAAAATCTTAGCAAGCAACCCCCCCCCAAAAAAAGTAAAATGTGTCTGTTGTCCAAACAAGAAAATCCTATTTTGTGAGGGGTGAGGGGGGGGGGGGGCGAACTTCTTTCAGTACCAATTATTTTCTTTCAAACATTGCCACTTACACTATCTCTTACCCTTCTTCTAGGACAACACTTCCTTGTCTGATGAGAGTTGGGGGAGGGGGGACTAAATGAACCTACGCCCCAATGTTGAATACCTTGATGATGTCCATCTTTATAAGCCACCCCCCCCCCCCCCCGATTCCGATGCCTGTGTGTTATGCATATAGTTGATTTATAAAAACAAAAGCATTAAATGTTTTTTTAATGCTATAGTTAAAGTTTGGAGATATAACTATTAATGTATAATATGTATGTAGAGAGAGAGAGAGAAAAAAGAGAATAGGTCAACTAAAAAAATGCAGTAAATTTCGGATTACACTTGCTCAAATCGTGGTTAGATATGCATGGATCAAAGGGGATCCGGATCCCTGGAAAATTCTAATTTTTTTTTTAATTGACATAGCAGGGGCGGATCCAGCAATTTTTGAAAGGAGGGGTTCCAGGGTTGTTCCCCTCTACCCCCCTCCCCCCCCCCCCCCCCCAAATACCTACTCTCAAGCAAAGATTCACAGACTTGTATGGAAATATCTAAGGTTGTGCTAAATACTATCTTTGTTTTATGGCCTTTTTTTTTTTTTTTTTTTTTTTTTTTTAAAAGCGTACCCCCAGTACGAACAAATCAACAAATACAAAATAAACAAAAAAAACCAAAAAAAAAAAAAACACGTTTCAAAAACTACGGATGCCTTAAAATTGAATGGATTTGTATCATTTCCGAAGAGTATAAAGAATTTTCTTTAAGAATTTGAAAAACTTTTTTTGGGGTGGGATGCGGGTGGGCTTTGAAACAGAGTTACATGTTAGTTCCTTCAATAGATCTAGATATGATAAAAAACGGTACAAGTATAGCCAACACAGCCAAAGATCGCGGGAATCCAATATCATATTAAACTTCGCATGCTACATACAAGATCTAGATATATAAAATTAAGTAGAATATTTTCTACCATTCTCTCATAAAAAAGTATAATAGAGAAGGTGACTGGAGGAAACTTAATGTGTGAGAATCTCTGTATTCAATAAATAAGTGGGACGTACAAATACAAATGTAAATAATCTC